GAGCCGATTATGCCGCAGCTCTAACGTTTCTCCAACTTTTTAACTTTGAACTATGCTATTATAGGGACCCGACATGCATGTAACATGTTGCAATTATCCGGGTCCCTGAAATGTGTCGCGAACATGCTGATCGGCGGTAGCCTGCATGAATTTGAGATAAGGAGGGCGAGCTGGTGTGCTGTCGTACGGTTCAGGTCGCGTCCGAACTCAGACTGAGACAACATGTCGCTCTGACATTATTGTCAAAGACGCGGGATCGCGATCACGTTGGTCTAGCACGTGATGGGACGTGTACATACCACACAGCGACACGAGAGTCAGTGAGAACGCGTTCGTGATCACGAGCACCGTATTGGAACCCGCCCTTGCGTTTACTATTAATCCTCAACTAGCTGCGAAGCGGAAAGATCAAAGCCGAAGCATGGCGGAACATCCCACAGCGACATGGCAGGCTATGCAAGATGGGACTGTATTCTACAAACGACATCAATTGTATTCAATACCGGGCAAATTCCCTCCTCTGAATGACTTTGTGATAGCTGGATGCAGGTATGGTGGCCCAATAGGTCTGTAAGGATGCACATTGGCTACTCAGAGGCCGCTCACCAACTGTTGATTTATGCAGCCCTAATGCGAGACACGACAAAGGTCATCGCACTGGGCACAGCCGCGCCTTCGTTTTCCAAAGCGCAAATTCATGTATTCTCCTCAGCAGGAGATGTAATGCTAGTCTTCAGTGTGGTTATCTCTTCTGTTGTGCCCCGCGAGTGATGATTGAATATGTGTTGACAGTGGGACCATGGCAAAATTGTGCGCTTCGGTTGGACTGCTGACGAACGACTAGTGGTACTCAACGAGGAGGGCGTGTACCGATTATATGACCTGCAAGGAGAGTATCAACAATATTCTCTTGGGAGTGACGCAGGGGAGTTGGGGATCATTGATGCTCGTATTCACGAGAACGGCATTGTAGCGTTGACCGGCTCGCTGACGCTGCTCGAAATCAAGGAGTGGAATGGCGGAAAACCACTTACGCTAGCGAATCCAGGTGATATCTCATACTGTTGTGACATCCCCTTTGCCACTAAAGCATCCGCCAGGCTTGTCACAGCCTCCCCATTCCTGGGCAGTAATTCCTCCTGACTTCACGATATCGCGTCACGTCGAGGTCCTCATGTCTGTCGAATCATCCATCTATAGTGTGGACAACCTTGAGAGCGTAGACCAGCAACTGTCTCGTGGACCCTTCACTCGAATGTCTCCATCGCCTAATGGCAAGTCACTGGCATTGCTGACGTATTCAGGCTTGCTCTGGGTGGTCTCGACTGACTTTCAACGGAGTCTGGCCGAGTTCAACACCACGGATGCACCTGGCGCAGAGGGCGAAGTAAGACAAATCGAGTGGTGCGGGAATGATGCCGTGCTTGTAACATGGAGCTCACTTGCGCTGTTGGTCGGTCCTTTCGGGGATACTCTCCAGTATGTCTCCCGTTACTATTTTTTCTGCGAAGCCAAACGCTTGAAAACGTCTCAGATACTTCTATTCCGGACCAACATTTGCCATTACTGAGACAGATGGAATTCGAATAGTGGGACCAGATAGTTGTGACTTTGTTCAGAAAGTACCAGGTTAGCGCTAAGTTGGTGAATCGACATCTGGCACGTTCTAATCAGACTACAGCGTCTTCTGTATCAGTTTTTCGCCCAGGATCGACTTCGCCGTCAGCAATTCTGTATGATGCATGGGAGAATTTCACTCGGCGCTCACCCAAAGCAGACGAAAGCATCCGGACCATTCGTCCGGAGCTGGGTTCTGCTGTGAATGAGTGTATTGACGCTGCAGGCAGAGAATGGGAGCCCTTCTGGCAACGTCGATTACTGAACGTGAGTTGTTTCCATTGAGATGTACGAACCATTCGTATCGATTCTACTTCCATTCTATAGGCGGCCAAATTTGGAAGAGCTTTCCTGGATCTGTATGACCCAACGGATTTCGTCCAAATGGGACAAGCTCTCAAAGTACTCAATGCTGTGCGTTTCTACGAGATTGGTATCCCCGTTACATATGCCCAGTAAGGTGGTTGTTCTCGTACTCGCAGCGGTCGTATTCACAGACTATTTAGATACACCCAAGTCTCTCCGTCACACTTGATTAACCGACTGACAGCTAGAAACCTTCACCTTCTTGCTCTACGTATATCATCATTTTTGTCATTGAAACCTGATGCAGTTCTCAAGCATTGGGCATGCGCCAAGATTGTACGGTCAAAACCTACAGCAACAGGTTCTGGGAAAGACGCCGAGCTCGATGGTGATGATGCCGTGTGCAGGTCTATCGTGGAGAAGTTCGAAAAAATGGGTGACGGAAACGCAAGCTACGCTGATATTGCAAAACGCGCATGGGAAGTAGGACGTGCCACATTAGCGACAAAGGTACGCCAAGTCTGGTCCGCTGATACAGTTGATCATTACGGCCGACGGCGTTCCCTGTGATAGCTTCTAGATCATGAACCCCGCGCATCGGATCAAGTGCCTCTTTTGCTTAGTATGAAGGAAGACCGCCTCGCGCTTGTGAAGGCCGTGGAAAGTGGCGATACAGACCTCGGTGCGCTCTTACACCTCACGAATTCGTTCTACATACTGAGTTTTCTAGTTTACCATGTGTTGCTGCATCTGCAGCGAAGGCTGCCCCTGGGTTCATTCTTCCGACTTCTTGAAGAGGGCGGAAATAAGCTCGCTCCTGCGAGCAAGCTGCTTCAGGTCTATGCTCGAGAGCAAAATCGGGAGATGTTGCGCGATTTCTACTATTCAGACGACCGGCGGGTGGAAAGTGCCGTCCTTTGCTTGGATGAAGCGTTCACTATGATGGTGTGATCAATTACGGTCTTTGCTCACGAAAGTACTGATGCCCTCTCAGGATCCCTCTTCAAGGATTGCATCAATCAAGTCAGCGCAGAAATTTTTCTCGGAAGATAAAGAGAGGGGTTTCGAAGCAAAGGTAAACAAATATTCTCACACATTGGTCCAATCACTCAGACCCTTGATCACAACAGATGATGGATGAGTATTCTCGGCTGCTTACTACTCAACAGCAACTGGAAAAGGAGGCTGATGGGAAGTTATCTTTCTTTGGGTTGAGCGTAAACGACACTATTCGTACATGCCTGGTAAACGGCATGGCGAAACGCGCAGACAAGCTCAAGACAGATTTCAAGGTCCCCGACAAGCGGTGCGTCTGACCTGAGGCAGTGAGCACGGAGAGACTGATCCGAATTTAGGTTCTGGTATATCAAACTTCAGGCGCTGACTTCCGTGCGAGATTTCGAGGGGCTGGATACCTTCGCGCGCTCGAAGCGAAGCCCTATTGGTTATGAGGCATTCGTACGACATTTAGCGGATAAAGGTCACATGAAGGAAGCCGCCTCATACGTGCCCCGCTGTGATGCACACAAGCGTGTCGACTTATACGTGGTGTGCAGCGAGTGGCGGATGGCAGCCAAGGAGTGTAAAGACAGGGGCGATAAGGCGAAATTGGAGTGCGTCTCTGTTTACGTGAAGGACCGTCATGATCTGACTCCCAGGAATCCCAGGCAACTAAAGAAGTCGTGTCCGAATTCTCTCATCGCGAGAGAGTTGGAGCAGGTGGCGGCTTCTATGAAATAGCTTCCGTTCCTGCTCGTGGCCTTCCGCCGGCGGCAGCGCCAACTGTCTCATGGTATACTGTACCAAGGGCTGGGATCATCACCCACTGTTGCATCACAGATCCAAGTGTTGGACAAGTACACGAGTGATCCGGGAAACTGGCTGGCAATATCAGTCCATAGATACCATAGAAGTTGATGGACATGTACAGTAAGGACAGTGCTGGACGGATCCGATGACGGAGCGACACAGTACACTGTGGTGCCTAACGGCCGTGTGAGGAACAGTGTTCGATAGCATGACGACCATTGCACGAAAGAGCAGGAGGGGATTGCATATGTGTGGAAGGTAGAAAATAATGTTATGGTGTAAGTTGCAGGAGTGATGGAAAAGAGCGTGTAGTCCGATAGCATTAAACAATCCGAATAGGTATCCTCGCCCGGGACTCATCTTGCCCAAACAACACCGAGATCTCCAGATAATACTGGAGTGGTAGACGTCAGTCAATGCCGAACGAGATCGAACGGAAAAGTAGTTTACCTTTACGCTGAGATCTGTCCATCCAATGGAGGGTACCATGTTTTTGTTGAGTTGCACCTTTGACTTGTATAGCCCATCGGGGAGTAGCGTAAGGGCCGTCATGGACGGGTGCTGTTGGCCGGGGTTCATACGAATGCGTGGTCGTTTCGGAAATCCGGCGTAGACGTCCGTGAACAGTGTGCGTGTCTCAGAGTATCCCTCCGTGCCGCCGCGCCCCGCAGCGTCCACGAATGGCGGAAGGGGCGGGACTGGGGCAGTCAACTTGAGCTGCTGTTTGCGGGAGATGATCGGCGGCGCGCTGCGGACCATGCGCTTCATGAGCTTTGTCTTGTGCGAGAGAATGAACGACGATGGGGAGTCAAAATCACTTCCCGAGCTTGAAGATGACGAGGAGAGCGGTGAGGTGGGTGAGGCGAGTGAGGGGGTGGAGGGCGAAGCAGGTGAAGTGTCGATGTTGATTTGACGATGGACAGAGACGGCAATGGTCGCGTCGAGCACTATTTCACGTGCGAGGGTCGGAGAACGTGGTGAGGTAGTGAAAACGACGTAGTATGGAACAGAGGCAGAGCGGGGGAATGATGGAACGTCCGGGATTGCTACCTGCGCATGTCTATGAGTGGACAAGCCTTGCCGGATGTGAAAAAACCTACCGCACAACTGAAAGGTATAGGTCGCTCGGAGCGAAGAGGTATCTCAACCCATGATTCAGGCTCGAGAGAACGGCCATCTAGCGATTCGAAGTCCGTCTCAGGAGCAAAAATTATTGGGGCTTCAACTCTGTGATAGGCACTATCAGACTACTGGTATCCAGAGGTTATGCACGCGACCGAGACTCACACCAGGCGGTCATCCCCGGCGCTGCTCTCCCAGGTCGCTATAAGTTTGTACACTATCTCAGACCGTTCAACAAATGCTCGTGCTCGTGTGCCCGCCAAGCCTTCAACCGTTGTGCAAAACGTAGGAGGTAGTTCCTCTCCTGGTCTGATTGGAGGTGGTGCCTCAAAGGAAAAGGGAAAGGGGAGGAGAGTCCCCCCAATGCCTGACTGACTCGGCCGACGCTCTCGCCGAGGTCGAACACTAGCGGCGATGGCGTCGCGAAGCGATGAATTGGATCGACGCGGTCCGATTGTCTTGTCAAGCGGCAGCGTCTGTGTCGAAAAGAAGAATACATGTCGATGCATCCCAGAGGGACCCGGCATCCCAAGCAACTGAGATGCTGGTGCCCGCGGGGTAATATGGACAAAAGTACCCTCCATCTACCTTGGTGCATCAAACCCTCAAGATAGCTATGATTTCAGAAAAGTGTACACACCGAAATGTACAGTCGCCCTGGTCTGGCAGATAAGGATGTGTCCAGGAGGACTGTGCCCCGTATCTTGTTGTGTACGTCGAACACGGGCAAGGATCGCGGTACTTCATGCCCTGGCGGTCGCGTCATCTTGACAGAAGGGCTCCGGACGTGTACTTCCATCTGACCCGACTGTCTGAGGTACAGCCTCAGTCACGCAACTTGGGGACAGACCTTTTGACTCGTACTGACCTGAAGACAGATATATTGGGGTACGAGTCGTCCTCGTGTTGACCATGCGAGTAGCTGGACGGTGCATAGCTGGAAGGTGGGGTGCTGCCCGGCCGCTTTATGGCAGAACTTACCAGACTGTCCAGGCGTGATCGGCGAGGCGCAGGAACTTGCTCGTCCGAATGAGCGCTCCGAGCTAGAGACCGAGTGCGAGTGATCATCTCAGACAGTTCAACAGACTCGAGGCTGCAGCTCACTGTCCGACATCCGAACTTAAGGTGCGCGATTGCGAGGGGCTACGCAGGGCTGTCGGCAAGAGAGGAGCGGACGGGGAGGGCTTATAAAGGGAGTGAGAGCGATCATATCGCCCAGAAGGGAGTGCGCACGCACGCGGGCTTTAGGCTGGACCGTAGGCGAGATCCTGCAGACGAAGCAGATTGGCAGCGTCGGTAACAAACACGATTGGCCGCATTCTGCGGGCGCGCTCATCTTTCTCCTAGCGCGCGGGAGAGCCCGGTCTGATCATTCGTTCCACCGTCAGAACGTTCCGCACCCAGAAAAAGTATGCCGTGCCTCACGCTCCGAGGTGGCTCTCAGCTAGAAGAGGTGCGGAACGCCATAGGCCTTCGATACGCGTGAGCAAACACAGCAGGACGCGGTCATAAACCAAGAGCTCAAAGGGCGCAGCCGTAACGTTCAACGGCGTCTTACCTACCCTGGGGAAAAACGTTCAAGCTCGCGGAGGCACCGGGCCCGCTACGAACGTCACCCCACACTCGCCGAGCAAAGCCACGCCCGTAGGTAGCTGGGAGTCGCTTAAACAAAGTCCCATATTTGGACAATAACGGCAAGGCGACATTAGAACATACTGACCCCATCCTCAGGTCCTTGTTCATATCGCAGTACCGCGCACCGAACTTGCTATTACACCAGTGGGAAACATATCGTCGCCGTTGCATAGGAACGCAAATCTTCCGCCTCCGCGATTCTGAAGCTTTCATATCAGACGCTGATCGCTTACCCCCACTTTGTAGTCCGCTGAGTTGGCTGGCCTACGCGGTTTGAATAATCGTATGGCTTGGCATGCTAGCTTCGCAAATACGACGTGAATCCGCATGAGCCTTGTACCACTTAGAAAAAGACACAATTCACAAGTGTAGGCTCCGAGGTTGGAATGATTTGGAAGCAAAACTGGATCGTGATGATCACTGGAACTGGCATGCGGCCCTGGGTCATACGCAAAGTCCAGTGCCATGACCACTGATATCAGCCCATGACAGCACAGGGGACACGACGAGCGACGCATTTAGGCAAGGATTTCGATGGGGCCCACCGTGCACGCATGTGTTCATTGCTCCTCGATGGTTGCGGACTGGTCACCGGCGCGATTCAATGCTCTGGTACACGAGCGCTAGCATGGAAATTTAAAACAAACAATCACTACAGACAGTCACGAAGCATCATTTACAACTGTCTCCAACCATCAGGATCCACGATATGCATCCAAGAGAACACTGATCACGTACTTTGTCTATGACTCAATCGTGATGGTGTATTCCAGGCCTCATTGAGTAATTTGTGCCGCAGAACACTGATTTTTGGAAAGCACTGCATCAACGTGCTTATCACTGTGGGCGCAGTCTCAGCGACGAGGACACGAGCTACGTATCGAGCCTCCTTTCAAAACAAAGATTGAGGTGAGGAGCTAAACAGATATTTTCTGGCGTAGATACACAACACACGACCGCGAAAGCGAGCGGGCGATCCAAAGCAATATATTGCAACTGCCATCCTGAGTAAAATGGACTGACTATATCCAGACATCTAAAGGTAGTCTAGTAGGGAGCAGCAGCCGCCTGGCACTGAACATTCGCATGAACCAAGTCAGCACAAGGAACAAACAAGGAACGAGCCACTTACGGCCTTCAGTTGTTCAAGGTACCATGTACACGAAGGAAGATCTGCCTTCTCCAGGCACTTCGTAAACTCTGTAGTATTAACAACGTTTGTCAGCGCCCCCCTCATACAATAGCGGCTAATCGCTCACCCTTAGCCTGGATCTCACAGCTGGCACCTTGTGCCTGGTACGCCTGCTGCTGGACGGGCGGAGCAGCCGCTTCGGGGGCAGGCGCAGCGGACGACGACCCACCAAACAGCATGTGCGAAAGGCCGTGGCCGATGGTTGAGCCTACGGCGACTGAACCGGCAGTAGCAGCCATCTGTGCAAGCATCCCAGGCTGCTGCGTGGGCGCCGCCTGCGTTTGTGCGGGGACTGGGGGAGCATGATGCGCTGGAGGTGCACCGGCACCTGGGTAGGGCGCAGCCGCAGTGTGCGCACCGCGGCTCTGAGTCGCTGCAGGAGCTGCAGGACGGGGAGCAGGGCGAGAAGAGCGGGATTGACGCTAAAATTGTAAGACCTGGTTAGTGAATTGCAATAGCATGAAGTGTATCAAAGAATGCGCACAGGCATGGTAGTTCGTAAATGAGCCTAGGTGAGTGCAGGTGGTAGACGAGGTGGTACTTGCGAACAAAGACCGCACAGTATTTGAGCGACCTCGCAATGCCGAACACGACACGCAATTCACTGAAATTCAAGTCCGAAGCTGTCCGTGACACCACGTGATGACTAATCTCCGACCACTTCCGAAGATGGAAATTCCCCGCCCTTGAAGCAGCCGGACAGCAATTTCTGTCGACGTACCATGTACTTATCCTACACTCGGCGATGCCTTGACCCTCTCCGTAATGCCCGCACTGTTGCACTGTGCGGAAAACTTCTTACCTCAAACGGTGCTCGCCGTCATATCTCCGTGAAAGCGAAGGCCAGAACTGCTGATGATGCAAAGCCTCAGCAGAGAAGCATGGAGGACGCGTTGCGCGACTACGATGCGCTCAGAATGCTCGCCAATAAGCTTCCCATGGATCCCTGGGCGCAAGCCGTAGAAACGCTGAGTGTGTACAATTCAAATGTGTTAAGTCCCCAAGCTGACCATACAAGCTCTAAGATCTGCACATACCGAACTGGAAATCTTCAAAGCAGGATGCCACCTTTAGTGATCATTTCTCTGCACTCAAGCAAACACTCAATAATTGGTTCATGAACGCTGTACAGTGCGGTCTCAGTGTTGTGTGTTTTGTTACGTTGCTGACGTTCCACGTAGCATGCGCCACATGGCGAAGGAGAATGCCTTTCCCGATATTCGTGCATCGTCACCATACTCCCTTAAGATTCTTTCCGCTCAGTCTACAAAAGACGATGCTTGGGTGGCGCCTATGCGCCGAATTGCACTGGACACATACAAACGCGTGCACCAAGCTGTGGCAGAGTACGTATCGCCATATAATTCCGCCTCATTTACTCATAGGACATGTCTCAAAGTCGCGACGAAAGGACAATCAAGCAGCTCTGCATCGCGGACATGCAGTCACACTACTTGAAGCTTGCGCGCCAACAGGATTCTTCCCGCGTATATACCTGGAAGTTTCATGGAGAGCGCTCGCCTTGTCGAATAGTAAGCTTGCGCACTGTTCCCGCTCACATGGGACGAGTGGTGCCAAACGGTGGCAGCCGGCTGCTTGTCCAAGCATTGGTCCGATTCGACACACTGCAGGTTAGCTCCTCTTCCTCTTGTCACATCTATGAAAATTCACATTGGATCAGAGCTTGAATATATTCTCAAAAAAAGGAACACTGTTGCATGGACAGGCTGAGCCCAAAGTTGTCATGGAATACTTGGTGTTCCAGAAACGCATGTGGTATGATACGCCATGGGTCATCCGGGAGCGACTTTATGAGAATTTAGAAGCGAAGTTTGAAAAAGTGATGGTTTGATTGCCATGTTCATACCTTCTGGAGCATAGCGTAAACTCTATTGCATTGTGGACCGATCTCTCTAGCTCGTAATAATATCTTGAGACTCATGGCAAGGATCCGAATGATCATTCGGTACGCTATATGAGAATACGATATACATAATTGTCGCAGGCACCGTCGTGTTAATCTCACGTCACAACTTGTGATGATTGCGCACAATATTGTCTGTGAGTTTGGTTTTGGGATAGATGTACATTTCGATCTGTAGCCGTGCTTCATCGACTGGGCAGTTTCTCAAAAGTCAATTATGGTGACTGGAGCAAATTTTACTGGCGACTCGGTAGTCCTCGAAAAAGTGACGATAGCGCTGACGGTGTCGAGAGAGGAGAGTAAATTCCAATTGTTGGTTCATTAGGAATCGCGTCTGTGGCGGCGCGACGCGACTCGCGACCTACACGTGCACCTGTTACGTCACGCGAGACGGCCTGACGAGTATCATGTTTAGACTGGGGATGGGTACCTTCTGCCGCCGTTGTTCTCAAGTGGACATGTTGTCTGGATTGTATCGTCCTGTGTCAGCACGACCGAGCCGTCTAGTTGTCCCATCTCGCTCTGCAGTAGCTTCCCCCGCCGCCTCACGGTGCCACACCCGCTCTCCCCATGGTTCGCGGGCCTTGGCAACATCTCCGCAAACATGGGCTCAGTCGAGTTCACGCATCTCGACCATTTTCACAGCGTTGATTGTCCTCGGCGTAGGCTCGACTGCCTACGGTGTGTAGGTTGCGTTTGCGAGTACTTATTCGTGAGTACTCAATAACGCATACAGATATGAATTTTATTCCGCATTCACGATGTGGCCGAAGGAGGTGCGTGCAGATCTACGCGCTGGTATCAAGGCGAAGAATCAAGGAGATTTTGATCTGAGTGAACGCTATTTGCGTCGGTGAGTGACTGCATGTCGGAGGCCCTAAATGCTAAAGTATCACTAGTGCTTACAATACTGCTCTTGCTTTGCCGGTATCCTCTTTCAACTCCTTACCATATCTCAAGCTGTCAGGCATAGGCATAGCATTAGCATCAGTGCTCGAAGCTGCCGATCGTCCAGAGCCGGCGTATGAGGTCTACTCGAGCGCGCTTTCTCATCTGCGATCTGTTCAAGCAGCCTCACCAGGAACACTTTCTGGCGAAGAGCGCTTGCGCGCAGTAGCACTTGCATCAAAGCTCGGGGAGATGGCAGAAGTGTACCAGTTACCTGTTGCCGAAGAAGAGCGATGGCTCACATATGCCGTTGAAGAGCTCCTTCGACTTGTCAGAGACGAGGGTAATAAGAGGCGTTTAGTTGCTGGTGATCACGAAGAAGACGGGAAAAATGCCCCAGTGATGCTGGCAGAGTTGGACATACCACTATGGGCTAGCAAGACTGACGTGGGTGCGCCGCTTGAAGCACTTGGGAGATTCTATTCTCGTGAAGGGAATGTTGAGTGAGTTTTGAGTTGCTACATCTGCTACATTTGACAATTCTGTGGACTTGTGCAACTGACTCCGAACGCAAGATATGCAATACCTCTATATCTTCAGGCAATTAGTCTACTCGTACCTCCGTCCTCTTCGAAGAAGACGTCGACAGTTGGTGAGCGCTGTCGAGGTAAGGTATACATTTGTGTCCGAGGAATCTACTAATGGATTGGCTGTCTCAGGGGCCCAGCTCATGAACAATTTGTCCGAACTCAGCATTCGAGGTGAGGCAACCGCCGCCAAGCTCAAGCAGGCTGAGTCTTGGGCAAGGCAAGGTCTTTCTACTGTCCAGCAAATCCAAGCTTCTGGTGAAGGACAGCCCGAAGAGATGTTGCTGTGCGACGAGGCGCTTGCCGCTATTTGGTTCAACCTCGGCTCGCTGTTAGAGGTGTGTTTCCCGGATACGAGGCTGCAGGATTTCAGGACTGAAGAGTACTACAGATGGGTGGTGATGTTGAACAATCAAAAGACTTATACGAAAGGAGCTTAGATCAGGCGAAGAGGATCAAGATGCGCGAGGGAATTTTGGAAGCGCAAGCCGCTATAAGGCGAATAGATCGCTCTGCTAATAGCAGCGTACCCAAAAAATCATGAAGGCGTATTCATCCCAATTAGAGTCGAAGTAGTGCGTCGCAGATGAATAATCCATAGATATAGCGATTAAATAAGAACATCAATAGGCGTGGGCGTCACGAGTCCTCCTCTGCCACATCTTCTACTCGCGCGGTTCTGCTAGATGGACGAGAGCTGCCCGAATCCGCTACTTCCTCGATGTACGCGCCTTCCGCAGCAGCTTTGCCTTTGCCCTTCTCCTTCTCAACCCGTTTCTTTTTCCCTTTCTTTTTTGGAAGATCCCATTCCCATAGCGGAATGAATGACTCAACCTAAAAAGAAGATGAGACCCTTGAGATGCACGAAATCATTGAGAAAGCACGTACAAATCCAACATCTGCGAATAACTTGGGGAAGATCCAAATGCCCGGACTCGCGACAATGATAGTAATTATGTAGAATATCAGTCGTATTACTGCGACCGCTAAGAACAGGCCGACCAGTCCCAGTACGCCGATGCTGATATACCACACTCCGAGCCGCATGATGGGTGGCCAAAGAGGGAACATGACACCAGCAAGCATAATGGCGACCATCGCGACACCGCCGACGTAAGTTGTCCACTGCGAGCCCTCATAGAACCATGCGAAGTAGTCTGTCGGCTGGAACGCTTGCATCGGCGTTATGGATAGCATCTTCGGTGAACTCGCAGAGGAAGAGGAAGGTGCGCCGCGCTCAACGCGGAGGAAGAAGGCGAAGGGAAGAAGTGACAGCAGTACGGAATTCGCGTCCGCTTCCGTGGCTACTGAAGGCACATTCTTGAGCTTTCCGTACGCAGGTGAAAGTAGCGCTTTCACGGCTGATTTGCCTGCGCTCAGCAAATTCAGTAGGGTCAACTAGAGACAGCAGAAAAGATGGACGCCACGTACCTTTGAAGTAGTCTATCCGCTTTCCGTTCAGAACCCCCACTCTGACCTTCATCCCGGACTTGCTGCTACGCAGGAAGTTGACAACATGTCGCAAGTCTGGAGGTGCCTTCGCTTGCTGTTCCATCGTAAAACGTAGAACGAGTATGGAAAGAAGAAAACACGTCGACGATGGCTTAAAGGAGGGTCGTGAGCTGGCTGACTCTTGTGACATTGCAGCCACATTATTAGCTTATGTCAGCCTCCCCGCGATTAGCCCCGTTTTTGGCAGGTGATGCGATCCATGTCCAAAATTTTAAACAATCTCGATACGGTTCCATCGGTGCTAAGTTCCATCGGTGCTAAGTTACAGTAAGTGCTACTCTAGAAAATTTCCGTCCCAAGGATGCTCGTGAAATAGTGTTTAGCAGATAATTTACACTGTCCGTGCTGCTTGACCAAGGTCGCTTCACGGTCCTCAGCTTAAGTTGTATTTCTCGAAGCTGCGTTGCTCAAAGCTGTGTTACTCAAAGTCGTGTCGCTCGAAGTCGCTACAAATCTTGTACGAGCAGTGCATCTGCAGGCACCCCACGCGCTCCGTAGGAGCTGTCAGCGCATACGGAGATAGTATCTGTCAGATAGAGTGTGCTGATCATTAATTGGCAGGAACATATAATTGTCAATAATCGGGAGAAATACTAATAACCACATCAGAGACATATTTCTCCAGAAAACTTGAGCTTTATCGTACCATAACCAAGGCAGAGGCCACATAATGAAATATCCTTGTCGACACCTTTCAGACTTCATCCCGTAATCTTGGTTCTCCAGTCGAAAGAAGATAGCGCTGAAGGGAATCTATGTAAAGGAACGAACACAACCGGACGGTCGCACTTTCGTGCCAGAAAATCCTATGCCACATATGGTGCATATCAGTTGTGTTGCCGGTTCGCACATGACTCGGTAGGATAGTTCTAGCCGCCAGTGGATTGCCAATGTAGGCATACGGAGTGAACGCATGACGTTTACTTGTTTTTTTTTTTCATGCATTATGGGTTAGCTATGCCCTTCACCTCAGTCAAAGGCCACGATCTCTGAAAAACATATGATGTGTTTGAGAGATCTAAGACTCATTTGTAGTCATATATAATAAGAGGGGATGGCCCGACACGCACTGCACAAATTTCCTCTATTGTAATCCATGCCCCTGCAGTGTTTTTGAATGTGACAGATTCTTCACGAGAATTCATCAATGTTCTTAAAGACGAGATGCACTAAACGGAGTGCTTGAAAATCTTAACCTCTAAATAGAATTAGCATTTCTCTAACCATCCATTCCTAAGTCAAATGTGATAGTCATCAGTTGCATAGAAGCGCGGTAAAGAAACATCAGACCGAAGCCAATGGCATTCAATAAAATGTCTGCTCTCGTTAAAGATCGCTGTGGAAGGGTAACGGTTTGAGGGTCATGAGCCCTGCCAGTACCCTTGGAGGTCATCTTCCAACACCTGCTCTACTTAGTACTTGTTGTACATGTAATGTGCAGTGATTGTTAAACGGGACGGGGTGACACCGCATGCCTTCGCATCGTCAATCGCAATCTTCAGATGTGTTAATACACGTGGGCACGAAACCGAATACACGGAGTCTTCCGGAGCGATCGACATCAGACCGTTCACCATTATTTGTCCCTGTGTACCAACAACCTCTGCAATTTACATTCTCGGGCCGTGACGCCTGTCGCATCGCAGCCACTGTCGCAGCGTCGGCTCACCCGATATCTGGACCTGCATAACATATGGCAGCTTTTCAGGCACTTCGAAAATTTCGTATGCACGCGCTTTCATCAACTCTTCGTGCAGACCCCCAACTCCTCCAGCCACGCCCCAAAATCCAGAACCCTTTCCTTCCACATAAGAATCCAGAGTCTGGGTGCTGGGCACCGCCGAAATATTCTCTACGCCGCCAAGCCGAGCTTATAAAGCACGCTCGCTCTGCAAATATGCTTCACTTGCTTCCCCCTGGCCCTAAGCTTGGACCGAAAGACCTTGCCAGCGCATCTACATCTATGCATACGTCGCAGTCCACGTCGCCTGCATTGATGGACCAAGAGTCGTGGGGGCAGGAGATTGAATGGGAAGGAGACGTAAAGGAGAAAGAAGTTCCTGGTGCCGCGATTGGTAACAGGCTGTATGCGGGCAAGCGGAGGATGTTCAAAGGGCACAAATGGGAACGAACCTCAGAGAAACGTGAAGAAACTCGTAAGGCCATGATGCAGAGCATGCCTCAGCGTATAGAACGGTTCAAGAATGTAAGTGTGTCCTCTCTCATGATCTGCATTCTTGACCATCTTGAATCCTCGTCTCAATACAGTCTTACCGTCGGAAGACACCAAATCCTATCAGTGTTCCCCGGAACACAAGTTACACTAAGCTCCCATTCTGATAAAATCCAGTATAACACACTCGCTGTTGCGCTGCATAGCTTTTGTTTAATTGAATTGGTCCCTCTTTTCCGCCCCCAGTGGATTTTCCCTCGATGTACTACTGCCCTAGTGTTGCCATAATAAGTCTTGATATGTTCTCATTATGATGCGGTAAGTCTTTTCTTCGTGTCGCACTTGAGTAGCATCACAACCGATGTCACGGGTAACGTCTTGTTGCCTTGCAATGCGCTATCTCCTACTGACAAAGATATCATCAGCTCGAGCGGGCGAGCCATTAAAAATAGAGCGTTTCTGTTTAGCGTGTGGACAAAAATCGCGCGAAGGAACGAGCGCGAGTGTCTGTGCTGAATGGTGTCTCAGTGTATTTAACACAGAATCATGCAGGAGCCATGCAAACGCCGCAGCCGCTTATCCAGCAGCGCCAAATTTGAACTAGCAGGTCAAATAATGTATGCTCTCCCTCGTCAGATCACCTCACTCGCACATATTTTTATCTAATTATCCCTGCGTAGCCGAATTTTCGTCGTAAAGAAAACCGCTGCCATTGTATATTGGTCTTGAGATTGACTGCTGATGACTTCTGCATACCTGTGATTCCGATCATAGCCATGGGTTGGCCCCCACTTCCTTCCCACATATCTTACAAAGGAAGTCCTCCGAATATGATGGGTGACGTGGAAGTCTCGACTCCTCAATAACCCACATGCGCCTTGGTGACCCTATTCAGACATGAGGAGCTTGTCCAAGTTGCGGGCGTCTCGGTGCATGTTACTTTTTACTCTGCGAGTTTGGGGGATGTGAATGTCCTTTGTGCGTACCTGTCGTGTCTCCATAAATCCGTAGCTGTTCTGGTTTACTCAACTGCAAGTAACACTTGCGGAATGCTTTGGCTCACCTAAGGTATGTGCCGTAGTCATTCACTTAACGAGGCGTTCACGCAAATGATCACTGAGTTTTTGTGCGGGGGATGAGATATAAGACTCGCCCAAATCCCAAAGTCACACCTGCAATGCTTCCTGGCCATCCCTCTTGCGCGCGCCTCGTCACCTACTTGCCGATGTCTCGCATCAACTGTGTTAACAATTTGCCGCGAATCGCCTCTAACCGTATCCTCTCCGGTTTGCTGCATGCATCGGTGAGATTATGCTGCTTATATGCTGCTATATATCATGAGCTTACCGAGATGTATAGGTTGTGCACAAATGCTAAAGGAGTACCGCGGTTATAGATCGATCGGTAGGTGGTGGAGCGGTGCCTAACATATTCCTCAAGACACGCCTTTCTGATCGTAGAGGGCCGTCTTGGCTCCTGCGTACTCGCTACCGCAAATCCACGCTCGCATAATTTGTTACGAACCGAGGTAGAACCCTGCGGTGATATCCATGTATCGTGTATATAAACTTGGTTGCCCCTTGGAACATTCACACCTGTATCCTATGACTGCAGGCAACCTTCACTCAATGGTCAAAACACGCTTTGTCCAACAGGCTTTCAACGACGAAGTGCACCAGTCTGGCGGGTTTCTAAACCCCACAGGTGACAAGGGGGACATATTTTCCCGTCATAGTTCCTGGCTCTTGAAGACGGAAGACTTACTTTCGGCGACATCGCCACCGCGGCAGTACATTATCCTTGTAATAGGAAGTAAGTCCTCACCCTTATTGATTACCCCCGAGACTGAGAATCATTAGATCCAACTTACCACGAGTTGTCTCCACTGTTTCTTTCAGGATATTACGCTCAATCGCTGGTGATTATCGCAAGTCACCAACCACCAAATATCCCACATATCGTAATGCCCGCACTCCGTATTCTCCGCCTCGCATCCCCGCTCACTACAGAAACGACGGGAGCAGCGCGCTTCGCGAGCGTACTCGCTTGGGCCGAACATTCAAGCTATGACTGGCGGAAATATGGTGGCTCTGGCGCTTCTGAGCAGTCCGAAGAGGAAGACCATTGGGAACTATTCGGCGAGCATCTATCGCCCAACTTACCCCACCCACCTCGTTCGCGCTACAGGCGGAATCCAAGTATCTCGCATCCGAGTTTCCCACAAGAGACATGTATCAATCGGCCTTTTGACGCAGTGCTGAATTTCCTCCCCACGAACATCCTTGACTCGGAGCACGCCGTACTCAAACACATTATTCTTACTTCGACTATTAGTCGCCCGTTCCTTGACGATATTGCCATGGAAGAAGCTTATCCAGTGAATGGTATCTTAGGCCGATGCAGATCCATGATGAATGCACTTCGCGACCATAAGCGTGCCAGAAACGTGCTGGTAAATCCTCATAGAGTGCGCGGTGGACATTTCACTCCCGTGGTCCCAAATGCGCAGATACATGTCTCATCGGCTGCTCCGCACATTGTGCACCTCATTCCGCATTTTCCCGCTGAACAGTCGCAGACGACGCAAAGAGTCGTTGAAGGCATAGAGACCTTTATTTCCGCTTCTGCCTACGCAACGCAATTGGACACAGAGATGGGTATTGATGTTCGCGCGTTAAACCCAGCTCGATCATACATCATGCAGACATCGACTTTTGGAGCGACTCTCGATTGTTCCTTTTCTCATTTGAACACAGATACTCTCTCCGCAGGACAAGCTGACGATCAGTGGGGATGTGAATGGACCGTGGCCGATGTTGTGCTCTGCGGCGCGCTCGACAACATTATGATCGCGGACAGTGGGCGAACTTCCGCGTTCATGGGACGAGCATGGATCTCAGGCCCAGGAGACATCGTCCTTGCCCCAAACTCGAGGATGACTTCATTCCCCTCTCCACCTATATTTTCGAGAGGGGTATCCAATCACGACCTCCGCATAAGCGAGGTGTGGGGCGGGTCGGAGGGCGCCGGCGCTCTAGAGATCGCGAGACATTTGGCGAACCTGGGAGACGGACAGAGGCCAGAAAGTCTCATATCTGATTACTCTACCTCGTGCGAGCGTCACGTCGCCGAGCAGCCCCTTGCACCTTTCCAAGAAACGGACGGACAGTCCTCGGAGGTGATAGGCAAATTATCAGCCGAACCCGTCGCTCTAACTGTCAAGCCGACCGTCCCATTACAGTCACGTCCATCTGTTCGGAAGATGCAACAGTCGCTGTTGTCCGGATGGAAAGACGTGAGTGCTTGGCACTTTCGAAGGAGGGGGAAAACAATCTGAGACGATGAGTGGACGAGGCGGATTGGATGTGCGTAATATGTTGTTTGCTATCACCGGACCTATGCCCCAATGCGCTGGGATACACGTACGCTTTCCTCCTGAGCTACTGGTTTGGACTGCTTGTCTTATTCATTGCGTCTTTTGGCATCATTCCGTTAAGTTTGAATGATCACACAATTTCACATCTAGATTTTTAACGATTATAGACGATTTAGAGACGAACCTACGTAATTCTGTAGTAGGATGCCCGCTACGACTCCACGATCTGCGTTCTGACGAATTGCACAGGACCTTCATCTCCTCCACTCAGCCTCATCTCGGGTCTCACACCGTTCCACCAGTCTTTGGCTTTCAACATTGACCTATCTTGCTGCTTGACCTATATGCCTCTTAGTTGATACAAAAAACGAGTCAGTTAAACACGTACCTGAGGAACAGACAGGATTGAGTTAGAAGCACAGCGAATCAGTAGCGACGCGGAAGGTGAGTGGTAGATAGCAGTCCCCGGCGCAGTTAGGATATCATCCACAGCCTGCATTGAGTCGGTGAGCACCGACGGTGAATGTAACTGTAGAGATCTATTTGTCTTCAAATATGCAATGATTGGTTTCTGGAATACAAGTGAGCAGCGGGGACAGGATAGAATGACACGACGTTCACCTGATGGGAAATCGCACGATATCGTCTAACGATGTCTTCTGCGGTCATCGTCGTAAAATTGACAATGGCATCGTTTGAGGTAATGACTGGCGCGCGGCGTGCTGCCGCATCAGTAGTCTGAGGCATCAATGTTGCCTATGTACGGGAGGGTTGTCAGTAAAAATCTTAGGGCGCAACAGGCGGGACTCAATCTAACCTTGCCGGCGAGTATGTCTCGAAGCGCCGAAACGAGAAGATCTCCACCTTCACGACCAAGGATGTCTCTCAATGTGACAAATGTAGCATTCTCAGGAATATCCTGCATGCCTGTTAATCATTTCCCTCGATCCACGATCATGTCACTTACCATTAGTTTCTGGTTCCAAATCCCACCTGCATCTATCCCTTTATTGCGCTCCATCATCTCAATTATGCATACCCCAGTCTCCTTTTGCCCATCTAACAATGCATGTTGGATGGGTGCTGCGCCACGGTATACAGGTAGTAAAGAAGGGTGGACGTTGAGTCGCAGAGAAGGCGAGAAAAGATCGAGTAGTGTCTTTGGAAGTATACGTCCGAATGATGCAGTGATTAGGACGTGAGGATGAGGAGGCGCAGATGCCAATGCAGAGGAGAATGGAGCGGGTGGCTGCATTGAGATGTGAGGATGTGATGACACAGGAGATGAGATGGTTCAACCTGCCAATTCTTGAACCCTGCTTTTGCGGCCGGAATAAAATGTACGGGTAATTTTAACTGATAGCCCAAGCTTTTCAGAGGCGCTGAAAAGAGGTATTAGGGATCGAAGACAGCATCATAATGACGGAAGGGAGATGCAGGAATCCAATACAACACAATATCTTTCCTGAGGATATGTGCACATTGACTGATCAAACTTGATTTTGCGGAGTTTCTTGCTAGGAGACAACAAAACGGTCCGAGAGAGAGGATAAAGGACTTAAGATAGCTTCTGCTATCTCCATTAAAGCGCGCGTAGTACGCCCTCGCATAGTTCACATTAAAACCAGCGGTGATAATTAAAGACGCAGGTGCCAGATACTCAAAGCGGAGGAATGATAGGAAAGGAGACAATTTAAAAGCAAAGACTTACATTCAGAAACCTTTGAACCACGTCTACCTATTTTGACATCCGGTTGCGTCACAATATGTAGCTCATTCCACACATCTGTTCCAAAGGATTCAAGTTCAAATGACATGACCCAACCGTGCATACACGCACCTCTTGCCTCGTGAAGTCTCTGTAAGACGAGACAGGAGAATTCATCTCGACCAAAGAATAATATTTTAGAGGACGAGTACGAGAGAGCTTGCCCGTGCCATTGTCGTGCATGCAGCGTCGAAAGTCGGCGCATGGTCCTCAAGCGCCCATTGCCATCATCCCACTCGATGATGGTCACGGTCACGGCAGTCGTCACTGCACGGCGTCACACTAAACCTCAAGGTCGGCAATAAGCTGTCAATTTCTCTGACAACAACGACGACGTCCAGCACTCCAACTCTCTTCCACCATTCTCAGACGTTTAACTCCTCCAAGGCTCTTCCATCTTTCCCGCTGCTAGCCAACTCGAAGAATTGACGTTACCCATCACCTTCCCATAATCACTCCAGCGCAGGGTCACTCCAATCCTCGTCTACATCCTCTACACTCACTCCACAATGGCCCAACAAGCACGTCCTTCATCATCGACCTCGTAAGTTAGATATCGCCGGCACTTTTCTCTCTAATGTTAATTTGTACCAGTCATAGTGACGCATGGAAGGCCGATTTGCGCCCGCCACCAAAAGACGATCGTCCTCAAACCGAGGACGTAACTGCCACGAAGGGCATCGAATTCGAAGACATGTTCTTGCGACGGGAGCTCCTCATGGGGATTTTCGAAGCTGGTTTCGAAAAGCCTTCTCCCATCCAAGAAGAGGCTATCCCTATTGCACTCACCAAACGCGATGTTCTCGCTCGTGCCAAGAACGGCACTGGGAAAACCGCCGCATTCGTCATCCCTTCCCTTCAACAAATTGACGTGAACAAGAACAAAATTCAAGCATTGCTGCTTGTACCCACACGCGAGCTTGCCCTCCAGACGTCCCAGGTGTGCAAGATTCTCGGAAAGCATATGGGCATCCAGGTAATGGTTACCACCGGTGGAACAACACTAAAAGACGACATTATGCGCTTGTCTGAGACCGTGCATGTCCTCGTTGGAACACCGGGTCGTATACTAGATCTAGCGGGGAAGAACGTGGCGGACTTGAGTGAATGCCCCGTATTCGTGATGGATGAAGCGGATAAGCTGCTTTCGCCGGAATTCGCGCCTGTTATGGAGCAATTGTTGTCGTATATATCGAAAGACCGTCAAGTCATGCTGTTTAGCGCAACATTCCCACTAATAGTAAAGGACTTCAAAGTGAGTTAGTATTCTTTTATTATCTACATCAACCTGATTCCTTGTGAAGGACAAATATATGAGGTCACCTTACGAAATTAATCTCATGGACGAGCTTACTCTTCGCGGCGTGACGCAATACTATGCCTACGTCGAGGAACGGCAGAAGGTTCATTGTCTCAATACTCTGTTCTCTAAGGTGCGCTACAGGATCTCTCTGCTTATGCTTCTGGCTGATGGCGTCCAGTTACAAATTAATCAGTCTATTATTTTCTGCAATTCAACCAACCGTGTCGAATTACTCGCAAAGAAGGTGACGGAACTGGGCTATTCCTGCTTCTATTCTCATGCGAAGATGTTACAATCGCATCGTAATCGTGTCTTCCACGATTTCCGTAATGGTGTATGCCGCAACCTTGTCTGCTCGGACCTCCTCACTCGTGGTATCGACATCCAGGCCGTAAATGTCGTCATCAATTTTGATTTCCCTAAGAACTCCGAAACATACCTTCACCGGATTGGTCGTTCTGGACGATTTGGCCATCTCGGTCTCGCGATAAATCTGGTCACATACGAGGATCGCTTCAACCTGTATAAAATTGAGCAGGAGTTGGGCACCGAAATCCAACCAATTCCCCAGCAGATAGACAAGGGGCTCTATGTTGCACCTGGTACCACCGAGGAGCCCACTGAACAGAAGGTTCGAGCCGTCCAGAATCAACGTCAGCCAACTCCAGCACAAATCGCCTCCACCACCCAACAATCCTCGCCAGCACAAGTTGTATATTCAAGTAACCCGCAGCCTCCCCGACCGCAGAACGGGAGCGCGATACCCTCGACGCAGGCACGAGCTCCCTATCAAGCTTATCGTGGCGGTGTGCCTGTTGCGCGGTGATAGTGCTGGCCTATATCCACAGTTAGAGCTGCATCGTCATCAACGTATTGTAGTTGTGGAGGTGGTGGTTCAAGCTGGAAGCACGTTTGAGTAGGTATGGAGGGGGGTGGAGGGGCACGTCGAGATCAGTCCAGCAAACTCGTCTTTCATTTACGATCATATCAAGCTTTACAGCGTTCGCACAGGGCTTCTGTATCATATAACCGATGTCTGGAACACTCACACCCACATCTCATCGCCTTGGCATACTATCCGGCCAATGTCCCTTCCAGTCATTCGCGTCTACCCCGCTTTCTCTGACCGTCTGAGTATACGTAGCCTATCTATCCTATAAGCTTACGGTGTTTTTATTTCTCGTGTTACTCCCCTCAGCCCTCACCCGTACCGCAGTATGAGCATGTATTCGTCGTAAGTAGTTTGAATGAAGTCTTTGGCTGGCTTGGTCGTCCTGTATTTCCGAAAGCATATGTACTTGTCACAAGCGCTTCTCCCGCTGCTTAGGACTGAGTCATGGCGACGCTATGCTACTCTCTGTCGTACTTACGTGTCCTCGCACTCAGTGAGCTGTTTCTGAGCCACATCCTGTCCATTTCGGCTTGTTGCATAATTCGATAACTAGTGTAACAACCGTGGTTCAACTTGAACGTTCAACCGTGAACATTCTTGATTCATCCGAACTCGGACACAACACACTCATGTCACAGGGCGAGTTTGTACACTTGCCTTCATACGCCTTTGGATCTTCATCTCGTCAACGACCCTCACTGGAAGACCGAGATTGGCTACCGTCTCCCCGTCTCCCGACAGCCATCTCGGACAAACACTCCCGACGCTGGCGTTACAAATGTCTAGCATTGCAGCACTATCTCCTCCGCCCCCGCATTATTATCACTGTACTCAAAGTTGCGGTGCCTTGTATCATACTGCTGATCTTAGGGGGGCTCCTCGTCTGGGAACCCCATATTGAACTCGCGTTCTACTCGCGCGAATGGATCCAGAGCGAAATAGAACCTATCCTCCCACTCTCGGATTGTTTTCGTCCCGAACGCGTCTCACCGCTTTACAATGTGAGTGAAGCTATCTACGGGCTCAAGCAGACAGAAGTACAGGCGGGTCTGCCACTGCGGCTTGGAATGGACTGTTACGATTTCGCGGGGACGATCCAAGATGCTAGCGGGAGCATAACCTCAAATGAAGGAATTACTTTCTATCATACATATTGGCGTTCAGATCTGGCCCCTTTCGGTACTCGGCAAGAATGGATGTTGAAATCATTCTTCGCGACGCAGAATACTGACAATGTGCGCCTCATCCTCTGGTCAAATGGAGATCTATCCAGAAACTCGATCTTGGACTATTGGTTGCGGCGATATCCAGAGGCGTTCGAGCTCAGAATTGTCGACTACAACGAACTGGCACGGGGCACGGAGTTGGCAGGCAGCGAGTTGTTGATGGTAAAGGATTCGAGGGCATGGATTGACGGAGACTTGGTGCGGTTGCTGGTACTATGGGCATTCGGAGGAGTTTGGGTGGACATGGACTCCTTGCTTACGCGGGATCTTTCTCCTCTACTCGACCACGAATTTGTGACACAATGGGATTGCTATGGTGCGTCTTTGCATGGTCTTGCTGTGATATTGGGCACGAGTAACATATTTCCACATAGACAAAATGTACTCACCCTTTAATGGTGCTCTCATGCGCTTCCGCCAACATTCTCCATATCTATGCGAAGCCTTCCATATAATGACGACGTCGCAGCCGCCTAGGAAAGGGACAACGGACTGGGGGTCACTGCTCTACCTCAAGCTCTGGAGGCGACTCGTTGCCGCGTCCATCCCGCCTTTCAAAGTACTACCGTTTTGCTTCTCGGACGGACGTTCATGTAGGCTCGACAATCGTCTTCCTGACCCATTCACTCCCGACCCAGTGAATGGGCGCTGGACGATGGGTCTGGGAAGGGAAGAAGGAGGCGGCCTGGACAAAGTGCTCGGACAAATATTCTCTATACATTTACACAATCAGTGGGAAAAGGTCTATCCTATCGGAGGATGGGTTGAGAGGCTGCTACTCCAGAAATATGAAGATGGCTTGGCTCGGACAAGATAGACTGTTACATTACATTGGTGATCTGGTAGTAATCATGTGGAGTATGAATATAATCTCAGCGTACAGCATCCAGGCACTGGACAGCTGTGGAAGGACTACAAGTCTGGCATACGACGGACGACTTTCCCCTCATTTCGGACATGCTTCCGCAGTTTCTCCAGTAACATCGAGTTGACCCATCGCTCCGGCGGCGTTCTCTTCTCCGTTGCCCAGTAGTAGATATCCCAGTCGGCCTCATCCATGAGCTATGGGAATGAAAATGAAGATGTGAACCTTTCAGGCACTATTCAGGACGCACCTTGTCAAACTCCCTTAGCTCTTCCTCATTCATAGACCCGAGCTCCTCCTTTGCGAATGTGCTCAACAACAGGTCGCTTTCAAGCGTTCCTCGCTTTCGTGCTTGGTAAACAAGCCTCGCACGCATCGTCTCGAGTATCTCCCCCGGTCGAGGAAGAGGGACTGGCGCTGGCATGTCAGCAGGTGTGGTTGTCGACGCCAGGTGCTCGGGAGTGTTAGGAAGCAGCCATGGGTCTGCGGATCGGCTTGCTGTCGTGGTAAGCAGACGATTGAAGAGACCACGACGAACAGATGCTAAGATTGGAAGCAAAGACGCCATAATCGTTCGAAGATGATGCAGTCAATGGTCGAAGAGTTGATGCCCGGCGCTCAGCAGTGGCTGCATGACATCTGCACAGCGCTTCATATCGCACGAACTCATATGCACGAAAATCGAGAATAATAGATACTTTATTCGTAATATATGGATACCTATTTTCACATGAAGGAGGAGAGCAAGATCAAGAAGGCTAGCAAAGTTTCGAGTACAAAGGAAGAAAAGGGGACTGAGAAAGGAAGCGTATTACAATAAAGGCGCAAAGGGAGGTGATCGCGGGACATGCACCACAGGCACGGAAGAGGACCTGATGCAGAAAGAAGATATTCTATCAGGATATTAGAACAGTGTCCGCGGGTTGAGCCGAATAGATACGTAGGATGGAATAGGTAGGACAAGTACAGACGCGGGACAACGAGGAGTGCAGAGAAAATCATACAGAATCGTGCAGGAGAACTGTTGCGGTAGACATATTTAGTGATGCAATGCAGTCGAGTCCATGAGCATGCGTGTCGAATATGTGGTCATTTGAATCGCGAGCGCCGTCTTCCATCCCTGCTGCTGGACATCCTACAATATCCTCAACTGCCTGGGTCCGCTAGTTTGCCTGTTCTTCCGATACCACCAAAACTACTCAGCATAGCGCTCTCGCACAAACACCCTAACTTTCTCCAAGTCGCTCTGTACCCACACTGACAAACTAGCCGCCCACTAAACCGAGAGGAACCAAAGAGACGAGGGAGAAGGAGAATAGCGTATATGACGGACCAGACGCAAATCGATGTAGACGTTATTGCTGTCTCAGCCCATTTTGCTAGCATCCTTCTTCTTCTGTTTGCGAGGTGTTGTGACCGGCCGCCCCATATTCACACCGCCGTAAGGATATTTGGCCTTTTTCTCAGCAGGCTTCAATATCTGTAGCAGTACATCAACAAATCTCTTCCGAAATACTAGAAACGAAGGCACACGCACTTGGAAAGAGCACAGAAGCGTTTCGTCTACACTCATCATAGCCCCCGCATTATCAAACTCGCCACAATAATTGGGCGCCGAGAACAAGGTCACTAAGTGTCGCTTGGCGAAAAACTCATACCCGTCTTCCACGACCTACATCCCAGACCAAATTTTTCAGTGAGTGGCAGTCAAAGATACAAGTGTAATTATACCTGATGCGCTCGACATATCAAATCCATGTCGTGCTTCTGCAGGAACCTCGACACGACATCGGGTCCAAACGTAAATGACACTCCTCGATCGTTCTCCGACCAACCTGTAATATCTTTATCGGGGTCTGACCAAAGAAGATCACACAAGAGGCCTAGATTCAAACGTCAGCGCATTGGATACGTTTCCAAAGCAGACATCAGCATACCAGTATCAGGGACGTCAGTGGGTCTCATAACCCTTCGGATCTGCTCCATTGACTGCAAGTCTGGTGAGAGACCTCCGTGCATCGTGAAGATCTTTTCATCGATGATGGCTGCGATGGGTAGACAGTTGAAGCAATCGGTGAAAGTCTTCCAGAGCTTGATGTTGTACCGTCGCTTGCCTACCGTGCATAGCGTTCAAGTTCGTGAAGAATGGAAAGAGAGTATGAGAGATACGTGTGCTTGAGTCATCAGAGCGCCAAGAGCAGCAAGAACGCACATTCATCATAGAACCCGTAGATTCGGTTGATACTTGCACACTCGTGATTTCCCCTCAGCACGAAGAAGTTTTCCGGGTACTTAATTTTGTATGCCAATAGAAGACAAATAGTTTCCAAGGATTGCTTGCCGCGATCCACGTAGTCCCCGAGGAATAAGTAATTCGCTTCTGGCGGAAATCCTCCATATTCGAAAAGTCGCAATAAGTCATAATATTGGCCGTGGATGTCACCTGAGGTTTGTGTGTCAATGATATGTGTGCTAACAGACACGACGTCGAGAGACGCGGGGCATACCACATATCTTGATGGGAGCCTCCAGTTCAAGTAGGATGGGCTGATTGATAAAAATCTCGCGAGCTTTCGTACAAAGGTACTTTATTTCGTATTCCTGCAGTTGTACGGGCTTCCCTGGACGGTTGCCGCGTACTGGAGGGGAGCGGGTTCGGTGAGAGAGCACAGCGCACGCGTACTCGGGTGACTGCTTACCTTCAAGAAGCCTGTCAATGACTGAGTCGAGGTCGATCTCCGTCGCAGTGTCCGCCATGACTTCACCGTTTCAAGGAGACGGTCGGAGGATCGATTCAAGAGAGTGCGAGCGCTGCTGGCCGTTAACAACAATCGTATTTTGAAGTGATGACCCGGTCTTTATGAGAGGGCAGGAGGAACAATTTGCGGTACAAGGATGGAGACCTGAAGTGTTATGCTATGGAAATGGGGAGCGTCGGTGGTCAGCCGGCTGCAGCACCAGAGAAAGCGAAATTTGAGAGTCGAAGCAGCAGATAACGAGGGACGCGGATGATGTGACCCTCCCGTGCTCAGCGCGCCACATCCTCGGGCGGAGTGTCCAGCGGAGTCCAAATCCTTCTTGTCTGGGCCCACTTCTTCATAGCAACTGCGTCCAAACACAGATCTGGACAAAGTGTTTCTTTTTTTTTTTCGTGTTTGTCATCTCGTTCTCAGGTTGGTTCGCTGTTGTCACATTTTTCTGTTTGCTAGGCGTCGAATATGAGGCGCCCAGTGCAGGTACGCTCAGTAACCATTTGCCAGGTTCGCGCAAAGTGGCAAGGAAATGAGGCAGCCTCCATGCCAACATGCGAAGCCATCGCCTTGTCGCTAACATATGTTCCCCATGTCGTCTGGATCATCATTTACTTCTACAGAGAGCTCTTTGAGCATGCGCGATACGCTTCCATTTCATGCTGCTCGTACAATATTCATGTGAACATGAAAGACATGCTCGGACCGGCGTACGCTATTATGTCGAATGACCCTTTATTACCTTGACACTGGGGTTCTTGTTTTTGACGCACACAGTGCTTCCGAAGGCCGTCAATGGTGCCCCTTATGGCGCTCCTTATGGTGCTGCTTTGTTTTTGTGATACTCTCTTTCACGAAGTGTCGAGCCCTCAGCTTGACATTCGGAACAAGGAACCAGGTTACACTCTTCCTCTGATCAAATTGTCAATAGCTGTTAGATTTATGCGTATTGCGTTTGTCGAGACATTCACTCCTGCAGCCCATACGCTAGATCACTGCATAGCAATGCTAGAGCTGGATAGGGTCAAAAATATTTCCCGCGAAACCATCAGTCTTCTGCAAGAGGCGAATCAGGCGATCCCTTTCTGTCATGGCTCGAAACGTATAATTCGCAGGCGACAGCAACGTTCCGGATGTGACAATTATTTTCGCCTTTGTGTTACTCTATGTCCTTCAAACAGTAAACGAGCGGGCTTCCATTAGTTGCGTAAACGTATCATAGGCAGTCATGGACATGCTTCTCCTTTAATAACGTGGCAGTGACCATAAGTGGGATGTGAGGATGTACTGGGTGGTACCCTGGAGGATGTAAGGATATGCGGGAAAACAGGGAGCACGCCTTGAGCCCAGGTAGATTACACTTACACGTGTACAGACGATATGGCAGTACGCCAGAGATGAGGAGGAAAGCTCTAAACGGCAACGTACAGGGTGGCACGGAAATAAAGCATACACACAAACCAGAACTTTGACATCAATAAGCAGCCAACTTGGTGGCATACGGTAAGAATTGCCATATCAAAGGTGATCATGCGGGTGTTGAGAGAATCGTTGGCGTAGCGTCGGCGACGGAGCTACGTGGTATCTCTGTACTAGCAGCGACAGTACGAGCTCTTCGTCGGCGACGTCTGCAAGAACAAAAAGTCACTGTTTGTCGACAACAGTCAAAGCTAATCCATGAAGACGAACCTTGGGAACATAGGGCCTCTTGGCATCGGACGTTCGTCGAGATCAAGGGAGATATTAGTGGCAGCTTGTATGCCCTATTGGACGGATATAAGCAATATAATTCATCTTCGAGCCTTGATGTACGAACCTCGATCCACTCAATGACAGAGGCCACGTCTTGAGCCTGCAGAAGGAATTGTTCGCCTTCCACACGGACCCTGATTACGTTCTTCCGCTTCAGGTAGTCGCTCGCTAGACCGCTCTCTGCGTGTTGAAGCGTGTACGCGCGCAGAAGATCTTTTGGCGACGGCTCTACAACGCTCTTCGCCGAGTTTGGCTGTGAATAATCGGAGGAAGGAGAAAGTAACCGCGAGCGAGAAAAAATGGATGAGCTGTCGGTGGCGGAGGGAGATGAATTAGAAGTAGAAACGCGAGAAGGCGTAGTGGAGGCATAACTCGAGCGCGCCGGCGCAACGTCAACCGACGCCCGGGGTACCACCGATATCATCGAATGGTCGTCTGTTCGCAGGGGATCCATACTCGCACGGGGACGCGGTAAATCGACGTTACTGGACCGACTGCTCGTTGACAATGTCGAACGATTGCTTGTTGAACTCGTCCGCGCAGTCGCTGTCGCGCCCGAATTCTTGAAGTGACTTGATCGCGAAGGATGAAGCAAATTGGTAATATGTAGTTTCGAGCGTGAAGGCGGTGGTGGTAGTGGAGGCGGGGGGTGCACTAGAGGTGGGCTATTCTCAGGTATCGGCGTTGAGGGCGTGTCGTCAGGATTATCGGCCTTTCGTGGTCTTTCCGTCTGACTCTCCGCCTCGGTGGTCCGACCTCGTACCGCACTTACCCTGATGCCAGGCTGCGCTGCGGCTGCCGGATGTGAGACGGTAATGTCGCCCACGCCGACCTTCTTCTCCCACCATTCCTCAATGGCACTCACACCAGCTGCACCAGGCGGGCACTTGTACACTTTGAAGGCAGTGCCTTCAAGCACACAGAGCACTCGGCGCCATTTCCTATCTTTCGCCTGGATGCCCGGCGCGGTGAACTCTAGCTTGCGGGGCATGACAACCGCAAGGTGGATTGAGTTCGAGTAAGAAGGGAGACGCTCCTTGCCTTCCTCGTCGCGCGGTTGTATTGCCGGACCACGTCGAGGATGGAAAGACGGATAAGGAGGTGGGTTAGATGACATCTTGTACGTGGGTAGTGAACGTTGTCGCCGAAGAGTAGGAGACGCGGGGGACTCGTCTTCTTCTGGTTCGACCTGCACGCTAGGAGCACCACTCGCATCTTCGTCGACAAGGGGTGGGCCTGGTGGCAGCTTGCTTCTCCGCCGTTGCATAACAGAGTCGGCCCCAATTATCGGTGATGCCAGCTTGTCCTTGCCCTTCGTCGAAAGAAGATCGACCATGCTACGGGATCCGAACTGATATAGGCCAGGCCTTGGAGACCCATTCGGCATTGGTATGATCTGTGGTCCATTCCCCACCACAGGGGTGCGGAGGGATGGCGTGTTAATGTAGTCGGAGGGGCGGGGTGTGCGTGTAGGAGAAGAGCTGCGCTCCGAGTCGCGGTCTGATTTCTTGGATGAGAAATAGTCGGATGCGACAGAGGAGGGACCAGGGCGGGTGAGAGCAGCGGGCAGGCCGCTGTAGGCTCGCGGCGTAAGGTAAACACTCGCCCGGTTAGGCCTCTCGGTGACTTCCGTCGACACGCCCAAATGCGAGTCGATCTGACGCTGCTCGGCAGACCTGGGGACACGTGACGCAGGCGACGTCATATCGGCCGACTCGTCGGCGTCATCCTCGTCGCTCGCCCCAGCGTCGGGCTCTCGTATTCCCGGGCTCGCGTCGTCGTACCCCTCGTCCTCGTCCTCGTCCTCCTCCAGGAGTCCATCTCCTTCTTGATCACCTTCCCGCTCTGTCTCGCTCGGGCCACGCATGGGCAACGCGGGGATACTCCGCAGCGGTGCTTGCTCACGAACAGGCGGCGTAGGCGTGATCGACGGAAGAGTGGGCAGATTGAGGATAGGCATCGGTGGATGGCGCGTAATAATCGACGGCGTCAACCGCGCAGCCCCCTTGGCGGTGTAGCTCGCCATCATAGGAGGCGGGAGCGTCGCGAGACGCGGGGCGAGGTCGCGTTTGCCGGACAAGCCTGGCGACACTTCACTAGAAGAACTCCATAGCGAGCTAGCAGGACCAAATCCGCTCGTGTCCAGTGTCAACGTCGGCGGCGAGGCTCTGCTTGCCAAAGCGGTTGGATCTGGCCCGTCGTCACTCGGGTCCACGATGATTGGCGGCACGGGCACGACGGCCAAGCTTTCATCGTCGTCCTCCGCAGCAGGAATAGGCAAGTTGACATTGGGAGCTGAAGGCACGGGGTCGGCCTCCAGATCGGGAACCGCAGCGCCTTTCCCGCGGCCGCTGGAAAATCCATCCCTTGGCTGTATCGACCCTATCTGCTCCACGAGATCCTGCGAGCGAGCACGAGACAAAGGCGGCGTACTATCTGAAACGCTTCGCAAATGTAGTACTGGGGTAGAGTCTGCTAGGGGTGAAGTGACGTTGGCTGGCAACCCTTCTGTCATCGACCTCCCGACTCGCAACCAGTTTCTCGATTCGGGTGCGGTCTCTGAGGAATAGCGAACAGGGGACTCTCCTCTGTTGACACGCAATGTAGCGTGTTGGTTATTCAGCATTGCAAAATCCTTCGAGCCAAGGTCCATGGAACGTGCGCCGCGTTCGCATACCTCCAACTGTTTGCTGTCGCTGTTCTTGCGTTTGGGTGTGCGAATGTTAGATACTTTCTTGAGGAAATGGCTTGTGCGAATCTGCTTCGTATTTGTGAGAAGCCAAGCATGAACCCAGACAAAGCACTTGCCAGGAAGTGGGAAGCTCTCACATTTGCAGCAGACTGGTCCCGGTGAGGGTCCTGGAGCATTGTTCCCGTACGGCCCGCCGACATTCAGAATTCGATGCGACGTCAGTGTTTGGAGCTCAGATAGCAAAGAACTGGGTGAGTTGGGTGAGTCTGGGACGGGGGACGCAGGCGAATGTTTTGTGCAGAGAACGACGAGGAAGATGTGACGGGTTTCGACATGGAGTCCAGCCGCAGCTGGTCAATCACAACTGACGAAGGGGTGTTGTGCCGGGTGGAGACCAAACTCGGATTGGATTACAATCCTCACATTGGCGCACAGACGGATGCGGACGCCTATGTTTAGCCGGCGCCTCTCCAAGGCTGTCCGCCACCAGTTTCCCTCCATGGCCGAGAACAAAAGTCACTCCGCCACAGGGGAGGACACCTCGGGCATCAAGTGAACCAGAGCTCTGACAGGTATGAGCCCGTCCGCAGTCAAATAAAGACGAGTTTCTGACCTTAAGGTACTTATGCGACCCGCGACGCAATTATCTCATCTGTTTGAGAAGGGGAGACGGAATGACCAGTTCCGCTTGAGCATGGGATACAGTACATACAAAAATTTCAGTTAAAATCTCTTAGCCACCCCTCAATCCCTTCCCACACTTTATTTATTACTACCTTGTCCCACCACCCCATTTGCAGCACGTCGTGTACCCCATCCTCCACCCAGACCGTGCGCACGCTCACTCCGTCGCGCTCCATCGCACCCACTAACCTCATGACCTCCCTTTCTAGCCGCTCGGCATCTCCCAGTACGACGCACGTCTTGGGGAAGTCGCTGAATAGACTTAGTCCACGCGGCGATGCAATAATGGGCCTTGCCAGGCTCGTCGGACTCCGCTCCAGCTCCGGCCCAGCGTCGACCATGGGTGTCATCGGCACCGGCGTCGCTGGTGCAGATACCATCGTGCGCAGATTCTCTCGCGCAATGGTGTCCATCTGCCGAATCGTCAAGAACTGTACGCTCTCGGCGAACGCGTCCCCGTAGAATGCGCGTAGAACGCGTCCAGACGCCGGACTCACGTACGGACTGTGCATCGTTTCGATCGAGTTGTGACCCAGAAACGTCCGCTGTAGCAACGCGCGCGGTTCCGGCGTGTCCACCAGGTAATCCGTGCTTGCGTGGGGCCGCGGTATATATGACGAAGGCGCTTCTGGAAATGCGTGCGCTGCAAGAATGGTCAGCTCCGGTCCAACAGCAACAAACCTTCATATACTCACATGGATCGCAAGACGGCGAGAGTAATAAGAGGCCGTCTGGTAGTGGAAGTACGCCCTCGTCCCTAATCCATCGCGCCAGCGCCAGCACCAGATTGCCGCCTGCACTGTCGCCGATCAATATAATCTTGCACTGCATGGTCTGTGCCGCTTGTGTAACGTGTTTCTTTATCTTCGTGTTCTCTTCATCGTGTCTCATAGCTTCGGGTATATCGTTGGGACTCAAGAAGTCCCACTCTGTGGGATCCTCACTCTTCGTCCCTGGTATTTGCGGATCGGTATCAGATGTAGAATCTAGGGGATGACGTTGATGCTGGCGAACGATGTGTGCATACACCGCAGCAGCATCCTGAACCGCGGCAGGAAAAGGCGCATGTTGCAGTAATCGATATTCTACGCCTAACATATGTCAATTCCAGCGTAAAGCCGTGAGGCTGGCATTGGGCATTTACCGTAAACTTTCGTCAGGGTGTTGTCCTTTATACAGGTCGTCAGCAGAAATGCCAGTAAATGTATTGGATTACTCACTCGGATTAGCCGGCGCGGAATTTTGGACGTCCCGGCTTTCTCGTGTGCAGACATGTGACAGTACCCGCCGCCATGCAAGAAGATGCCAATGAGAGGCACCTCACCGGCTGCGGCTTCAATATCGAGGGGATCGTTCAAGGCGACATCAGAGCTCTTCGATGGCCCACGCGCTGGCAGAAGTTGACTTATTAGCGCGCTGTCTCGACCTTCCCTCTGCCCAAACCGATACAAGCTGATACAGCAAAAACATTCCTTAGATCCGCAAACATTGTCTGTCCTACTTTGACGCGATGACGAGCGAAATTCGATCTTCGGGCGCGTCACATCGAATGCACGATACGCGCACAGGCCACGCCAAAAGGTGCACGATTGATGGCATCTTCCAGCCGAGGCACCAATCACAAAAAGAATACGGGGAAGATGTGCATACCTTCAGGATCGTGTTTGGGCCAGACAAAGACGCCCACTCTCTTGTGGGGAACATGCTTGTCTGCAATAATCCCGGTGCACAGCTCGACAGGGAGCGGGTCTATCCACTCAAACCTCGTTTCCTGGAGTGTCCTATTGTCACAGGCCGCCTCGGGATTCCGCGTGCCCCAAGTGACGCCAGCGACTTCGGTCACCTTGTATATGCGCCGGGTAAAGTTGACGGTCACTATCTGCTTGAGCGACCAGGATGGCCTCGGACGGTATCTTCTAGGTAGAAGAGCATAGTAGAGGACCCAGAAGGGTATCATGAGAAGCGTGGTAATAAGCCGTTGGGCGACGTAGATGGCCTTGAGCGGTTGGCGGGCAAATGGCATGTCGCCCTGGTATCTGTACGGTTGCTGGTAGTACAGACCCATGGTGAACTCTCGTCGCTGTTGCGGACAGAGAGTGAGGGGTATAATTGAAGGGGCGGGCTGAGCAGGAAGATGGGTCCATGGCTGCAGCACCCCGCAGTAGAAAAACAAAAATCTTCCCCTGGCGCCGTCAATTTGCCACTAGCTCCGCGTGACGTCACGCAGTCGGCGGGCCGCTGTCCAGTGCCTCCCGCCGCTCAGCCATCCTTGCTATCATGGTTACTCCGAGTCTCATGATAATACACCACCCGCAATTGGCTACTATTCCGTAATGAATTCAACATGGCATGGGGTCTTAGATTATTCACACTGTGCGTACAATCATTCCAAGGAAGCCCGAGACTCTCCACAACTCCACTGGTTGAGCGTGCTTACAATTTCGCATGCGTTCTACGCTTGAGTCGAATGGGCACATCCTTCACCGCGAGAGTGAAGACGAATTTCACATCGAGGATTCTGCTGCGCCATTGCTCCACAGTTTCCCCCTTGGTAAGCAAAGGCTCGACTTACCCAATCGCGTAGGCACATTGTTAGAAAGGCAACAGCTTCCGTGGTGGCGAATTTGCGTCCAATACAACTGCGTGGGCCTGTATATCAGGTCGTCGTTAGATCTCCCGCTCATATTGCGCGGCACAAACCACTTGCCATAGCTGAACCCCGCCAATGGGCCGGTAATGTCCTTGCTTTCCCAGCGCGTGGGAACGAAAATTTCTGGTTTCTTATAGTATTTAGGATGGTTCGCTGTTAGATGCATTTAGCGAGGATACAGTCGTTCGCTGCCACCGTATGTTGCCAATACCTACCCATGCCTAAATTATCAACATAAACCTATCGAAATGTTGAATTTTTGCATATCAGATTTGCTCGACAGTGTCTAACATACCACTATTCCCTGCGGAATCGGGATTATAATGTCTCTTCCAGATCCGAAGGGGCTAGGAACGACCAGCTTCGTGTCTTCTGTGGCCTGACGAGCCATCACACAGACTACGGGGAACATGCGATTTGCTTCATAGAATGCGTCCAGTACTTTATCGAGCCTGTGATAGTCGTCTGCTTTCGGTGGCACAGGAAGTCATTTTGAGTGTATGTATCACAGTCAACTTACTGGATCGTTTTCCACTCTGATGACATCAATTATTTGTTGATAGATAGCATCTTGTATTTCAGGATGCACAGCCAGAAGGGCAAACGTCGCGGCTATCACGTTTCCGCTCGACTGCATCATCATTTTCCTATGGTGTTTGAATTCACTGCTGGGGATTTACCAGCTTACCTGATGTCCCGCTAATAGCATGACAAACACATTTGATATCTACCAGGAGCTCCAAACCTCGCCTCGCGCACAGCGTCATTGAACACTTACCAGTTCATCGTCACTTAGTGTCAGCTTCTCAGCGTGGTGCTTGTTAGTCTCATTTGACCAAACTAGCAGGCTCAGTATATCGCGATTTTTCCCGTCGTACATCAAGGTTCCTTGGGTTCTGACGTCTTCTCTGCGTTCATCTATTTTCGCTCTCATGTACTGATCCAATAGATGATATGCATCCTGTGCCTTACGCAAACTGATTGTATGTCAGAAAATTTAATGTGGCAACGAAAGGAACTAACGATTTAATCGGCAGCCTCATTAGCCACCTGGGTAGAAACCAAGAAGACGAATTGATTGCCAAGCATTGGATGGCACATATCGCTACTGCTTCCACGCGTCATATCGGACCAGGAAGTCTTCAATCCAAAACCACATGTGGCAAGAACAAGAAAGCAAAGCTGTAAAAAGGGTATACATAAACTCTCAGTTATTACTTGTGGCAGAAGGTGGACCTTGAGAGTGAAAGACGGGACAATGGATATATCAACAGCCTCGCGGTCGGCCCAGTCTTCATGGTCTAACATATCATGATATAACCGCACTGTTTGATCCCATACTAGTGTGTACCTACACTCATCATCAATATCCGTTGGCCAAGGATTATAATACATATTTGACCAACTTACAGTTCATTATTGAAGGCAGGGCCTAAGATTTTCCTATGTCTTCGCCATACTCCCTTCTCTGCAGTGACTAGATTGGTTCCCTATTGACTATTTTCTGATATTTAGATATGGATGGATAGGGTGAGATACCACTCACTTGATATGCGGCGCGAAGACTTTCGTCCAAGGAGAATCAGCACCTGCTGCGATCACCTGTCGGGCGACGTCGAGGTTTGCCGTGTAGAATTGCAGGTCATCATAGATAAAAGGGATGATCGAGATGGTATCTGTGCCAAACTGTTCATAGATTTACCAAGCACAATCAAAAATCAATATTACAGGCTCAATATCCGAATCGTGCGTCAACAAACGAGTCTGAGAACTCACAGTCGAAGAAACGTCTTCTCCAAAACCAGATTAATCCCGAACTGAAAGGATTAAACACACATAGGAATGACAATGGTGGAAATACGCATTTCATTCCGGGCAAATGACCAACGATCTAGCGACGATTAATCAGCTGGGCATGCTTCAGACAGGACAATACATAAGCGTTGAATAGCTATGGCACCCACACTTACCCGTAACCCATTTAGATACTTGACGACTCTCGATATAACAAAGAGTGTAACCGCCGTGACCACTACTTCGGCCCAACCATGATGCAAGATCGCAACCATGTTGGGTTCAAATACACAGTGGCTCTAATTAAGCATAGTTAGCTTGTTCCCAAGCGAATCAAGCCACTCGCCTTGAAATTCTTTCTTAATCTGCAGCGATGAGTCAAGCAGACGGTGGAAATGGCGCGTAGTGCAGTATTTATACCACCCATATAGCCGCTGGTACACTCATTAGATGAGATCAGGCTTGATCGGGCACTACCATGTCTCACCGAAAACGTTATACGCACGAACGTCGAATTGCTGGCCGAAGTGCTCGCAACCCATGTGCGGAAGATCTTCAAAATTGTAAGGAGACGCGATTCACGGACACTGTGCGCTATTCGCATGGATGGTTTGCTTCTAAGAATTGGGAGAAATATAAATCGCATGCTAACATCATCCATATGACACGCACATGTCTATTCGTTCCCCGGTGCAGCAATGCAATAAATCGTCAGACGTCGCACATAAAATGTGATGGATCACATGGCCCAGTAATAGTTTGATATTTGTAGTGGTCTTCAAACTCGAAGACCATGAGATCCCTGAGCAAGATATTGAGCGACCGCTATAACACAACAAGCGAGCAGTGATGCCTTGACACTACCGAGGAAGTGATATTTCCCCAGCCGAGGATATTTGTGGAAGGGGAGGCTCACCTTATTCAGCTGGCATCTTTCCGATGCCTTCCCATTGCGGCAGGGAAACAGTCATGTTTTTTTTGTGTGAAAACTCACTAGGTGTTCTACTGGATCACGACCCGATCACAACTGACAAATGCGTGCTGCATATGTCGACTTCGGTGACCGCTGATATGTGAGTAGGCATCAAGTAATCTTCTTAAGCCGTTCCAACCACAGTCCAAATATTGGCCACGCTAGTGCAGCTCGTGTAGAGGGGTCATGGAACAGTCGGCGGCCAAGCCCAAAAGACAAAAACAAATGGGCTGATCCTGAGTTCAAAGATATAATGTGAAATAGGGTATTCAAAATTAAGACAGGGCTAATAGTGATTAAAAGAAGAGGAGCGTCAGGTGGATCACCAATCATCAAATCCTAGTCGTCCATTGTCAAGTCGATCACGTCCGCATCTACATCGATGACTGGATGTCCCGGAGATGGTCCCACGTCCATGGCCGCATAGCCTACCGACGACTCTCTCTTGGTACTTTCTGCGCGCAACATCGCCTGTTGAACCCGATTTCTATGTCAGCCACCAGATACAACGCAAGGAAGGGCTTGCCTCTATCTCAGCAGTATCGGCCTCTGATGGATCACGACTCACAGGTAACTCTGTTTCTGCTTTCGCATACCGGGAACGCGAGTGCGGCGCCGAGGCTACCGAAACCCTATCAACATAGCCTCGTGGCACGTCTTGACGGGCGAGAATTGGCAGATCGCGAGGAATTATGCCTTGGGCTTGCAAAAGAGCTAATAGAACATCCCTCTAAGGTGCACAGTGTCACTCGGGCTTATAGCAGACTCACCTCTTGGTCGGTAGTGGAAGATAAAACGTATATAAGGATGCTTGGGGTTGTCGAGGTATTTATACTGAGGATAGGCTGAAGAAGAATGCGGCGCACATCTAATTGCCTCTCCCAACCTTGTTATATACATTCGGGTTGAGTAGAATGCTCTATATGGTTTGCAGTCAGCGACTTACGAGACACAGTGTGTTCCTGCCTTCTTACTTCGCTCGTGGATTGGCGTATGCGCGGGAACAGGATGCTTCCGGTGATGATGCTTGGGAGGTCGGCGCGAAATTCTGACGCGACAGACTTTGACCTCGATAATGCCCAGATTGTCAATGCTTGGGTCGTCCGGACTGGCGATCTCATCGTTATCTTCAAGTCACGGTCATAGCATGATATTAGAGACTCGTTACCTTGTTCTCGTGATAGTATTTACTCACCAGTGAGGGTAAGAGGGGTGAATTGAAAGGGCTGCCTCACATCTGTGTTCGTCCGGATACCCCAGCGGGATCCTTTCTTCTCAGGTGGCGTCCGGGAGCATCCCATACAATGCCCATCCATGTAGCAGTCGGCAGACGCGATCATGCTTAGATGATTCTTCCAGTGTACTGAGAAACTCTGGGGGTGTAGGATAGCTGATAGGCGCACAACTAGAACGAGGAGAACGAGTGGCGGCTGACCTTCCCAGCTTCGCTTGCGATGTAGCAGGAGACAGTGTAATCATCCACGATGCGGAAAGCGTATTCCTCGATGGGGACACCATCGCAGTGTATAATTGTCTCCCAGCGTTTGAAATACATGGCAGAGGAGAAGGGTGGATGCGGTGTACAGCGAGACGCGAGATGAGACTCGGAGTGGTTGCCACGGTCTGCCAGCCACCGCGATTGAATACTGAGATCTACAGTCAGGCTCGGCGCACGTGGCTCAAAGCCCCGCAACGTCACGGTCCACCCCGCATCACATTGCCAACAGACGCGCACGCGCCTCTCTCGAACCCGCGTCGCATATCACTTACCTGAGTTCAGGATTGCGCCAATATAACATACTCTGCCACCTCGACGGACATATGTTGCACTATCAGTTCCGCATATCCATCTCCTGCGATGGCAAGGACCTTCCTGAGTATGCGGTGCAAGTAGAAGACGAAAAGACTATCTCATGTTACATCCCAAGTGAGGCTGGGAAGGTACGTTTGCGCTCCCACATTTCCACAACTTGAACTTGAAGCCATCTTCGCGACAGGAATTCGTGGTCCGCTGGCACGATTTACATGCTCGAAGCTCTCACAACGTGGCTTGCATCATGGATGGACGCAGAATGGGAATTTCCACTTGCTATCCGGGCAAAAAAGGTGAACGGTGGGGTATTCGCACTTCCGCAACCTTGAGGAAGCCCTATCAGTTTACGGCGCTTGTGACAACGGGCATGTAATTTCCTTTCTGAAGTGGCGTTTGTCGATCCACTCATGAAGAGTTTACATCAGATGATGATAGTGTCCCTGGACAATCAGGCTGCGATGACAGACTGGGTACCATTGAAGTAAAACTAATCCGGGTTATGCTAGGTAAGAAGGAGAAGAAGGAGTTCTCAGCACAGCAGCACCAGCCAGATGTAGGCCCAGTGCATGAAAAAAGCAAAAAGGCCGGAGCGCATTGCGTATCGTACGCATTTATTCTGCATTTCTAGTCAATGTGAGGAGCTAATTTCAAGTCCACGGACAGTCTCGGATCGTCCCGTCATTGTGAGAACTTCTCCTATCGTCATCAGCAGGAAATACTGGATCCGCCGAGAAGTTTTTCTGCTCGGTTCATATTTCGCTACAGGTCGAGAGGTGAGTACGGAATGGTAAGTCCGCGAAGGCATTACTTACTCTCTTACGTGTGCAAGATATTTTACAGGCGCAGGGTATCATGCCACTAGATTCTCATGAGCCCAGTGAACCCGTACCTAAGGGCAAGATCAGAAAACGTGCCGCGAAAACGTCGCAACGTATCACAGATGGCAAGAGTAGTCGCAAACGTCTCAGAAGTGATGTCCCACAACCCCCTATTCCTGGAGATGTCAAGCCGACAATTCACCAATTATCCGCGCTTCAGAACGCCCTGGCTGCGACGCAAGAGCAGTTACAGAAGATCCAAAAAGACATAGACGCGATTACAAGTGGCGGAGGAGGCTCTTCCATTGCTCTCAAGCAGAAACTTGGTCCTTCAAAAATGGTCTTGAAGCGTGTGCTGGACAAAAATGTTATAGATCTTACACTAGACGATTAGGAGCACCATACGAGGAATATCCTATTTATACGCTTGGTTCGTACATTAGTCTATATCTTCCTTGGCCTCGTCTTCACCAACATCATCGTCGTCTTCTACAGGCTCAATGACAACGCACCAGAAGACCCTCCCCCATGGCTGGCCTCCTGAACGCTCAATGTCATTGATACGCTGACAGCAGACAAATCGCACAGGCTGCCCATCCCAGTATTTCATCATGTCAATTGTGATCCCCCCAGGTAGACGCAAGCAGACCCCGTGCGCACTGAAGCGTAGGTAATCGTGGCAAAAATCGGCGGTTATAAGATCCTAGTACATTACCATGAGCATTGAAGAAAATGAGCTTTCAGTCATGAAAACCGACCTCTGGACCGAATACGACATCCTTCCGGTGTGCTGCGTTGCAAAAATACGAGCGTCGATCTTTCAGGAGTTCCTTCGACTTGGCCCCATTCTTGTCCATCAGAGCCAGCTGGGAGATATCATTTTCGATGGGGACGTCGGGGGGAAATGCAGGTGGCTTTGTCTCGCTCTCAAGCCGCCGATGTTGCAGGTATGGCATGGTGGCTATGAGCGGGGAGAGTGCCCAAGGTCTAGTATTCGATGTGAGGTCCTGCTCGAGAGTGGGATCTACACAACTAGGATAGATATTAGATGGTGAAATAGAATTTGACTCTAATACAAGCGCACTTCATAAACTTGAGCGCAGCACCGAAGCCCCAAGGGAGTTTGAGTGGCCTTTCGAACGTGTTGCCGAATAGGATCTCGTCCGCAGAATACGGCCGCAAGAACCTGCCTGCAATGTATCGTTGAACACCACGATGCTCAGGCTGCTCATTCAAACAAAAGACATACCTTGGACCTGGATACTCCACGTCACCGTGGTCCGCTTCTTGAAATACGGACTGTCCCCCACGACCCCATCCGCGTCAGCAAAGCCCTTCACGTACACAGCAACCTTTCCCTCGAACGCATCGCTGTGGATGTCTACCGGGACGTCCGAATTGGCAGATATAGGGACGACCTCCTCAATAGACGGTCCAGCGAGAACCCGTAAGCGCGGCATAGAACCCAATTGACACTGTGCTTGTGGATGCGAGCTAACAGATGAAGTCGTCGAAGCGAGAAAAGGAGAGAGAAAGAGGGAGTAGCCCAGCTACTATGAGGCGGGAAGAAATAGGTGGTTGAATCTAGAAAGGAGACGCAGTGCACGCACATGGCGGTGACAGATGCGGCAATGGAGCACTCGCCGCTGCGCCGCCGCGACGCCAGTCAAATTCGGCTCTTCCCGAGCAATGTCGGATTGCTAAATCAGGGCATCGCCGAATGCCCTATCTTGCGGCAATTGCATAACGAGCATATTCCAGGCAGGGGACATGAAAGCGATCATGAGATGACTATTAGACAACAGTGGGAATATCTCAGATATAGAAGCCTAATGAAATCAATAAATAACAAGTGTCGAAGAAGACTGTCGTCAATTTCGTGTATACCGCCCATGGCGTGCGTCAGAATCCCTGTGCCCATGACTTCAAAAGGGCATGCAAAAAGACATCAGTACAATAGGGCATATTTAAAATAGAAGGTGTAAAGTAAAGGACTCCAACAACCTAGGAGATAGCGAAGAATTGCACAAACCCACATGCATGTGAAATGAACGAGCAACACCCGCACCAGAAAGCAAAACCACCCAGCGTCCCGAAAAATGCATCATGATAAAGCTCATGATGACAACCAGCGTCCATGCCGAAGAGTCCGTCCACAAGTACAGCGTCATTCTCGCGTCGTCACAACCACGCCCCACCCGACGCGAGCACTGCCACACCCGCACTGAACAACGCCCACCCGAGCACTCTGTCCACATCCGCACCCACAGCGCGCAGTGCACTGCTGGTCACTGCGGTTTCAATCTCCTGCACGAACCCGTTCCCGCAGGCCGCATTCGTGATAACTGCTGCGCTCTCGTACGTCGCCTGGAGCGCAGTCAAGTTTTGCCCCTGCTCCAAGTACTCGGCCATAGTGTCTTGCATACACAGCGAACAGGTCGGCATAGAGTTATTTGGAAGCCCAATCGCGAGCGGGAGGGTATAGTAGTCCGTGTCCGCCACCTGTGGACTCGCAACGGCGTCGATGTAGCAGTACGTGTTGGATGTGTTGTTTGGCAGGCACGCGACACTCCGCATGAGCGAATATGCTTGTAGGCCTGTGGTTTGCATTGCAGTCTATCAGCACCATGCTGAAAAAAAGTGGAACACATTGGCTGGGATGGGACAGAGACTTACCAGTAAGGGTGCTCATTACTAATTCGTTCTGAGCCGATAAATCCGATGCGCACGCGGTCTGCAATTCTTCGGCGAACCAGCCCATGTTCTCTGTACATTGCTCCACGCCGAGATCGGTGTTGCAAGTTCCCCATACCATCGTATTGAGAAGTGTGATATTTTTCTGTGCCTGCTTGATGCGGGTCAGCCCCACACGCAAAATAAAGCATAAATCAGTCGTCAATCCTTCGCTCAGGCACCGCGCGACACAAACGGAGATCGAGCAAGAAAGATGGGCAGGGCAGAAGCCAGACGGCTCCCGAAGCAACGCAGCCGAAATGACTTTCGGCATTCATTAGGGCTACATGTCATGTCCCTGACAGCGACCCTGTCAACGATCAGATGCCTTTATACTGGCCAACCTCTGGCTCCAGCAGGATGGAGAATGACCAGTGACCACCCATCAAGTGGTCCTTGATTAGGTTGAGAGTTTGCCAAATTCATGACGCACAATATTGCCTCGACAACGATAGCAGATGACAAATGACAAAGCGTATGATACAATGGTAGTGGACACAAACCTCGAGAAATTCTTCGGAACTTTGGAAGAGTAACGAAAAAGGCCGGCACTCCCGGAACGGTTCCGCTTGCGTCATGTTCTCGAAAAAGACCTGACAACTTTCTGTCGAAAAGGTCTGTGGGAGTGCTGTAAAGGGCTGCGGGAACGGAGTCGGCAGGACGGGAGCCGTCGGAATACTGGGGACAGAAGAGCTGGCATCACCTGTGGAAGATGGCGTTGATGAAGATGCTGATGTGGAGGGCGACGACGATGTCGGCGTTGGTAATGACGATGTATTTTGAAACGATATGACGGTGGATGTCGCACCCGATTCCTGCCCTCGTTTACTATGTCGGCCATGCCTGGGGGACTGTCCGTTGAGCAGGGACATTGCTAGATTCTGCCAGCCCGGAGGATAAGAGTCCGGGGACAGTACATCAAGCACAGCAGGATGGGATAGATAGCGAGTTGAAAGCGTGATGATTATAAGGACGAGCGGAATAAGGAGGACGGTCCATCTGGTATGTCGTGCTGTACGCCGCTTCCGCAAGACTCTGCGGAGATGCTCTTCCTGGAGCAAGAGGGGGCTAGGCGGAGAAACCGTGATTGAGGGGAGGGTGAGGGGGGAGGGTGAAGAAGACCGCGAGGACGGAGGGGAGGGTGAAGATGAAGGGATGAGGCGATCGCTCGAGGAGCCGTGGACGTGGGCTGGGGGGCGATGCGAGCGGGAGGTGCGGATCGGGACGGGCGACGCGGGAGGAGTGAACATGGAAGGGGGGGAACAGTGAAGCCTGTCGGATAATAAGGACGGGCTTGTGGCTGGGAGAGAACGAGTGTAATCTTAAATGAGTGAACGTGTACGGGGTGGTCCGTTGATGTAGATCCCTAGCGGGCGCCTTGAAAAGGAGGGTTAGTTTGGTGATTCAGACCAGTAGATGTGGCGGGGCCTGCGACACGCGGGAGTAGAATATGGACGTGATATGGGTGATGGAGGGGCGAAAGATGGGACAACAGAGAAGGGGGATATACTCACGAATGCTGGAAGAGATGGCAGTGACTACAACTAGGGCGCACACCGACGGCATAAGAAGACGGTCAGCGCGAGGTGCGTGCCTGCGAGCGAGAAAGCCCTGGGAGGAAAAGTTGCAGCCACTCCGGACTCAGGGACACCTGCCTGATCGAGAGCATCCAGCCGGGTCGAGACCCCTCCATCCCCCGCGCCTGCCCAATGCATTCTCCGAGCTTGCGCACACACACAGTTTCAGAATTGGATGGCTGTGCGTAGTATGGCACCCACAGAGGCTCATACACTGCACAGTCTCTCTCTGGTAGCTCGCACCGCAGGAAACATGAGTACGGTTGGACCGGGTGGTGGCCCTGCAGTGGCTGGGGCGTGCGTGCAGCGTCACAAGAATGCCACCCGTGCGTGCCTGGTCACAGATCACGAGACCGTGATCTTCCCGCCGGCGCCATACCGTCACGGACCACAGCCCCGACCCGGAGTCGTGTCCGAGTCCCTCAGCGGACAATCCATTTGCACCCTTACATATGAGCTACCATGCATCTGCCTGCCTCGGATTTAGTTTTACGCGCTGCGTGATTATTCTTGGCGTAGCAGCGCTCACATATTGCCACAGTTATGTTGCTAGCTACTCCCCATCATACGTCTCACATCGCATTCACGCGCTGACCGCAAGATGTTTCACTAGGCCCGAGGGCCTCCATTTTGCTCTCGGATCAGCTTGAAGTCTAAATATCGATGTGCTGAGTCCTCACAGCCTCTTGGGTTTCTCGCCTCAAGTACATAGTAAGTATGTACGTGTCGCCCAGAGCTGCGTAGTTGCCAAGTAGATCAGTCCCAGAGACTCAGACAGCTCCGTATGGATACTGCAGGTTTCAATGGCGTGTCTGACGGTCGATTGGGCGCAATGTCTCTACGTCTCGGGAACGTCATGACTAGAACCAATCTCACCCTTCGAGGTAGCATTTGTAGACAGTGAGGCAGTACACGCCGCTTGTCTTTCACCTTCACTCACTAATAGACAACTTACATACGTCAGCGGCTGCTCACTATACTATAAGCACTTGACAGCATGCCAATATTCATACACTTGTGTGGTTTATCCACGACTGGTGTCTACTGATCAATTCTGCGATAATGTCTTCTTCAATCTCCTTACTTGGGGGAGCATTGGTATCTATCCGGATCCACGTCTCGACAAATCCCTCTGCATCATCCGATTGGGCGGCACGAGAGGCATGCGCGGGTGCTACAAAGACAACACGATGCTTGCGGTGATGCAAATCGTTGCCGATTACAACTTGATGCCCATATCGTGCTAACGCAGTACGAGCCTTGGGGACAAGCAGCGAAGGGTCCGTTTCGAGCTTGAGGCATGGGAGCATCAGTCTGTTGGCAGCAGTGCGATCGGTTGAAGGAAATTCTCACCTTGAAGGAGACGATGAAGGCTTGGCCCTGGGTCCATTCAGAGACAAGAGGCTTGAGGATCTTTGGTACCTGATCCATCTCAATGTGCAGACTTCCTTTGCCTGACTGTATCTTGTGCTCTGACTATGGAACAATAACTTTTAACTATCCGCACCACGAGTGCAATCTGCAGATTTGCACTCACAAGCTTCTGTCGGGGGAGGAAAAAGTCGCTTACTGCGGCAGCGAGATAATACAACGCATTTCGACCCAACACCGACAGCTCCTGGCTCACTGCGCGGAGGAGCCAAAGGTAATCGTTGACTGTCACGAATGTCAGCGTATGCAGTGTCCCCGCCTTGTGAACCGCCTTGTAGGCCGCCAAGACCTCCACGAGCTGCGTGCGTTCCGAGAGCTTTACGCTGATGTGCGGCCCTACGCGCTGTGGCTCGCTACCGACTCCGTCCAGCTTTGTCTCCGTCTCTGCACCGGTCTGCTCCATCTCCAGGAAGTCAAGGAACGGGTGAGTGGAGTGCGAGTAGTGACGGCTGAACGGCTGCAGACTGAACTGCCGGTGCATGAATATGACGGCGTAGCCTGCTTTGAGAAAGTACTCGGCGGAGGTCGCGCCACGAGTTCCTTCACAACAGCGAAAGTCAACACAGAACGGCAGCGGAAGAAGCGAAAGAGCGCGTACCGGCACTGAAGTTGTCGAGGAAGCGGACGCTGCAATGCACAGACATGATAAGGCGATGGGCATGGCAGACGGGCGGTGGCTATGCTCACACGTTGAGCTCGAGTGGGACAGTGGTCCCGCCGCTCTATGAGGATACCGTCTGCTCCAGCCATGGGGGCAATGTAGAAACAAAGAGGCTCACTGTGACAAGGACGACCTTCCTCCCCGCTCGTGCGTGCCTTTCTACGAACTCGCGGACCTTGTGTACATCCTCCTCGAGAAAAGAAGGTGCGGGTTGCGTTGCAAAGTAGCTCTCCGCGGAAAATGTCGTTGATTCGGACATGCTTGCAAGTCGCTGGCGATATGTGGAATCTGGAAATCGTGGATTCCCAAAGAAGGCCTGCGGCGGCAGCACTCGTGCTGGAAGACAAACTCGGCAGTCTCGACTGCAGATGGGGTCACTAGTCTAGCAGTACAGCCCGCTTTCCGCGACGAGTGTCGAACGATGGGGATGAAGTTGGGCTGTGTATGCGAGAAAATGAGATTTGATCGACTTCATTGCGAGTCCAAGTCACTCGTGCGATCGTGGACGTTGTCGTCTGCGACCATGATCGACTCGATTCCGCGGAACTCTCACAATGACATTCGTCTCGGTTTCGTCTAACGGTCTATCGCTACCAGCCTGAAACGGTGCTCTACCGCAGATCCACGAAGTTCTAGCCAATACTCTATTAAGATCTCGTCGTCGTCATGAGCTGACTCAGACATGCATGTGCCCTTGTGAGTGCAGGGAGCTTGAACCTGGCTCACCGCCCTCTTTTGTCGAACCATATCGCCGGAAACGGTTATGGTCTGATCACAATGTTGAGATATCCGCAGTCCGCACGGGCATTGTCGCGCTTAAGAAATTTGACTCTCTCTAGGTATCGTTGCATCGACTTTCTTACCCAGTGAGACTGTTAATGCATTCGTACTGGGTGTTCATGATTGACCAGACTCCATTTTTTCAGAAATGGCCACTCGACCAGATGGTCTTCTAGACGAGATTATCTCCAGACTCCTGCCTGTGAACGATCTCAACATGCATATCCTGGAAGCTGGTGATCCTTCATTGCCCCTCGTTATTCTTCTCCATGGCTTCCCAGAGCTGGCGTATTCATGGCGCAAGGTGATCGTGCCGATTGCTCAGATGGGCTTTCACGTAGTTGCGCCGGACATGAGAGGTTACGGCCAGACGACCAGTCGTACTGCGCCATCGTTCCCTATCAGGTTCGAGGACGACCTAGGTCCCTTCCGGGTTATCAACATCGTGCGAGATGTAGTGGCACTAGTCTTCGCTCTGGGATACACGAGCGTGGCCTCTATTGTAGGTCACGACATGGGTTCCGGTGTCGCAGCGCTGTGCGCCCTTATCCGTCCAGCCATGTTCCGGTCTTTGGTCATCATGTCCACGCCGTTTCCCGGACCACCTCCCTTATTGTTCAAAGTGGACCCGGTTAAACCCCCTCCTTCTCCGTTGAACATCTTTTCTCCCGAAGTCAAGGTGCAGCTTGCTGCTCTCGACCCCCCCAGGAAATATTACGTACCATATTTCGCTGGCGAAGACGCCAATCGCGACATGATGAATGCCCCGCGCGGACTTCACGCGTTCATTCGTGCGTATTACCATATGAAAAGCGCGGATTGGCCTTTGAATGAGCCTCGGCCACTGGATTCTCCGGATCCTGCCAAGGTGGCAGAGCTGCCTCATTACTACATGATGCCGCTCGAGGCAACCATGCCCCAGGCTGTGGAACCACACGCACCATCCGCAGATGAAGTCGCGGCCAACACCTGGTTGACGGAGCGCGAGCTTGCCGTATATGTGTCGGAGTATGGACGGACAGGCTTTCAAGGCGGGCTGAATGGTTATCGCGCTTACCAGCCCCAATATTTCCAGGAATTGCAAATATTTTCTGGGCAGAAGATTGAGGTGCCGGCGATGTTCCTGGCCGGCAAGCAAGATTGGGGCGTCTTCCAGATACCTGGCGCGCTGGATAGAATGAAGTCACAAGCCTGCAGCAACTTGGCCGAGGAAGACTTAGTGTTAGTTGACGGTGCCGGACATTGGGTGCAGCAGGAGAAGCCCGAAAGGACGGTCCTTGAGCTCAAGCGATTTTTTGCAAAAGTGAGCATACAATAATGGTTGTCGTGCGGCGTCGGGTTGACTGACCGCTCTGGATATCACAGGTTGTTGTATGATCCGAGCCATCGCTCGGTAGTTATTGTGTCTCCAGCAAGTAATATGCAATGACCATGATGTCCTCGGCGGACACGCGGGACAAATTGAAACAGCACACAGGTACCGTGGGTCAGTGCCTACGAACCTCCACAAATGTGTATACAATGTGGGGTATTCAGATCTGATCCAAGTCCCGATCGCCGATCGCTGGCCAAACGCGATGTTTAGCGTACGCTCCTGTTTGCTCATTCGCTCTCCTGAAATTCGTCAATTTACTTCGCACGAGCGATGGCGATGTGATCTTTTATCTAAGCGACAGCGTGGCCACGGGCCCGCCACGACGCCGCTGCATTGCCAACACATTAAACCCAGAGTGAAGCGACTTCCTTAAGCTAACATGTACACAGTTCATACTAGCCTAGCTTGGGCGGTTTCTTACGTTCACGTTTTGCTGTTGAACCGCCCGATAGCTTCTGTGACGGACATCCTCATTGCCACCCATCTATCATGGAAGATGAATTGAAGACAATTGCAGTCGGTGCTAAACGTTTGGAGGTCCAGTGCCGATGGCCACACGGCGGAGCAGAGCGTACTTGGTCATCAGTGACCATGTAACTGCCATGGTCCGTGTCCACCAGTGGCACCACCAACCAGACGAGCGTCCGGCCGCCGCTGCTCGGGAGCGCTAGTGCGTGCAGCGGCTCAGCTGACGTGAGTATCAGTCCAGGCAGCGACTTGCTGACAGGGAAGCTGCGGCAATCACGGTGCCCCGTATGGGCCAGGATCGCGACGACTCGCTCACTCACAGTGCTAAAGTGTGAGTTCGCAGGGAGAACGGAGGGACGCTACTTTGAACGATTGTCTACGCAAGAGCTGGCGCCGCCAGCCTCTGGGATGGTCAGGCTCACCGCATGAACCTGCATCATTCTCCTGGGGCGTCATTGCTATCCTGAATGGCGTCTGGACGTCAGCTTAAAGTGTTTATTCTCGGCACCAGACACTGTGGAAGCGCTGCTAAAGCAAATACCCCACACACACGTTTGAAAGCAAGAGTACCCCACAATATCAGTGCCAAACTGTCGATTCGCGGCAATGTGGATTCTAGGACACTCAAGACACACCCAGGCCTCACTTGTAAAATTGAGACAAGCCGCGTCGGACGAAAGCGCTCTGAAGTCCGAAGACCTATGTGTCAGTATCCTCCTTATCATGTGGGAGTGTCGCGTACCAAACCCATCTATGCGGCTACATTTGAATGGACAGGGAGCCCCGCGATGCACCCATCGTGCGTCCATAGCAGCAACATGTCCATTGACGTTCTGGTGGAGGTCAGTATGACATCCAGTAGCATTCACTCCTGTCCGCCTTAGTCATCGCGCCGTGAGATCCAAAAAAAGGTGTGATCCCGGCCATCGATTTTGGTCATCCTGACAGACCAAGTGCGCCAGGTGATTCCTTCAGCGAGTGGTCCTGACCTGCTGATGCCACATGTATTTACCGCATTTGGTACCCCACTTCGCAGCCCCTCAAAATCTGAGACGTCGAAGCTACTGCCTTAAATACTGAGTATCTCTAGCCTCTCGGTGTATATAACGCGCACTTTCCTAACCACGCCCACCACATCGTTCGGCGCACCTAACGTTAATCCCGTCGCCAGTGTCTCAGAATGGAGCACCCAGTCGAAGAGAAGGCCGTCTCAAACGGTCTCCCGCCACCTCCCTTTTTCCTGCCGGTACGAGCCATCATTTGACATGCTGTCATGGCCAGATTGTGAACATCCTCGCAGTTTCCTGATAGGCCGGAAACTATTACTGAGAATATGATGAAATTAACTGAATTGACACCGGACCCGTACGTGCTCAGCGCACCGCACATCGCGCACTCTATAGTTTATCTGACCATCATCTCCTGCAGACGTCATCGATTCCTCATCAGAACACTCACGAAGCACTTGCATGCGTTCGTGAATGAGACGAGGTGAGTGTTTCGAGTATTCATCTCGTTTGTGTCGCTCAATCGCATCATAAGTCTTACGACGGAGGAATGGATGACTGCTATCCAATTCCTCACTCGCGTGGGCCAGACGTGTACCCCCATTCGCCAAGAGTGCATTCTCCTATCGGATACACTGGGTGTGTCGGCGCTGGTCGACGCAATCAACAATCCCCCAATTAGCGGCGGCACGGAAAGCAGTGTGCTGGGTCCATTCTTTACGGAGGACGCTCCTGATGGTGAGTTTGTTACATGGCGGATGATTCTGCATGGCCAACATGCATCCGTTTGTAGTCGACAACGGAGCTTCCATCGCATCAGAAGGCAAGGGTGATTACATGTATGTCGAGGGACGAGTAGTGGGCACAGATGGCACTCCGGTTCCGGATGCTACTATTGAGACTTGGGAGACCGATGCTCTTGGTACGTATGAATGACCTGCATATATTATTGGATGGATGTTGAGGCCATCTACAGGGTTCTATGACACGCAATACGCTTCCCGAGACAAGCCAGACTGTCGGGGACGCTTGCGGACAGACAAAGATGGGAAGTATGGATATCGTGCGGTCGTGCCGGTTGCCTACCCGATCCCAGGAGATGTGAGTCTCTGAATGCTTATAGTTGCGCTCGTATTGAATATGTCTTTTTGCAGGGTCCCGTCGGAGAGATGCTCATTCAACTTGGACGGCATAACATGAGACCTAATCACCTGCATATGATGATCGAGGCGCCTGGATACAACAAGCTCACAACTGCACTCTACCCGGAGGGAGACGAGTGGCTCAGCAGCGATGCCGTCTTCGGTGTGAAGAAGTCTTTGGTGGTAGTAAGTCGACTCTCGTATTCGTTCTACTGCAGAGGCTCATCTGGTCGACAGACTCTCAAGGACGTCCACGACGACGCCGAAGCGCGCAAGCGTGGGTTCCCCAAGGGCGGATCGTTCAAGCTATTGCAATTTGACGTGGTTCTTGTTCCTGAGGAGGATTCGAAGGTAGCGCGAGCGCAGTACGCAAAGGAACGGGCAGAGAAGGCTGGACTGTTGAAGTAAATTAATTAACCTGTATTATCCATCAGCACTGTAGTGTATCCCGCGAGAAGCATACCGTAGCTAATGTACCAATGAATGTATAACCAGTATAAACTCGATCCTAGCTTGATTCTGAAGATCTGAATGCTGGGTAGGATTTTCGTGACACGCGGTCTCGGATCATGGCACTGGCAGGGGCCACTGCGTGGCCGTGCGCGATCACGTGCGGCGTTTGTTACGCGTCTGCTGAACGCGACGTCACTGTGTGACAAGCGTGTTTCTCCGCGCTTTCTTCTGTGAACTACGACAAACGGCGACCTCAGCTTGATTACTTTGTTCATTTTTATTAGCTCGCTTGGGACGCGCATGTTCTGTTGCTCATCTACACTCGCGGATTATGGGAATTTCTGGGCTATTACCTCTGCTGAAGGATATTCAAGCTAATAAACCGCTATCAGAATTCTCCGGGCAGACTCTCGCGGTCGATGCATACGTTTGGCTGCACAGAGGAGTCTATGGCTGCGCACCGGAGTTAGCAACAGGGAAAAAGACTACTAAGTGAGTGCTCAATGTGACCTGCGATTAATATGCTAGGAAGGGGCGTAACCCATTGTGGGGTAAGACGTCTCTGAGCGTCTTGGCGTTAGGCATGTAGCCGCCGAAATCATGTGCACTAGGGCACATACGTTCAAGTTAGAGACAATAGTATGGTTTTGACTAAACAGCCAGGTCTTTGTGGACACGCTTCCATTTGTAAAGCCTCCCCAACGCTGGAGACCTACTGTGCTTGAGGCATTGTATACAGGTGCGATTCGTAATTGGTGCGCTTGCTTGTGCATGTTCCGTGATGTGCAGGGGCTAGCAAGCATGTGCACGTCATATGCTTCAATGTTGAGGGGAGGCGGTGGTCTGGTTCATGGTGCAGTTGCGTGCTACTAATATGGGTGTTTGGCGGATGCGCGATCGTATTCACTCACCACGCTAGCTGTACGGCCCTAGGAGATACATACGTGCTTCGTCGTCATTCATTTGCATATCATGCACTTCTTAGCCAATACTAACACGCATGATTAAGTTCGCAATGCTGACGCCTCGTTGCCAGATATGTTGAATACGCCATGCATCGTGTCCGCTTGCTTCAGCATTACCGGATAAAGCCATATATTGTGTTCGACGGTGGTCCTCTTCCCGCTAAGCAAGGTACTGAATCTGATCGCAAGAAGAGACGTGACGAAAATCTCGCGCGAGCAAACGCACTTGCAGCCCAAGGCAAACACGGCCAAGCACGAGAATACTACGTGAAATGCATCGATGTTACGCCGCAAATGGCCTATCAGCTCATCAAGGTATGTGATATAACGTGGTCATAACCACATTCCTCCGTTTATGACTCATGGTGTTGGTGCTGTAGGCATTGCGGGCGGAGTCGGTTCCATACGTGGTGGCTCCCTACGAGGCAGACGCACAGCTTGCCTACTTGGAACGTATCGGCATTGTGGACGGAATAATTACGGAGGACTCCGATCTTCTGGTCTTCGGCTGTAAGAAAGTCTTATTTAAATTAGATCCCACCAGTGCTACAATAATCTGCGTCTCCCGGGCCGATTTCGCGTCTGTCACTTCTGGGTCGTCTGGCGGGATTTCCCTTTTGGGGTGGTCAGATGTCCAATTCCGTAGCATGGCAATCCTCAGCGGATGCGACTACCTCCCAAGCATCCAGGGCATTGGACTCAAAACTGCGCACTCGCTCTTGCGTAAATACAAGACCGTCGAGAACGTGATCCGAGCACTGAATCTGGAGGGGAAGAAAAAAGTGCCGAGTAATTACTTACAGGCGTTCAGGAAGGCCGAAAAAGTCTTTCTATATCAAAGGGTGTATGACCCTACGCAGGAGATGCTTGTGTATTTGTCTGACCCGCCAGCTGGTGAGTTATGGGATGAAGAGACGGAGGCATACGTGGGGACGTAAGTCGGGAATGAGGTCGTATCACCGATCGTTGACGAATGTTCTGTATTATTCAGGAATCTCGAGGCATCACTAGCAAAGCAAGTCGCTGAAGGTGATGCGTGCCCTATCAGCCTGCTGCCTATGGAAGATATCAACCCAACGTTTGTACCACGCGTCCTCAAGCCGATCCCCAAAAACATGCCAATACTGTCTCGCTCGGAAAAGGATATTGTTCCGGAAAAACCTACAATTGGGATTTTGAGTTTCTTCAGTAAGTCCGATATTTCTCAGAAACGAAGGACTTCTGTACTGACCAACGTTTTACGTCCGCGCAATCATTTTCTAGCACCGAAGTCAAAGATCGCTCCCGCCCCACAATCTGGTTTGAGGGCGGTGCCAGTTGCCGGGAAACACACCGCCGCGGCTGGCCGGGCGAGTGGCAAGCGAACATTAACGGAAGTGATGGACCAAGATATGGCAGCAAAACGTAAGAGGCGGGAGGAAACGCACCGTGAAGTCCGTTCAATTGGGCTCACGTCGTCCAAGTTCTTCTGCGCGGCCTCCTCATCACCTCCACGCGACAGCCAGGGGAGTCGGATGCATTCTTCAGCAACACCACCAGACTTCACTCCCACTGAAGCGAACAAGGAAAACATTCCGAGCGTCGTCGAAGATGACATTCTCATGCCCGAGCCGGATTCTGTAAGTCAAGAAGACGGCTACGTGTCCCCCTCTCCTTCGATGGCACGGTGTAATACACCCGAGCTCTGCTCTCCGCTTGTATACAAGTCCGCGAGGTGGACCGACCAAGACGAGGAAGACGATTTCGGTGCAGATGTCCTTTCTAGTCCGCCTGCCCGGCGACCACTCCCAAGTTTGTTCACACGTGTGGCGTCTGGTGAAAGCAGCATGACTGACATGGCCGTCGGGAAAAGATTGGTCCGCACCACGCTCTCGCAACCAGGACACGACAGGGAGGTTATTGAAGAGGGAAATGACCTCGGGCCTGACCTCCGGGACACGTTCGGCGAGTGGGATTGGGATGAGGTGACAAGTGACATTGAATGCCTTGACGCATCGGGGCAGTCAGCATGTAGCGGCCGGTCCTCACCAGGGCCGGTAACTCCTGATGACTCGGGAGAGTACGGTGCAGCAGCTATCCGCAAGGATCAGACGGTGGATGCCGAGTCAGAAGACGGCGTGGACGTGATGGACTCACAGGCCATGGCAGCTCTGAATAGGAAAGTGGCCAATGGCTGGTGGGAGAGGTGGGCGCGTGGCGACGCGACAACGCCGGCGGGTCGATGGGTGAGTTTTTCATCGATACCTTCCGTGAATGGGGGTTGTGTGGAGGATTCTGACGTATGATTACAGAAACAGACACCGCTGAAACGCAGAGAGACCACGATGACAGCAGACGGTCGCCAACGCCCGGTGCTGCAGCGACCTCATTCTGCGCAGCCCGCCTCGAAGGGGAAGAGCTCACAGCAGCAGGAGGTTCGTTCAGCAGGGAGAAGAAGCCTGGTGTTCACGGAAGACGTGAAGAAGCCTTCCAAAGGGGGCCAAGTTCGTGACACAAGTTGTGTGCGGCCCGGTACGACTGGGTCTCTGCATGCGAGAGGGGACGTCGCGGAGACCAAGAATAAATTCGCCGAGTATCGGTAGGTCATAGAAGTTGCACTGGGCGTGCTGCCGAGTGACCTCACTAAGCTGTGTACCTGCAGGTGGACTGCTGGCTGACGATCCGGACGGGCCTGACTGGATCTGATACTGTGGGGATGGCTGGACGACGTACTGACGTCGGGGCTATCGCGCACACTATGAGATTGGTTGATTGTGTGTTTCGTTCGTCTCTGCATTGCTATCGATGGCATCTAATGACATGACTGAGTGTGAGGTTGGCGAATGGCGACAGACGAGATACGAGCAAGACTGCGAGGTGTGTTGAGAGAAGCTGGGCGGGTCGTGCCCATGGAAGCATTTACGGCAGACCGATCTCGGCCACGCAGAATCAAATCGCGCGAGCTGGAAATGGTCGCGGAGTTTGAAAGGGGGCAGGCCTTCCTGCCGCCATCTGCAGGCCGAGGACAAGGACTCGGAGGGGGGGCCGGTGGGGGCGGGGGTTTGTCCGTGCGCGCCTGGCGCCCTCCCGCGCGCAGAGGAGGATCGCGAGCCTCCGGGGTGTGATCTGTGGTGTGCTGCCGCCGTGGGTGCACCCGGGCAGTCTCCGCACAGTCCTGATGGGGGGGCCGGGAGGGTGGATCGTGGAGGGGGGGTAGGATTCTAGGCAGGATTCGCGGATTGGGTCAGCTGTGTTGATGCAGCGAGATAACAAGGCAGTTGGGAGGCCGCGCGCTGGCTTCTGAGATTAGGACGAGCAGGCCACTCGCGCTCTCTCACGCGCGACTGATCCCAAGGGTCTGCCCGCTTTGGCAGCTGAGGCACCCTCCTGTCTCGTGTTCGCCTTCTCGCCCATATGAATTGCGCGTTGCCAGTGATGAATACTCATGTAACGCAGCCATGGCCCAACATCCTCCGAGCCTAAAGACCTCCGCCATCGCGACCTCTCCGCTCCAGCCTTATATCTCCAGGTCGGTCTCTCCCCTTCGCCTCCGACAGCCCGCTCATCCGACCCAGCTCTCCCATGTTCCGCGAGCACCCCATGGCCAGCCCCTGGCACAGACACGACTCTGCCTCCTCCGCCCCCCTCGCCTACCCCGACGACTTCTCTCAGTCCTTCCCCCAGTCCCTCCAACGCTATCCTCACTTCGCGTCCTACCACGCCTCAAACACCCCCAGCTCTGGCGTAAGTCACTCCCTCCCCGCCTCTCGTCATCCCTGGGCGTTCGATGCCCAGGACCAGCAGCTCCAGTACACCGACCCCCCAACCGCCGCATACTGTGAGACCACGCAGGCCATGCCCTCCTCCTACTACGCCAACCCGTCTCAGCTGGTCGGATACCCCGAGTCTTCTCAGCGCACTCTCCTCCAGGAGTCCGCCTACGCTGGTGCCTACTCTCTTTCTTACCACGACCCTGCGATGCAGTTCGACGAGCTGGTCTCGTCAACCGTCAGCGCGCCCGCAGGCCATCTTGGCATCGATACCACTCACAGCATCCGTCATCGCGCCCGACTAGAGCAGGGAGAAGCCGACCGCAGGGCGCCGTATGTCGCCAATAACCAATACATCGCTGCGTCTGCGGACTTCGAACCGTCCGCGGCCACCCACCGGCTCGTATCTCAGTCCACTCCCAACATGCATTCCTTGGTAAATGTTCCCCATTCATCATCATCCATGCATTCCATCCTGTCCAGCCACCATCTCGCCTCCTCTCCATCCTCCCTCTCGCACACCATCTCGGGCTTGTCCGCGCTGACAGACGCGCAATCTCCGCGCCTGGCATCTTCCTACGGCGTCCAGCTGCGCCGAAATTCGATGGAGTCTGTGCATGATCCACTCAGTCCCTCTGCCGTGCCGTCTCTCATCTACGACGCAGACACCGGCGACGATGGTGACGACGACTCCGAGAGCAGCCCCCCTTCCGCAATCTCCGAACTGTCCCGTCCCGCGTACCAGCCAAGCGGCAGACATGATCGGCTTGCCATGGACATCAATTCCCCTGGCGACTGGCCGCGGTCCTCTTTTGATGCTGCTTACAGCATTGCTAGCGCGCAGGAATCTGATCGTGCTACCCGCCAGCCGGCGCGAAGCCCCAAACTATCTGCCGAGTCAGCGTCGTTCCCCGCCGTATCACCCTCCAGTGGCTCGCCGGAAAGGTCCAAGCCAGCACAAAAGAAGTCCAAGATGCACCAATGCAGCGTTTGCTCCAAGCTGTTTCCGCGGCCGAGTGGCTTGGCGACGCACATGAATTCGCACTCGGGCGCGAAGCGTGAGTTTGGTCATCACTCCCAGCACGGTACGGGGCTAATCGGTCATCTTTTTTTTCTCGAATTATTTTTAGCATACAAATGTCCTATACCCACCTGCACGAAGAGCTTCGCCGTCCGATCCAACGCCAAGAGGCACCTGCGGACGCATGGAATTGTACCGACGCCGGATCACGCCAACACCTCGCCCTCCCAGTTCACGGTCGGCTTCGAGACGCCACTAGTGTCCGAGGTACACGACGTGGGGAAGTTGCCGCATAAGCTTAGGTGGGTACCCCAGAGCCTGTCCACGAGGACGAACGCGGACTACCTCAGGGACTCGCCGTCCGACTCGGAAGAGGAGTACATGCGTCCTTCCTGCCCCCTTCTTCCCGTCCCCCTGCCCCCCGTCACGCCTTCCTCTCCCACGTGGAACCCAGACGACGGCTACGAGGAACGGAATTCGTACGGGGAGGCGGGACCCAGCCCATATATCCCCAGCCAGGTAATTTTAACCTCGCTTCCCATGACTGTTGACTTACACACACACTGTTATCTGTGCAGTGGCGCGGTCTTCCTGGGCCTGTAATGTCATCGAATACGTTCTGATTCTGCTCCTGCTGTATTTTCTTGCTCTGATGCCGCATCCCCCACGATCTTGTATTAATATGCTCATCCAATTATACCACCGAGAGTATTGACCGACAGGTTAATGTATGCGGACGGGGCTGGCGTCGTGTTGGACTCACGCTTATCTGGGGCCGCCGTCTGCACTGTAACACTACTGCTTGTATCGGGTAGACGATAATTAATGTCGTAATGTATGCACGCTGATTCATCGTCCGGCTCTGCCGCCCGCGCGCGAAAATGACCGGAGCTTGGAAAGCCGGAGATACGGCTTGTATTTCACGAGAACTACTCAGAAAGGCACTCAGGTCGGGGCGAAGTCGGAGGTTGCCAGTGCAATAGAGCAATTTAGCCTATAGGATTACGGGCCAATGCACGGGGGGGGGCGGAGAAAGCCTGGGCAACGGAACATTTCATTGGGACGTCATACACATATCAAAGCTAGGGCCGGAAGCAGATTGGCGCGAGCGCACACTATCGGCCGCAGCGATCTGCTAGTGCGGACGGCCTGCAGGCGGGAGTTCGGCAGGGGGGGTGCGGGGACCGTAAATGACGCGGTTGACGAGCCCGATCGGAATATCGTACATCTCTGGGATGGCGTTGGGATGCGCATGGGCGAGATAGGGACTGGGGACATCTGGGGGAGGAAGATGCGCCCTGGAGTCTGTGGCGTGCGTGTTCTGAGCGATGACACACGGCGGGGGCAGTAGAGGAGAGGAGCGCACCTGTTATCGTGCTGATATGGGAGAAGGCTGGGGTGTGTGCCAGTGCGAGGGCAAAGTAGGTGAAGTAGGTCAAGAGGACGAGAACGATGGAGTATGCGGGGAGGAGGACGGCCCATTCTCTGTGGACGGAAATTAACGGGAGACCGGGCACGAGGAGGGAGCAGACCTGTTGGGATACCAGGAGATGCCCAGGCGGAGGAGATAGCTGTCTGGGAGGAGGGCCCAGAGGAGGTAGAGGACAAACAAGAGGGAAGAGGAGGACCATGCGACGAAGCCGTAGAACTCAGGTGCGCGGGTGCGGGACTCCGCGGGGGGGAGGGGCGGGTAGGCGGCGAGCGGGCTCACGGGGGACGTCGGATCGTTCTGGAGCATGCTGGAAGACGCAGCGTCCGTGCACGGATGTTTATTGCCTCCTCGCTCGCTGTGCGCGTTCTTGCCTGCCTCATACGGCAACTCCCGCCCAGCCCTGCGGACAAAGCCTAACCTCCTCTGCGCGGCCCGACCAGCCACCGCCCAGCTGGTTGCCATCCCCTCCCGGGCTCCTGCTGCTAACCATCGATGGGTTCGCACCTAGCGGCCCCCTCTTATCACTCATCTACGATGGCCGCACACAAGGCCGCCCTGCGCAAGGCAATGTCCATCAGCCTGCGGTCTCTATCGCCATCGGACCTGCACCACCAATGTAATCATCATGTGTACATGTCCCTCCTCACTCGCTCAACGCGCTCCAGCCCAGATCATTGTGGACCGCGTGCTCGCGTCCCCGCTCTTCTTGCATAGCAAGAACGTCAGTTGTTATCTCAGCATGCCCACCGGCGAAGTGGAAACTTCCGCTCTTGCATCTGCAATCCTGCGGGCAGGTCTGACATCTCTCCACCGTCCATACCCAGACACACCGCTAAATCAGGACTCGTGCACAAGGAAAAACCCTCTTTGTGCCCAAGATTGACGTCGCCGCCAGCGGCAGAATGGATTTTCTCAAGGTCTACGGCGAGGAAGACCTGCGCACCTTTCCGGCTGGCGCATGGGGGATCAAGGAACCCGCGTACGAATTCAACGGCCAACGGCGTTCAAGCGGTCCGTCCTCCTCCCATCCGGTATAACCGGACTTGACGCTGAACGCAAATCATCACGTATAGCTCTGGAAGAAGGGTCTGAACAGCTAGATTTGGTTCTCGTCCCAGGTCCGTATGTGCCGCCCACCTCGTTGTAATGGCGCGCCGCAACAATGCTGCTAACATGTGTCCATCTCAAGGCGTTGCATTTGACCGATCGTTATCTCGCCTGGGTCATGGAAAGGGGTACTACGACAGGTTCATATCATCCTACTCATCTTCCAAATCTGCCGACGGCCTCAAGAAACCCCTACTTGGTCAGATCAGACAGGTCCTTCCATGTGTTTGATGCTGACCGTGCCAGCCCACCATCAGTGGCGTTGGCATTACGCGAGCAAATCCTCGAGGCGGGACAAGTTCCGACCGCGCTGCATGACTGCAAGATGGACGTAATAATCGGCCCTGAAGAAGTCATAGGCAGACTAGACCACCAAGACTGAATATCTCATGGCGCGGCCAAGAAGTGCATTAGTCCCGAGATGCCCCCGTATGATAAAATGTCACTTTGAAACGCATGCAGAAAATAGCAGGCAGACTCGACAGAGGCGCTATTGTACCTCACCGCCGACCTATTTTTGACGTTTCCATGCACACTTCAGTGGAAGACAAGGAATGACAAAGACGAGTCTGCACACCAACTGGTAACTTTCTTCGCGCTCGGGCCGACGGCCCTGAATGTGGGTTGGTGACGACAGCAGGCGAAGAACGCTAAGAACCAATGGTGAATTTCTAGTTTTAGCTATGCCGTAAAACGTTACAAACTGCCGTACGAACCCTGATATCCGTGACTGTGGGATGACGAGTACCCTATACGTTTTTCCGGACGGAAGGTGGGCATTTCCTGGATGGCCACGAGTGGATATTCACACGAAATTCAGTGACGGGTCATTCGGAAGCGTAGTGAACGTGGACGGACCGAGAAGAGGAACCATGATCGCTCTCGAGCCCGTGTCGAAGTTCGCTGCGGAGCCGTCCGCCTTGTACATCTTCGTGGCCAATTGGCTCGTGATTACTACCTGGCAAATTGTCCGAAGTAGACTTATCGGCTTTGTCTCGGATATGAAAGAAATATGCGCACGGTCACCCTTGTCGAAGCAACAGTTTTCGCTAGGATTTGCTTGACTTTGTCAAGAACGGCATTGCGGACCGCATAGGTCACATCCGGGGACTGGAATGGGAAGGACAAGGAATTCAGAACGATGAGAGCAATCTGTGGAAAGGAAGACAACGATGATAATGAATGAGCACACGAGATATGAAGGCACCGCTCTCACATCCGGATGATTTTGCAGATATGACGGAAGGTTCTGCAGAAAGACCATCAAGTCGAGAAGGGTGTGTAGTTGGAGATGGCGGACGAGTTTCTGATACGCTGACACTGTGTGCGACGATTCTAGAGAGTGGATAAACATCTTCCATATAAAAATACCGAGCCTCGACCAACTGACTACGTAGTAACCTATCGAGGGTGGCGGGAGTTGTCATATTCTGCATATCTGCAGCCGTAAATTCGTCACAAGCAAGCAGGGCAGCAGTATGTAGACGCACCGATAAATAAGACGCCTTTCGACGAGTCAACGTAGCTTCTGGAAATGTTCACGGCTAGAGCCTCCTTTCCGCAGCCCGGAGCACCGGACAGCTCCAAGATACACCCTTGCTTCAGGCCACCGTCGAGCAGCCTATTAAGCGGCCCGCACAGCGTGGAGTATTTTGTAGTGACACCGACAATTGAAGCTGCAGATTGGGTCATAGGAAGGGTCTTCGGGGCTTGTGTGGCTGAGAATATAGCGCGCGAGGACGTCAAGGGTATCCCCAATTCTGCCAGTACGGACGGTTTTTTTGTTAGTCATTTAACTGGAGATAATAGTACGCAGCTGTGACCTTGCGTGAGTAGCTCCGGAGTCGTTGTTGATAGATCCTCGACAGTCTCGTATCCTCCTCGTGTCAGCGCAGATAGCGCGTAGGGGGGAACTTGAGATAAGGTGGATAGTTGTCGTTTTGACATATTATGGTGCTATAGAGTATTTTGGAGATGAAGATAAATTGTAAGCTTAAGTTGCTGAAGAAAGCCAGTCTATTCAGGTAGTCACGGTCAGCGGCTGAGATTGTGGCGCAGCAGACGCGTCGCGTCTGTGGCGTGGGAATGTCTCTGAGCATGAAATCCAGCCTTGACGCCGCGGAGCTTGCCGGACTTTCTTGAACTTCTTGCTCGTTTCTTGCTCAGGAGAGAGAACGCATCGTCTTATACACTCGTAGTCTTTTGCTCAAAACCGTAGATAGCGATTCCCCCCCTTCATTGTAGTTTTTTAGACTATACTCGACGATATGGCTGCCCCTCCAAACCCAGTTTTCAGGTTCAATCGTGAGACGTGTTCCATAAAGGTAGAAAACGTAGCGGAATCAGGTGCGTACCCACTTTCAAGGGCATGTATGTGCCAGAATTCTCACTGTTAAGCAGTCACCAGACAGGAAATTGCCGATTTATTCGCCACATTGATAGGTAGGTATATGTGCTACTTCGCATGTTATGTCCTTGGACGCTCATGTGTTCCTCCGCAGGCGACGTAAGCAAATGCGATGAATCCATGGACGGAGCACGCAGAGTTGTCGGGCTGACTTTCAGGACTCACGATGCTGCACAGTGATATACTCCACCTATTTATTATATAGCTTCGTCACTCATACACGCATACGATGCACAGGAAAGCATTGTGCATGTCTGGTTACAATGTGGCCGGTGTCCCCTTGTGAGATTATCTCTTTCGTCGTTTCGGACATTTATACTATCTCATTTTCAGGGTCGTTACCGCTTGTCTCCCTTCCGATAACCAGAAAGTCGCTAGACAGGGAAAACAAGGAGATGGTCGACGCAACTTATATGTTTTGGGGTTGCCTTTTGATCTTACAAAGTAAGCCGCTCCTATATCTTGATCGAATAGTTTTGACAGGCGCATACGATCAGGTCTGAGTTCGTCGATATCTTTTCTCGCTATGGGACTGTGGCCCACGCCGTAATTCTGGCTACTGTTGACAATGCCTCTCGTCGACGTGGATTCGTCGTGATGAGCAGCTTTAGTGAAGCTAGAGCTGCCATGGACGGTCTAAGTCGCAGGGAAATCAAGTAAGCCAAATGTCATTTGTGGTGATCACTTCCTCCGAACCACACTTTCATTTCAGGGGTCATACAATTGACGTTTCATGGGCCGTGGTTCAGCGTTCGCAAGGTATTTTACTTTACAATAAATCTACAGAGCTTCGCCCTCGTGCTGACAGTCTATCGAGGTTTTCTTGATGGTGGAGACCGAACAACGGTGCTTGCTAGCCAATCACCTTCACCTTCACCCTCTCCCTTTGAGTTTCGTTCTCTTACCTCCAGTCCGTCTTCTGGGCAAGTACCAGTCATGCCGACGCCTCAGCAAGAAGCTCCTCTCTGCGATGTCACTGCTCCTTTGACTAGTCTTCTGGTTACTAATCTGCCTGCTGTCCTATTCTCTCAAATATCCGACCTGAAGCCTTTGTTTTACCCTTATGGCGACATCCAAAAACTGGACATCTTGGGCTCTGGCGGCTTCAATCTGAACCAGGACGATATCTCAGTTGTTGTGGAGTATGCGACTGTAGCTCAAGCTCGAGACGCTCAAAATGCACTTCACGGCCAGCTTTACTCCAATAATCCTGTGAAAGTTGAGTTCCTGAAAAAATCTAAGAATGAAACCCCTGCTGTCCCGCTTCCCAGTCGCATGGAGACTAAAACAGGCTTGAATCCTCGCGCGGCACCATTTGTAGCGCCGACTGGTCAATCTATGGGTGCTGTGCTTAATTCTGCGACCTTCGACTCAAGCTTCTCTCGGGGGCATGCTGTCCCTAATGTTTCTAATGGTTTACTTGCTGTCAATTCCTATGCTCTTCCTCCATATGCGACACCTCCTGGCTTACATAGCCACCTGTACCCTTCTGTGGATGATAATTTACGGCCCAACTCAGCGCCCTCCCCGTAAGTTCTCCAAAAACTGCATGTCACATCACGTCTCAATGTCACTCATCTGCAGCTGGGCGGAGCCCACTCAGCACTTGCGCCCCGGTCACTGGGCGTTCTCTCAACTCCATCACTTTCCCAACTCGTCGACACCTTCCTTGGGACAGACTTTCACCACTTGACATACTCTCTTCTACGTGCTCTCTGTCGCCTATACTGTCAAAGAATTCCTCCCCACTGCCAGTCATTGTCTTGTCGCACGCTCTTTAATATCGTCCCCTGTCCTGGGTGTAAGAAGGCATATTCGCCGATGGCGACCTAGATGTTGATGTTTTTCGTTACTGTGAACGGTTTCGTCGATGTCCGGTTACCTGTTGTACGCAGTCGTAGTAATCGTATTATGAATAGAACTCATACTATATTCACGCTACACTGAACGATGCTGCTCTCGCATGGGCTCTTCTGAACAGACATTAGCCTCGCGTGGTGCAGGCGCTGAAACATCCAGGATCCTTCAACTTGAAGCTCGACTGGTGGGGATGTGTGATCGGCAGCTGAGATTTCAACGTTCGGAGACATTGTTAATGCATTCGCAAGAGGCCATCAATTGACTCGATTCACCCAGTCTGTTTACGCTTCGTACAATACTTGAAAGTTTGCAAACCACAATGTGTTTTGAGTCACACTCGAAGGAGACTGCTGAACGGTGGACACTGCTCGTGTCGGTTGGGAATGTTTTTTAAGTGGACCATTATGTTCGGTAGATGAATGCTACATATATTTCTTCGCGTGAAACGTTGACGTACTGACTTCACAATTCGATCTTTGTGAAGTCAGTGCGACAGCTACGGGCGTTGTCACATTATGCCTGTGGAGAGACCTCTGTGCTCGGTGATCTATCTTTGACGTCGGGATCTCAGATACGCTACTCTTCTCGCGCCACCCGCTTAGGTCAGCTCCCCGCCCGACCGTAAAGTTATCGGGAATAACATACAGGCATCCCCACGAGAGCGCCGTAAAGTTATCGGAAGAAGATCATGGAGTGTGTTTTCACGGACACTGTAGGAGATTGAGCTCATGGGCCGCAGCGCTGGATTGAGCAGCCTAACTTAGGGCCCTGCTGCACGAAAACACCCGCTTCGGGTCATTTTTGAATGTTTCCGTGCGGCACGCCACAGCCGGGTTTCAAAAGACCAGTTGCGTCCGCTCTGGACAGGGATGTTACTTGAACTCGAATGTTGAACACCTAAGCATTGTGGCCTGTTGCTATGGATTCCTTTTCCTCCTCCTTGAATACTAGTGACTGTCTCACTTTCAATAATCTCACCCCTGATGATCTTGGTCCGGAAGCATTCACTGTCAAGGCTCGCAAACCTGAAAGAGAGATCAAAATATACGTCTCTGTGGAGCGCGGACCCATCTTGACATTTCGTCTGTTGTTCATTTTCTACATGCTAAGTTCATTGATTTTTATACTGGCTTTAGAGGCGTACAAGTTAACTATGGGCGACTTCAATGCTATTTTTCAAGATCGAATCGTTTACCGACTTGATAGCCAAGATTTACCCTGGAGTTTATGTATTTATGACCCTAAGACCAATACGGCTTCTCACCCTTTTGATCTGCTGGCGTGTGATCTCTCCTTGAGCTTGGGTCTGGCGATTACCTGATTTGACCAAACAGTACGCATCCTCTTGAGTCTACCTCTAAATCATCAAGTCTCAGGCTTTGATCGTTTGATATCAGATGAGTTTCGTGATGTTGTTGCTCACATTAAAGATCCAGTGAAACTCTCAAAAGCAGTGGGAGAGTTTGCTAGATTGTCAGGGGCATCCCAGGTACATGCTGAGCAAATCCAGACCTCTACGCATGACACAAGGGTAATTTACCGAGAATACACTCAATTTTAATGACTGGCTGAATTGGGTCTATTCCAGGACGCCCCCTCCTATGATTCATTCAAAAATCGACTAGTTGAACGAGATCGTGCATGTGTCATATGTGATGCTGCTGGGACTGATGAACCTTTTATGTATTCAGTGGATTATTCCTTACTGGAAGGTGCGCACATCATTCCTCTACAAGCATTGACATTGGTGAGTCCTTATATTACAAAACATCATAGTAACTCATTCTTCTTTCAGTGGAAGGCGCAACGGTTGTCGGAGTTCACTCAGGATCCATACACACATCCTGACAATCTCAGAAATAAGCAGCGCTCAATGAATAAGCATATGGACGATATGCGTATGAACTCGCTTGAAAATGGCGTGCTGTTGTGCTTAAAGCATCACAAGCTGTTTGATCGGTCTGCCTTTGTGGTTCGACCCAAGGTAAGTCTTCGCACATGCATTTACTATGTAGTAAATAACAGGCTCTAGACGCACGCTATTGTTGCCTTGCATCCAAGATGTGCCGACATTGACGGCAAGGTTGTTACGAAACCGTGGGCATATGACAAACCTAATATCTTTGCCCCTCCGAGCGACGAAATTCTTGTCCGCCATTTTAGATGGGTTGTTTATGCTGCTATGAAAGCAGCAGCAGCTGAGGATACAAGGCCATTTTGGGATGATGATGATGATGATGATGCTGAGTTTGAAGATGAGAGTGAGCTCACATCTCTGGCCTCGAATGAGGAATTGGCGGATATTCGAAAGGACCAAATACTCTCCTATTTGGAGAGTATGCCTCACCCAGGCGGCACAGACGTGCAGGTTGATGACTACTGTTGAATGTCGGAGCTTTGTACAACTCTGGATGTCCATCATTTACGATTTTTTCACTGTCTCGTTTTATCTCTCTTTATCATCATTATCGTTATCATTTTTCCAGCCTTGTATCCGCTGCAGGCTCACACCTATGTCCATGTCAGATAGTCCTGGGCATGTTGAAGAGGCACGTTTTGGGTGGGCAAGACTGGGTCTGTTTATTCTTCGTATCATACTTGATTTGTGAATCACAATGTATCTTGAGTCAAAACTATCTTTACCGTTGGGATCTCAGATAGTCAGTGCTTCGAGTTCGCGAGAAGTTGCGCTGAGTTAGTCTACATACTTACTGTAGTAGTACCGCGTCTATGCAAGCAGCTCCGCAACTTGTCCTCACACGGTGACTACGTCCTGGCGCGCGCAGCGCAGGGTCGTAGTGAATAACACTTTTCAAGCATTACTTTGTAATCTGATTTATTACTAGCGGCTTTTGGTCCGTTCTACAATTCTCGCTATCGTTGCGTATGCTTCTGACACAGTGACCTTTTGCTCCCGTATAGTACAACGGTAATGTCTAATGGCAGCAATGTACCAAGGAGGCCATCTGGCGGACGGCCGCTCCCAAAACGTCTGTTCTCGATTGACTCACTCAGAAAGGAGAAATCTGGATCAGGCTCGGAGTCTGACGCATCCACTTTCACCAAGGAGCTCGGGAAGCCGCGTACAGGTGTCGCCATTTCCACTTCCGATAACATGGGCGTTGCGGGAAATGGCATGGGAGGAGATCTTGATCATGAAACACCTATTGGTTGGACGGACAAAGAGCAGGTTCGGTCTCCAGATGAGCTGAAGGACATATCAGAATCAAACGTGAGCGCTTTAGCCATGGTCGCCCCAGCAAGAAGTGCACCACTGAAGCTAGGTGGAGGTCGCAGGACTGTGTCAGGGGGAGATGCTCCTCTCCCCTCACCCGGTCGCCGGAGATGGGACACGCTGCGATCGCACGTCTTGAACAACGCTGCTAATGGTCCGGCCCCTCCTATGCCTCCAACGCGCTCGACAACTCCAGTAGTATCTGGCACCACTACACCACCCTCCTCAAGACCTAGTACGCCTCGACCATATCGCTTTGGGCAGAAGATCTTCCGTCAGGTGGTCGAACAGGCACGGGAGGTAGCCATCGACGAGCACCGCAAATTCTCTGAGGATATCCTGAAGGCATGTTGGAGTGTACGGTTCGGCGAGGCCTGGATGGCCCGTCAGAAACCAGAGCGCGAGGGCTCACAAAACACTCTCGGATCAACTGTGCATCTCCCGTTTATGGCTTCTACTGCTTCCCTTCCTACAACGGTCACAAGTCCAAGCGTGGCCTCCCTACAGAGTATACGAAGGCAGGATTCGTCACAGACGATCTTTGTCGATTCTCGGAGGATGCCATCCCTTGTCCATATTCACAACGTTCTGACATATGTGACATCCACCAGCCGACCCCCAATATTACCACACGAATCGGATGTGCTATCGGCATTGCTGGTACCGTTCTTGGGTCCTCATAGGTTTGAACAACTCGGAAACGAGCAGCAGAGCGCTGTAGGCATTTTTGAGCATATTGTGAGAACGTGGAGAGCGCCGTCGAGCGAGGTCAGTAGTGGATCGCTTGTCAGATTGGAACTGAGTTCGATGCGTTTCATTACAGGTCGAGCTGGAACGCTGCCTGTGGTGTTGCAACGCGGCATCCATCCCCTCGACTTCACGTGTACGAATTCTAGGGGTGTTGTCTTCCATTCTCTTCTCTCGGGACAGGTCGTTCAGTCCAGACACGCCCACAATATTCCAGGCGCTCTTCCACGGAATGTATCACCTGCTGATGTGTGTTGCGTTATCGCCAAACTCTCTTCCGGAAGTGGATTCATTGAAGGCGTACATCGTGGCCATTTGTGATGGTCAGTGTGGTTCACCGTCCCCGCCGCTACTCGAAAAGAAATATGGAGTGAATTGGTCTGAAAATGACAGCGGTGATACCATAACACGGCTGATTTCGACTGAAAGCCTTATCAAATGCCTGGGGTATGGTCCCGAGTACAATCGCAAATGGATGCTGCATAATTTGCTGGAGGTATTTTCCTCACCATTGCCTCTGATCGGGTCTGATTTGGTGCGCAGGAATTCTGGCCAGCTATAGAGGTGTCGGCGATTCCAACACCTCTGGTGACCTGCATCCATTTGTACAAGCTCAAATGTTTCATTGAATCGGCTTCTGTACTATTGTTCTTGTCTCCGATGGACTCAGCTACACAACTCTCTGATGCTTCTGCAATCAGCCGAATTTTATTCTCCCGTGTTCTGCCTGAAATAGACTTTATACGTGACGGTGACATTTCAGATACAAGACAGTCCGTTGTCCGACTAGCCATTGATTTATTGTCAGTTCGAGGATACAGCGAACGGGATAGTGTATTAGCGCTCCTATCCCGTTTAGCTCAAGACTCCATGGATTGGAAGTCACAGTTCGAGGATGCTGTTAAAGATTTGGTGCGTTGAATTTGTTCTGATGATTTTTTACAGATGGGCTAAAGATACTGTAGGTGGCTAATGCAGAATGGCCCGCGATCATTAGAAGCCTGACAGCTATTACACACGATTATCATGAGGAACTTCGCAAGCACATGATAACTCTGATACTCTCTTCACTACCTGATGTATGTGCTTATAATATTTTGGAGAACACGCTCTGATATAAATACAGCGGCTTATGGCAAACACTCCTGGGTATCCTTGTCAACCGCTCTCTGATTTTATGGATGTTGCATCGCGCATGCAAGCAAAAGTGTTTTTCAAACCAATCTTCTCTTGTGCAGCATCTGGCAAAGACGTTACCCTCAGTTACCAAATTTGCGTGCTGAATTGCCTCGCCAGATATCAATCGGACTTTTGGTGCAGAGACGCTGAGATGATGTCGGTCGCAATCATGAGCGATCCTGCTGGTATGAAGTCGAGGCCTGAAATAGCAAACTCTCTATGGGCAAAACCTCGCATAGGCCAGTCAGCTCTACTTTTGGAACTGATCGCATTTCTGCGAGCGTTGCGCTCTACTAAAGACTCTCCAATAGTAACAGTCGGCCACCTATATCGTATTTTCTCTGCTAATCACGCTTTTAGACTTTGATAGGTATCCGGTTCGCCATTAGTCTTGAAGCACGCCTGGGTGTTCTCATTCGAACGAAGGTTGGATAACAAATATATGGTGGACGTGCACCAGCAGCTTATGTCACATTATCCTCTCAGGAGCAAACACTACGCATACCTATGTCGCAGCGGAACTTGTATTGTGCTTTGTTTCATGAAATACGGCTTCTCACTCGTTCACCGAAACCGTGAGGCAATTCCGTACCGTGTTGTGCACCGCTGATCACTTCACATGTGGTCAGAGCACCTTGGCTTTCCTCCATTATTACGTGGACTGAGCAGATAACTGAAAATGTCGCTGAAAGCGAGGAAGAGGACGAATTCATGGCCAGTTTTACTAAATTGCGTGCGCTGTATTCCCATGCCGAAGATGCTCTTCAAGGCGGAAACAAAGTAGGTTGACCATTTACCACCATTTGCTGATTACTTATGCGTCCATGGACAGCGCAGAACGACAGCATTCTTATCGCCCGTCGTCGATAGTCAGCATGGAGCAACCTCTTCTGCCGACAATACTATCTCCAATCTACTCGCTGACAGAACGGCCCTACTTGATTCCTTAAGCCAACCGCTCGAAGTCATTACATCCCCGCTACTAGTACTAGTTTCTGGTCTCCTCGACGCCGGACAGCACGCCATCCTTTGCCCGGTTATTTGGAATAAATGTTTAGATAACCCCGACGTTGCTATCCATGCGTCGGTCAGCACGCTGTTCAGCTTTGTTTTGCTTCGACAGTCTGATTCCTTTTGACAGACGATCTTTCTGTTCATGCAATGTGCAGAGAGGAGTCAGAATGAACTCCTCCAGCTTATTGAGGGCGATCTCAACCAGTGAGTCGAGTCGCCTTTCAAATATACTAAGTTCACATTCACTGTCAGTGAGGATCCTATTGTTCGCCGTACGGCAATAGAAAAGATCGGGTCCATCGCCAGTTGGCGGTTTCAAATTCTATCTCAAGACGTGATATTTGACCGGAATTACCGTCGACCCTTCAAGCTCACACGTCCGCAGATCATGTTTGTGCCAACTGATATGGGCACCAGCAACTTCGTCATTGACGAAGACGTGTATGAATTTAAAGACAGCCATGGGCACGTACTTCCGTTGGAATTGCGTCGGCGTCTGGCGGATATTGGTTGGGATGAAGAAGATCGAGTGGTGGATCCCAAGACGCAGTGGATTAAGACACCTATGACTCTCCTACCTAGCCAACAGCTGGTCGTCCTAGATGAGCAAGACGATTTCTCATCCATCGTAGATTCATCACACCGGAGTCCGCAACCATCCCCAGTCAGTTCACCATCACAAGATAAACTTGTCAGACGAGAGTCCAGTACAACTGGTCTACGTGGCGTCAGACGCAGACCTGTCTTCGTTCTGAGTCTGATACTCCTTCTTCCTCGATTGATCACAATGATCAAGGATACAGACTTCACGGTTGCTAGTTCGGCGAGACATCTTGTCCTTGACCTGATGAGGGACGATCCTTCGTTACTAACCCGATTCTCGTTCCAGTCAATGACTGAGAACGAGACATCCCTCATCAACGCTAGCTCTAACATTGCAGCATTGTTGCACGTCCAGCATGCCCTACCACCGGTGATGGCGCACCATTTGTTGAATCATCTCGCTGGTTTCCTGAAATCGTCAAGTCGCGAGATCGAAAGCACGAATACTCTCCAGAGGCTTGCTTATTCAGTTCCTGCGATATCTCGGCTCGTGATGCAAGTTAGCAAGATGTCCGCTCGCGAGCTACGACGTGCCAAAGTTGACACATTCCTTCTCCCATCTGGTTCCTTGTGGTTCACTACTTCCGTCCCGGCGTCTTTGTCGGATGCCCTTGGGTCAGAAGATCACCACTCTGAATCTCTGCAGCCGTCCCTTGTTTGGGTCACCTTAGTCAGGACTTCTCAGAACCTGCTTTTTCAGCGCATGTTGGAACGAGACCCTCAAGAACTGAGGATCATCAGGAAAAGCCTTACTCGGTTGGTATTACCATCTAGGAACGTAGACGACGCGGGTGATGGGTTTTTGACACTCATCGCCTTTGTTCCACGAAGAAAGCAAGGAACTACTCTCGATCCCAGCTTAACAGCATTATCGTTGACTCTCGCTCGCAGTTATCTGTTACTCGTCTGTCAGATGTTTTGGTCTATGTCAAGGCATCTAAGTGATCGACAGGAGCTTGCAATTTTGGTGGACGGTCTCAATCGTGTATTACTTACCCACGGCGATGACATTGGAATCGTGGGTCATGCACTGCTTGGTGAGTATCATATCTCGATAACAGCTCACAATGTGTTGATTTTTTTTATTGTTGGCTTCTGTAGCCTTTATGCTAGCGAGCACACGTTTTAAGCGGATGTTCATCTCCGGCGGCGCGTACGCTCTGTTCATGCCGGCCATCTTCAAAGTATACACCGAAGCAGAGTCTCATCCCGGGATTAGGACAGCAATCGAATACGCCATTAATCGTTTCTATGCCCTCCATCAGGAGTCGTTCGTCTTTCAGAGCTTCGATGCCATCTCCCACATGTTCATGTCTCCTGACGTCGACCATACCTGGTTGGCCCAAAATGTCTTTTCGCTTTTCTCCACTCTGAAAGGTGGCTCTGCACCGTCGGCTCCCGACGTTGCTGGTATATACGACCTGAACAAGCTCCAGGAACAAGAGAATCGCATGGCAGCCGTCGCGGAAGAAGTTCCACAAACTTTCCTCGCTTCTCTGCGTAAAGCCCCTTCAGGCAAAAATCAAGTGACTTTAATCCTTCCGGAGGAATTCGAATGGAAGCGCCTCGGGTTCGATAATTTAGTTCGCCTATTTCTCACTGTCATTGCCCACAATCCTGGCATTCAGCGGGCTGAGCGGTTTCTACGGTCATTGCGGTTGCTGGCGCCGTTTCTCTACAACGCATCTAATTCAGCGCGATCTGTCCTTCGTGACGGGATTGATGCGTTAAGCTCAATCTTGATGAATAGGAGTGCACCGAAGATGAAAGCTCCAGACGGTAGTCAAATTCGTCCTCCAGATGATTTCAGCTACGAGCTTCTCGTGGAAGACGGCCATGAGCCCCAACAAGCTCTGTCTCCAGGGGATCTTCTAGGCATGCGCCTTGATTATCTCTCTTTGGTTCTCGCATTCACGCAATCAGGGGGCGATCTTGGTCGGGAAGCTTCCTATCGCGTGCTGGAATTAGTGAAGTTGATCCTCAAGGAATCCATCACAAGCGGGGAACGGGTTGGTGTCTTTTTGGCCGAGTATACTAGAACAATGCTGCTTCGAAATCCAGCTCCCAGCTTGAAGCACGTCGTTTCTCTTTTGACAGATCTCTTCCCAGTCGTGAGTGCTTACTGCACGTCGGTCAACGTCTCTGGTGTCTTCGATTCAATTTCGGCCTTGTGTAACAATACTGTCTTTGCCAATGAGCCACAGTTCGCCCAACTGGTGATTGGCAGGTACTGCAAGTCTGGCTTGGACGCTTGCGAACTGGCTGCTTCTGAGAGCTGGCTCCTGTCTTTGCCGCCGCGAATGAGCATTATCAAACTCCTCAACTCCTCGGTGGCCCTCATTGGTGGAGACGTACTAGAGGAACTGGAGAAACGCCCTCCATCGTATGATTTCCTAACTGGTGTAGTGCTACCTTTCGTGTTGACTCTCAAAACATCTGCGGAGCTCGCAACCGACGGTCAATGGTCAGATTCATGGCGTCGAGACACGCACTCAAAGGCATGGATTCGTATGCTTTCCTATACTCTAACAACTTGTCAGAGCATTTCTGGCAACAACGAATCTCAATCCAAACACAACCTCCTTGAACGCCGTAGATCCCGAGACAGTCGCTCGCCTGCTCCAAACAGGAGGGTTGCTATGGCGTTCAGCGTAACATTGCAGATATTGAAGATCATTATAATTCGTGCGGAAGAAGAGTTGTCGGTATTACCCTATGGCTGGTTCAAAATAGGCTCAATTCTCCGAGACATATTGTCCGAGGGAGATGCTACTTTTGCTTCAAGATCAAAAGATTACTCAGAGCCACCCTCGCCCTTACAATCGCCGAAAGCGAGCAATTTTATGCCTGACGTGGATAGCAACCCTTTTCTAGACCCTAGTGGCTCATTACGATCCGTCGATATCGAGCGTCTCTCGTCGCCACGTCTCATCGACTACCTTACATGGTCTTGTATCGAATGGCTTGTCCTTCGGAAGAGTCCATTGATGATCCAGATGCGAGGTTTCATTCAGGAAAAAGTCGGCACGGTCAGTCAAGACCTCCCACAGGTCAAGTCGAGCCGTAGTATGTCCTATAGCGCCAGTCCCATTAGCGTCCGTCGACCCTCATCCATTTTTGTGAAGCCACGTCGAAGCATGGTCCCCGGCAGCGCCGGAACGTCAAGGGCCTCTACACCCCGGAATTCTACCTTTCTGAACGTTTCAATGTCCCTGCCTGCCTTTGACGAGACCAGTCTCAGTGCGTCCACACCGCGGAAAGAAAACCAAGGTCGACTTGCTGGCTACGCTCGCGAGGCAAGTCCGATATCGCCGTCAGGACGTACTGCGCGCGAATCTGGGCCGAAAATTATACATCTTGGACCTATCACGTATGGTGATGGCGGTGCCCGAAGGTCGATTTCACCTGGATCTCGCAAGGGGTCAGCTGGCGGAGCACTATCGGCGGCGAGTTTGATAGTGACGACGGCTGCGCTCAAGCGCGAGACGTACCGTCGCATACGTCTGGCCCAGACATTCATGGGCTATACAGCGCTGCTCCCGGTGGGAATAGGAAATGAGGATGAAGATAAGGTGGAGGTCCGCGCTTGGACAAGGAAGGATGCGGTTGAAGCTGTGCTACAGGAGATGAAGGACTTAATGGAGGAGTTTCGCGCTGGTGAGGAATACACGGACGTGGGCGAAAACAGTGGAGTTCTGGTGGACGTCGAAGACCCATCTTCCCCTTCCAAGCTGATTTGAGTGGGAGTGTTATTTTCTCATAGGGTTTTCTTGTACGTCCATTACTCAATGCTTCTGTATGTTGCCGTTTTGATGAGGTCAATTGTGGGACCACTGAACCTAAGCAGCACGAGGTCGTATGAGTACAGGCCCGGGTAGAGTCGTTTGAACGCCCTACAATACAAACAGAAATGAACAGCAACGAATGTAAACATAAGACGCGTATAATGAAGTGTCCGGCAATTTCAAGCCCACATCCTCCGAATAAATCGAGCAAAAATAGTTGTATGTGTATTAAGCTTTAGACATAATCGTCAGCTATGCATAAACGTACGGGTGGGTGTCGCCGACATCAACCAGCGCAATAACACAAGGTAGTAGTAACAGTCCGATCTCAGTCCTGGTCCAGGGCCTAAGCAGGCCAAGCGGACTGAGATTTAGATTCAAATCAAACACAGCAATTCACTTGACATGGGCTTCCAACTTCTGATATCCAATATTCCATCCCCATCCTGTCATAAACGAAGGGTGACAGGCTCACGAAACAAAGGGGCACAAAACAAAGGTCATTAGAAGAGGGTGGTGCCAAGCACCACTGCACCAACGGAGACAAGCATTCCCCATTTAAAGCTGTCAGCACGGATGGCGCTGAGGCTGCCCCACGCGCCACTGGTAACTATTGTTGACTCGTTCGAATAGTTGATCGCAGGCTCGAATGTGGTTGTGTTCGAGCCATACACGTACGAGGTGTCGTTGGGTCCAGGCGGTGTGGGGGGGTTGCAAGTGATAGACACAGAGTCCACATAAGCGTAGAAATGACCTGGCGGATAGCGGAACGAGCATGAGAATTGATGAAATACGAGAGGATCAGGTTTAACACTCACCAGCAGAAACGTAGTCGGGATCATTCCAGTTGATCATACCACCCGCCCACTCCACAGTTCCTGTCGGTTCAGAGCTGATGCCTGCAGGCCAAAGGCTACGTAGGGAATAAACAAGCGACACACAGTACGTAAATAGGTAATATCAATGGAGCCAACTAGTTGTAGCACGGACCTGAGCTCAATCCTGCTGGGAGTTTCGGGGTAATAGCTGATGCTAGTGGCGTTGTTCGTGACGGACGCTTTAGTCAGCGTACGTACAACATTGCCATCAATGATCCATTCCAATTGGTCCGGTTGCCAGTTAATCTATGGTAGAATTTAAGCAATCACACAACTTAGCGCCCAAGTAGGTCGGAAACGCACAGTGTAATCATGGTAGTTGCTGTAGGTGTCTGTCAGATTACCAGTAGTTTGACCAGCAGTCTGTGCAGCTGCGGCGGAAGAATCACCCAAAGCCGCACAATTGACACAATGAGGACCCAGTGAGCTAGGTCAATCGCGGTACACCCCTACACAAACATTACGAGACACTCACGAATGAAACCCTGCCAGAAATAGTTAGACTGAGCTTGGGAAGTTTGGTTACCTGGCCATTCCCAGTCGATTTCATCCTTAATGTCAGACATAGTAATGAATGCCGTGACAACACCACCCCAGCGCCCGGTCTTTACTGTAGGTCGAGTCAGAATCATTCGACTACGACTACTTGAGACATACTGCGCGCAGTGATTTGTCCGTAGTGGACGTAACGAGTAGAGCTGAGACGGGTGCCACCGTTCTCCTCGGTAAGAATCATGACAAGCTCGCCAGCGGTAGTGTTTTGGACGGAGCCCTGGTTAAGGATGAAGTCGTACGCGGAAGCGTTACCGTTGTAGTTAGTCTGGTTCATGAGGATACGATCGAAACTTGAGAAAGTGATCTGGATGCAGTTAATCAGATGTGCATTCGGCATAAAACGTGCAAGGACATAAACCATACATTGGTATTCTCACAGAGAGGCTCGGGCATGCAGGAGGTCAGGGAGTAGGAGGCAACAGGGTCACAGCCTCCAAAGCAGAAGTCCTGATCAAGATCGAATGTCAAAGCCATATCTTGTATTAACGGGATTCAAGATGCGCACAGGACCACTGCCACAATAGCCATATGGACCTGGTTTAAGGAAACGAGTAAGCCGATGTGGCATGCAAGCAAGGATGATCAGCAAACGTACTGCAGCAAGGAGATTCTGTCCCACAATGCGAAGTAGCATTGCTAGAAAGGATGATGAGAAAGCGGTTGGAGAGGCAAGCGAGCGCCGTTGAGAAGTTTTACAAACCAAGTGTCCTGTGCAGATGATCCCAAGAACAATGAGGCGAATGCGGCGAGGGACGCCAGCGTCGCAAGGGGACGGCTGGAGGGGAGCATGTTGGGTATATGGCAAAAGAGTGCGAAGACCAACGAGTGAGAGATTGGAAGGCTGCAGGGCAGCAATAGCACACGACGGTTCAGTTTAAGAGATGAGACCCTCATCCGGCCGACTGCCGACCCCTTGATGGCAACCAACGGCAAGACCTTCCACATGTGGCACAGTTTCTCCCGCCTTTGGGTTGTCATCTCACGCGGCCAGTCGGAGCCTCCCGGCACAGCCCAGGTCCATACATCAGCCACCCGGCGAGCCACCTTCAGCCACTGGCAATGCTGCCAGCAAACTCTCTCTCCCGAGTCCGACGCTCCTCTTTCTCGACTTCTCCAGCTCACAGCGGCATTTCCCCGGCAGTCATTTCGGCAAATCGAAGGGACGACGTGGTGATATTTTCGGCTCGCTAATTATAGACCCTTTTTCAGCGCCACTCCTTCTGGCGCCAATTCTCGTTTAACTTTAGTGCACTCCCTCGTACCCCTCGGGCAGTTGCTTCCGTGAGCTGCTGGACCAACACTGCCCGCCGTTTTCTGCGCCCGTCGGTTCAGTAACTTGATAGTCACGATTCATTCTGCTATCTCAATGTGGTGCTCCAGCGCTGTTCGTCGTGGAAATGCTATTCTCATGCCCCGCTTCGGTCCAAATGTAGCTCGCTCATTCACATATGCATTGAATTTTGTGCGAAGCTTTCCATTCTGACCGAATTTATGATCACAGCCATTCTCGTCTACTCATTCCGCGTACGTCACTCCGCTTTGCGCCCGCTTGACAGCAGCAATGCGCCCCACATGCAGCTGGTCATTTTCTGCCTGCGGGCTCGTTCATGGGCCAATGATACTCATCTATGGAGTGTGCACGGCTACATGTTGGCCGTGTGCTATGCATGCTCCGAAGATGCCCTTGTCAACGTTCTCATGGACACGCTTGGGACACGCGATTCTACTCGTGCTTTGATAAGGTACGGCGTTTCGCTGAGTTTTAGCCTACTGACCTGCGGTCTCGTTTTGCCGTCTCCCGGTGTCATTTCTCAATCCATGTACCATCGGAATGGCCGCTCGCCACGGCACGCGTGGTAAATTTCGCATTCCGGCCTTTAGGTCAGCTGCCAAGTATTTCGCAGTATGTAAATGTACGAATCGACACAGCAGGACATACATTAGGGCATCGTTGTCGGTCGCTACGCTTGCGTATTGCAAGACAATGGCGGCGTCGCCGTATCGTCAACGATGTGTGCCGCCTCGGCACCTCCATCCTCATCTCGCGATCGTGATCTTTGGGAGATGATCGCGGACAGCCGTGTTGATATGCTGAGCTTGTAATCGACCTGAAAAATAAGCCTGTTGGAACCTCTGGGGGACACATGCGCGATACGCCCAAATGATGTAAGGTATGCGCACGCCCCTCATTGTTATCACCGGATTGAGGCCGTTCATCTGTGTCTTGCAGATTTTGAGGGTAAATCCCTTGCTAGGGAAGGTATTTCCGCATGCAAGTGTCTGTTTCTCAACGCAACGCCTGACCGTATCATGTACAGCCTTGCATAGAATCATGTTTGACTCCTTCATCGAACTTCGTCAGTCAATCCGCTACCCGTTCTTTCATCCCAAGCTGTGCTGACAAATTCACTGCATTGCAGATGGCAACATGATCTATAATCATCTATCAGCGATGTGTCACGTTTATTCCCGCTGCCGAAGGAGATATGGCCTGTCAATTGCTATTGAACACGCTATTCGTTGCTGGTTTGGTAATTTCGCCTTGTTGATTGAAGTCAGTATCAGAGCCGGTAGTGTGCTCCCGGTGTATTATCCCAGTGCTGTCGTGTACGGCATACGGTGTCGATTCACGCTCCAATAAACCCAAGCGTCTTAGAGGAGACACTCTCGACGTCCTCCGAGCGGATCCCACTGCGGGAATTGTTTTTCGTGTTACGGATTGCATGGCAGCCCGGGGTGACCTGCATCTCTGGTCCGAGGCGGAGGAAGTCCGCGGCTAGTCCAATGCAGCAGGATGCTAGTGCGTTGATGGATTTTGCCTTGAGTTGATATCCCGATAGATCGTCGGTCGCAGACGAAGAACATGTCTAATGATCAATCTATGTAAAGCTTCCGAATCATTGTTTCAAGACTCCATGCTCTGTTGATGCCGGATGTGAACGACCAACGGATCGTATTCCAGTACGCACCTGTAGCCCTGATGGCGGGGGACATCACGAAATAGAAACAAGCGTAATTGCTCGTTTACCATCTTCGCTTGTGAATGAATCATCGCCTTAAAAGTGGAAAACTAGTGCAATCTAGTCGGTGGGGGCAGGTCGCCGATCAGGGATTTAGCTTCGGCCCAGTGGTAGTATGGGATGGTATGGTATGGTATGGACGGTTTCGTACCATCTCATAACATCGACTACCATTAATCCTTCTCCAGATCGTCAGCTTCATGGTACTGGTGTCATGTATCATTCGCTATAGGGCTGCTCACCCCGGCACCTCCACCTCATATTGCTGCACATATGTTGTAAGGCCCACGCGGGCAATAAAGGGGGGCGCAGGAAAGAAAGATCTGGCAGTCCATCCACAAATGGCTAATGAGTTAAATTCCTCCTCCTTTCGCTCCTTTGCTGCTGACTTTGTCATCTCACAAGGCATTATGAATTATACCTGAGTGGATTGAACTTGCATTGAGATGAGGTTATGTTACGTTGCCGATAACACAACATTGGAAGGTATACGCCTCACCCAATCAAACGAGATCATGAGGAGTGCTTAACACCAAGTCGTGGCATCTTCGCACAGAAGCTGTGTCAGAGCAAATTCTACTGTATCAGTATAGCACATATATCTGCAATGCGGCTGTGGCTTCGAACAGTTACTGCTATCTCAATTTCAAATTTGATCGAGCCCCGCGATGCCTGGATTGGTATCTGGGGTTTGCAAGCCTTTGATGCTTATTCGTGCTCTCTGACTCCAGATCAAACAAAGATAGGCTCGTGCGATTATTTGATGATATTTACGGCTATCACTTGATGAATACTTACCTTGTAACGTCCCCGGGGAATGTGCTGTACAACATGTAGAGTAGATTTTGCGCAGCGTCCTTGAACGGAGAAAAAGGAGCTTGGCGTCGAGAACCGCTGTATGATGCCGTTGATTGACGACTGATAAAGGCTGATACAAGTTGACTTCGTTCTCTCCAGTCGCATAATAATCATCCGAGCAATATAGTTATCATGTGCCAATAGTCATCATAAGTGCTCACAACGGCGATGAAAAGCCATGGTTGGTGAGATGGGAAGTGATTGTAAGACCAGTAAATTGTCCTGGGGGGCATGCTGGGCAATGAATATGGTACTTTCCTTGACCGAGTGGGAGGAGAATCATCAGCTTGGGTATAATCTGTCCTCACCGCGTGCATACAATCGAGGCTCCCATTACCTGTAACCATCGAGAACGCGCGCGATGTAGACACGTGCTTCAACATGGAAGTAAGTGAGCCAGGCATGAATGAATACCAGTCGCCGAAAACGTGCGCGCCACAAGTATCATTTTGATCCCCATTGGAATATCGTAGATTCTGTAAAGAAACAGACGCGTCTTAGCTTATAACGGTATCCAATGTATGCACAAATTTGAAGTACCGGAGGGCGGATCCCTAGTCAGCACCGCGATGCAACCGTCGCAACTGATGGGATTTTGTCAGCATATCCACCGAACCGCTCACAACGTTACCTCCCATTGAATATTTATTTCAATCGGGCCAAGACGAGGCGTTTTATAATGCAATCTTAGAGACAATATTGTGACTGCGCGCTGGTAGCTGAAGCGCTGAACGTTGAGCGTTTACATTTCACAAGCCAAATACGTGTCAATAACGCGTTAATAGGCGCGCATCTAATACGCGCTCCGCGAATTGGGTGTTGTGACGACGTCTGTGCACTTCACCATTATCGAAACGCGAAAACCTCATCGCTAACCTTGGACCAATGGCTTCAAATAAATCCCAATCGACGGATAAAATGAAGCAGAAAAGTCTCATGTCGTTCTTTAGTAAACCCGCCGGCCAGGAGAGCGGCTCCAGCAGCGACCCCAATTCAAAACGGAAGGCCACATCGACCACTAAAGCTCGTGCGAGAGATTCTGCCCTGTCTTCAGATCCGATTATCCCAGAAGTACACACACCACTGGCTAAAGCTAACTCTCAGTCATCCGGCATTACAAGCGCGACGTATACACGCAGCTCAGATGGCTGGAGCGGCAGAGACACTCCTCCGACGAGTGATCCAATTGACGTTGACATGATATCGGATGAGGGGGACGATGTGGATATCTCAAGGCCTGTGAGTTCTTGTTACTTTGGTTGACGTTTTGTTCTTACGTGCATTTCATCTAAGACGTCGCGTCTGAAGAGAAAACTTGTGGTTGAGGATTCTGATGAGGAAGGGAGAAGTATCAATGCTACTGTGTACAAGAAAAGATTATCCGCCCGCAAACGCTCTCCAGACCCTATGGAACATCAACCTTCTGGTGGTGAGGCTTAACCATTCCTCGTACTCCTTAACCATAATTGCGATGGCGCTGGGCATTACTTGGCACTAAGTTTCTGGAATACTTCCTGGGGCGCATCCTATTCACCGATTTAAATCACTGTGTTGGCCTACCTGCTAACAGATTTTGATAGATGGAACGAAGAAGCCTCGTGTCTCCGTTGTGTCTTTTGGAGACGAAAAGGCTAGCGATGACGATGACGATGAATCTAGGAGCAGATTTAACTCATTCAGTCAACGTCTGACTAAATTCAAGAAGTCACCTGCGAAAACAAAGAGTATGCGACCTTTTCGTTGATTATTCTCTCTCATTTACGCGGATTTATTGAACAGAACGGAGAGTCGTGAGTGACGATGACGACGATTTTATTGTTCCAGACGATATCGACGAAGATCACGAGGATCATGCTGGCCAGCGCTCGAATTCTCGCGCATCCTCTCGCGCATCTGTTTCATCGTCTGCCGCAAGCGTCCGTTCCTCAGCTACTTCCGAAGCTGAATCTGATGCCCCGGCGCAGACGAAATCTACGAGGAAGGTCCAGCGTCCGCAACTAGGGAGAGATACCAATCCAAACGGCAGTCATACCTTCCTAACAGCAGCAGAGCAGCGGGCACAGCAGCAAAAGGCAGTGAAGAAGAATATCGAAGATCCTTTCTCATTTCTCCAAGATGTCAGGGACAAAGATGGACTACGTCCTGGCGAGCCAGGATATGATCCACGTACACTTTATGTCCCGGCCAAAGCCTGGAAGGAATTTACACCGTTTGAGAAGCAGGTAAGCTACACCGAACCTCGTATCAGCCAGATATTGACAACACTGTTACAGTTCTGGGAGATCAAGCAGAATCATTTCGACACCATTTTATTTTTTCAGAAGGGCAAATTTCTGGAGCTCTATGAAGAGGATGCTAGAATTGGGCATACAGAATTTGATCTCAAGTTAACGCAACGTGTCAAAATGAGCATGGCATGGATTTTATTATTATGATAGGTTCACCAGAGAACCGCTGACTGCAGTTGAATCGGACAGGTTGGCGTTCCGGAGATGTCGTTCAATTTTTGGGCCGCCAAATTCCTTGCAAAAGGCGTGTGACTATTGGGATTACCTTTCTACAAGTATGATGGCTTATACCACACATAGGGTACAAAGTCGGGCGAGTTGATCAGGCAGAAACCGCGCTGGGCGCTGAGATGCGCCTTGCCGCTGACAAGAAAGGCGGAAAGACGAAGAGTGTAGCTGCCGAAGACAAAGCGAAGGATAAAATAGTTCGGCGCGAGCTGAATAAGGTGTACACGAACGGTACCCTCGTCGATGCTGAACTTCTTACTGACGAACAAGCCGGTCACTGTGTGTCAATTCGAGAGGAAGATATTGAAGCGGACAAGGACGGACGACAAGGCTTCGGTATCTGCGTTCTGGATAGTTCGACCAGTGAATTTAACTTAAGTACCTTCGAGGACGATGTGTGTCGAACGCGATTGGAGACGATGATGAGACAACTGAGGCCTAAGGAGATCATTTTCACCAAGGTATTGGTCCAATCGTCTTCTTACATCGAGATTCACACCTTTGTCCTTGTGTCAGGGTAATCTTTCCGTGTCGACAACACGTCTTTTGAAGGTCATTCTACCGGGAAATTGTCTCTGGACAAGCTTGCGTGAAAGCGAGGGCTTGGCGTACGAGAAAACTCTCAAGGAACTCACTAGACTGTTCCCTGCTGATGACGACAACGCCGACCTTCACTCGATTCACGGCCTGACGGACACTGTACCAACTGCTATCAGAGATGTGGCGGGCAGCAAGTGCGCTATAGAAGCACTAGGTTCGATGATATGGTGCGCGCGCCCTCACGCAGTCCGGAATGAATTTGACATATTTGCTTTAGGTATCTCAATACGCTCAACATCGATAAAGATATTTTGAGCATGAAGAATTTCAACATTTACGACCCTATGAAACGAGGTCAAGGCCTGGTCCTGGATGGTCAGACATTAGCGCATATTGAAGTACCCGTCTCTTGTCTTGAATGTCCGACTGAATATTCATCGTACCCGTACAGGTCCTATTGAACAGCGAAGGCACAGAGGAGGGTTCACTGTTGAAGCAGCTGTCACGGTGTATTACACCTTCAGGTACGTTTTTTTGAAATGAACCCTCGGGACAAAAGTCATCTTTGTGTAGGAAAGCGTCTATTTCGCATCTGGCTTTGTATGCCATTGCGCGAAGTTTCGGACATCACTGCTCGGTTTGACCATTCCCCCTGCTACGTCAGCCGACAAGGCTAATCATCTTCCGCGGAAGGCTTGATGCAGTGCAAGATCTGCTAGATCATCCCACATTTGAACAAGACTTCACCAAGATTGCGAAAGGCCTACCGGATCTCGAACGTGTTGTATCTCGCATTCATGCCAAAAACTGTAAAGTCAAAGATTTTTTGAAGGTTCTGGAGGTGTGCAGTACCGCACAATCTGTGGTCATCAGCTGAAAGTTCATCTATGTTTTCATACAGGCATTTAAAGGTTTAAGTGTGGGACTCGCCGAACTCGCCGATACTGCAGAATCGTTCCAATCAAAGACGATTCTGGGACTGCTGAGGTCTGCGCCGAACCTCCTGCCTAATCTCAAGCATGTGAAATCTATGTTTAAGAAGTCTGGAGAAAGTACGCAGATTAGAACTGAAAATTAATAATGAACCATTGACGACTGTGTTAGGTGCTGACGAGCTGATTCCTGAAGACGGAAAGGACGAGGCGTTCGATGAGGTTATGGAGGAAATTCAAGTCTTGGAAACAGAGCTCGATGATGCGTTGAAAAGATTAGAGAAGAAAGTGGGGTAAGCCCTGCTGTTTCTAGATAGCCGTTCTTTTCTGCTAAAATATTTGCAGTATCAAGTTATCCTACTGGCACAGTGCCCAGGGTACCAAGGTGAAGATACTTTGATTGAGCTAGATCGATGTTTACCTTCTAGTATACACATAGGAGATTTATTTAGTACAAACCAAGGCTAGTGAAGATGTTCCACGAGACTGGACCAAGAGTGGTGGTACTAAGGTTAGATCCGTCTCGCTATTTGCGACGTCTATTGGCATCCAACCTTGGTTGAACTGATAAATGTTTGATAGGCTGTAACGCGGTACATCGTACCTTTTCTAGCGCCTACCATCCGGAAGCTCAAAGAAGCTCGCGAGAATCGTAATACAGTTGTCAAGGAGTTCAAGGCCAGGCTCTATGCCGAGTTCGATGCAGACCGAAGTGTCTGGCTACGTGCTGTTCGGGTTTTAGCGGAGCTTGACTGTCTCTTCAGTCTTGCAAAGGCTTCCAGTGCACTTGGTGAACCTTGCTGCAGACCCGAATTTGTTGAAGGTGATACTGCATGGTTTGATTTTGAGGAACTGCGACACCCCGCCTTGAGTATCGCAACAGGACTAAGAGGAGATTTCATTCCGAACGACGTCAAATTGGGTGATGGTGTAGGGCGGCTCGCGTTATTGACAGGTAAAACGCTAGTTGGATATACGGGAGGTATAACTTATACTGTTTTTCTTCGTTAGGACCGAACATGGGGTGAGAAGCGCACTGAAGCTACTTATTCACTTCTGATCCACTTTCATCTCGCATCAGAGGAAAGTCTACAGTAAGTGGCGCTTAGAGCTCTCGTGTACGGAGCCTGATTGTACTCTAGGCAATGCGTATGACTGCAACTGGAGTGGTACGCATGGTCTGCTCGGCCACGAATGGAACTGGTTAACTATTGTTGTAACAGATCATGGCACAGCTCGGTATGCTAGTACCGGCGCGAAGAGCAAGGTGATCATTATCGTTCCTGTAGTTGCAGCGTCATTAGTTGACTGACAATTCACTTAGATTGTGTCCTGTTGATTCCATCTTGACTCGCATGGGGGCTTATGATAACATGTTCTCGAGTGCGAGCACATTCAAAGTTGAAATGGATGAATGGTATGTTTACTTGATTATTCTTCAGAGGGATAATACTTAAACTCCACAGTTGCAAAATTCTGCGTGATGCAACACCCAAATCTCTCGTCATTTTAGATGGTAAGTATCATGATTTATCTTTACATCTACGGAAGTCTGACCTGGTTATGAAGAATTGGGTCGAGGAACATCAACCTATGTGAGTTCGCGTACTACTGCCCAGTACGCGATAGAGATTCTCATCTGATTGACAAGGATGGCATGGCAATTGCGGGAGTGCGTAGATGGCATTTATGCGATCCGTTCAACTAACCAATGAAACGATAGGCTGTTCTGCATCAATTGGCCACGCATACGCTCGCTCTTTCCTTTTTTGCGACGCATTATGGATCCCTGACAGATGATTTCGCTTATCATCCCAATATCCGTAACATGCATATGGAAACTATTGTGGACGACGAAAAGCGAGAGGTGAGTTGTTTCCATCGGTATTGGTTCCCATACATTTTGACGGGCACCTCATTTGCAGCTTATTTTCTTGTACAAACTGGTGGAAGGCGTTGCTTCATCTTCCTTTGGAACACATGTTGCCAGTCTTGCTGGTGTGCCTTCCGAGGTGGTAGAACGCGCGGAGGTCGTCTCCAAAGATTTTGCTCAACACTTCCGAGAGAAGATGGAAGGCCAAAAGAATAAGATGTCCGGGCGATTGCCGCTAAGTGTTCAAGCAGACTTTTCCTTTTTGTATGGGCTAGCGGCAGGAAAGAACGAGATGCCCAACAATCTTGTTCGGCGAAGGGAGGTGTTAAGGCTGTTGAAGTCCTCCGTCAAGAATTACCTAACGAATGCTACGACTTGAGAATTGTACTACAATGTTTTGAATCCTGCTATCGATTGACGGTAATATGCTATTTTGCTCTGTTGCAGTACTGCTTAATGCATTGTGTACATAGATACCACTGTGATTGCTCCATCATACTTGATACATACAATATATCCTTCACGTTGTCCTTACACGCTCGATCCATAACCTCACCCTATCGCATTCAGAAATGTATAGGCCTGCTGCCAGCAGGAAGACATGTACAGCAAGAGAATATCGTGTGCGAGACGTATTCTCAATTAGCGGCATATAGCTGGAATTCCCATGGCAGTTGCTGTTTTGGCCCCCCCTCGCTAAACCAAATTCTGCGTAATCTGCAGGTTGCGTATACCTTGACATACGAAACATGAGAATAGGTCCCATTTGGGACACTTGTGCTTATGCTATCGCTGAGAACGCTGCAAGTTGTGTGTACCAACTCGTCGTCATCCGATTCCTGATATCTATCGTGTCCGACCGAGCGGACGAGTGCTGCCGAGGAGAAATGCGGGAGAAGGGAGGGGAGGTGCAGGGCAACGATGCACCACGGCGTAAGCGGCCTTGAAGAGGAGGAAGGGAAAGCCAGTGGGAGGTGAAGGACGGGAAGTTGTGTGTTATCTAACGTCAATCGTGGAGATTTCTGCGCCTGATGGTCAGTAACTGTGCGCTAAGTCAAGAAAAGGGACTGATATTTAATACGATCTCAAAACGTCAACAATTAGTGGCCTCGCAGCAGCACGCGGAATAGTCTCGAAGACTTGAGAATGCAGATTAAGAAAGGGACAGCACCTGGAATGTAGAACAGCGCGCAATTCCTTCCCTACCAGATTGATCAACCAAGCCAACTTCAAACGACCATTCTTTGTCCATGTTACGGACATGGAAATGAAGCCAAGGGTGCCTCATGCCTAGATCCCGACTTCTACTACGGCGGCTCGGCGGCTCGGCCAGAAGTACTGATGGACAGCGAATGAATGTTGTTTGGAGAGTAGGTGATTGGAGATGCAAAACGGTATTTTGTAGAGTGTATATGGGAGCATCCGAGTCGGCGGTAACGTGAGATATCAGGGCTGCTGGGGGAGATGGAGAGGGATTGGATGTCGCGTCCTGAAGAAGACAAATAAAAGAGTCAGAGGGGAGTGAGGGATCAACTTGCTGTGAGAACAAGCTGAGAGGCTCGCTGCCTGTGGAAGAAAACAGTGAAACCAGGCCAGGCTGCACAGCAGAAAACATTTGAGCGTGTCCCTTCGACTGGGAGCATAAGTAGCATGCAAGCAGTGCCGGCAATAGTATCGATCGCTTAGATGACATAACGCGTGCGCTAAGTTGAGATAAGTACCCATCTAATGTGAATTGTGATGCCACAAGATACCTAAGTATGTGACAGTCCGAGGTGACCTTCGCAGGTGACAGCGCGGTTTTGGCGCGGTTCTCCTAAGCTTGTGATTCCCCATCACCGTAGTACCGCCGACTCTGGTCTTAAATAATGGCAGCACGGTCGCCTCTCTTCTTCCTTGAACTCAACAGCGCGCTAATCTGCGTTCAAGTATATACCACTAGGCTTTGTAGTTCTTCCCTGGAACCGTTTTGAACAATTGACTGTCAAAGAATTGTGATGCTCGAAACATCGCTAACCAAACTACTCGGCATCCGGGTGTGAGTACGGTAGAGCCTGAATTTCAAAATAACGACTTATCTGTGTGGTTCTAGACCTGTCGTACAAGGGGGAATGCAATGGTATATGAAGGCGACGTTTTACAATATTACCGGAATATCTAACATGAATGTAGGGTTGGAGTTCCTCAGCTTGCAGCAGCAGTGTCAAACGCGGGTGGATTGGGTGCGTTTTATCCACATGTATGATAATGTGGTGGTTCATGAGATGTCCAATCTTAGGTGTTTTAACTGCCCTGACGCAGCCTAGTCCGAACGCTCTACGACTGGCTATTCGAGAGACTCGAAAATTAACCAATCAAAACTTTGGAGTGAACATTACCCTACTTCCATCAATCAATCCCCCGGATTATGAGGGATATGCCAGAGCCGCTCTCGACGAAGGTGTCAAGATTTTTGAGACGGCGGGAAGTAATCGTGAGCTCGTCATGTCATGTTATAAACTACATGTGACACACCACTCTTACGTATATGCTATGGCGAACGAAGCTGCGCCCCTTGTCAGATTGTTCAAGTCACACGGTTGCATAGTGATCCACAAATGTACCACCGTAAGACATGCCAAGGTACGGCGTTTCGTGCTTTAAGCCAAGAATCCTTAGCGTTCAATGATTAGGCTGGCGCTCGACTCGGAGTCGATGTGCTTAGTATAGATGGTTTTGAATGTAAGCTACTGAAGACTTGTCGTTGAATGTGTACGCTCAATAACAAACCATGGCAGGTGCGGGCCATCCAGGCGAAGATGATATTGGCGGGCTAGTACTGGTAAGCACTACGTCTGCATAGCTCATATTAGGATATGTCCTCATTCGGACTGCGCGCCGTGAACCCACTCCGCTTAGCTTGCTCGTGCGGCGCAGGAGCTCAACATTCCTTATATCGCTTCAGGTGGGGTTGCAGATGGACGCGGGTTAGCCGCTGCTTTAGCTCTCGGCGCAGCGGTACGTTTTCCCGGATCCTCAATTGCCACTTAACTCACAGTTATATACTATAGGGTGTAAACATGGGTATGATACATCGATTTTATTACGCGCGAGCCATTCGATTCACATCTTACAGGAACAAGATTCATGTGCACAGTAGAAAGGTATGACTAAACACGCGGTGACTAGTAGTTTTGGAACTAATTTGGAAGCCTACTAGTCCCATACATCAGAATATCAAGGACAAGATCGTTGCGTCTACAGAACAAGACACTATTCACATATTCCGTACTCTTCGCAACACTGCACGAGTTTTCCGCAACTCGGTCACCGAGCAAGTAGTCGCACTTGAGCGCCGGCCTGAAGGTGCTAAATTCGAAGAGTTACGCGACCTTGTATCCGGCCAGCGCGGTAGGAAGGTTTATGAGCTAGGCGATCCAGATTATGGTGTGTGGAGTCTGGGCGTGAGCGTAGGGCTTATCAAGGATTGTCCTACCTGTGAAGTCTTGTTGCGCAGATTAGAGCAGGAGGCAGAAGGAATCATTGAGCAGCTGGGAAAGTTGAGGGTGCAATCGCACAGGTCGATCACGGCAAAACTGTAATAGTAGATATATGTACATATGATGGATGGCCTCTGAAATTGCACGGACCCGATGATCTGACAAGCAAGAATGCGGGTCTTATTTGACTGAATATTGGCCGAACATATTGCTCGAAGTTTTCTTGAATCATATGCAATTCCTGTTTAACAACGTAGTGCATAGCGCTGCTATTGTAAAGATTGTAAAATAAGGTGTACATGTGCGTCGTGCAAACCAGAAATACAGTTGAAACGTTAGGAACACTCCACCGTCAAGCCTCTTCGGCAGCTTCATGTTCTTTAATCTCGCGTTCTAGGCGAGCACGCTCCGCTTGACGGAGTCGCATAAGGGTCAGTGACTCATAATCCAAGCCGGAGGCATTCTTTGACGAACTAGGTACAGGCAAGGATGGCACGTCCGGCTGTACATCAGTGCACGGATGAAACGTCAGAGACCTTCCATTGGATTATTTGGGAAGCACGAGACTCACAAAAGTTGACGGAAAAGACGAATAATAGGACGGGACGAATGAGGATATTGCAGGGGTAGTAGCTTGCTGCCCAGGAGACGACTTCGGTGATGATGCATACCCCGCGAGATCATCGGATTCAAGTTGCCGATTACCCTCACGCTCTCCGGGCGTTTCGAGCTTGCCCATCTTCTTCAGCCAGCCGATTAAATCGGGCTCCCTACCCTCAGCCCAACTAATTTCAATATTCCCCAAACCATGATCCGCACGCCCACTTGCGCACACAGCTGCAAACGCACCACCGATCTGGCGGAATGGGACGAGAGCAGTGCCCCGCTTTGGCTTCTTGGGGGGAGCCGGTTTGAGCGAGAGCACAACGGCCACTTCGTCGACGGACCCAAAGGGCGCCAAGAGCGAGCTAAGACTGGACGGTGTCGTAAGCAACGGATGAGAGAGAATCGAGTATTTCAAGCGGACGGTGGTATCAAGAGCACCTACAAAACGGCCCGTGAAGTTGTTCAAAAATTTAGAATGCACGGTGGGCACAAGACACATACCAAGCGTCGGAGGTTCGTCCTCAGCGATTGGCGTTTTCTCCCCCGCCAACCTCTCCGTCTCCCTTCGATTAAGTTCCTTCTCACGCTCCTCACGCATTCTTCGCCCTTCCTCCATAATACGTTCATTTTCTTGCCATCGTGCTTTCTCCTTCTCCTCCTTCTCCACTCGCGCCTTCTTGAAAGCACGCTCGCGAGCCTCGAGCTCATCTACAAGACCTTTCCGCTTGTTGTCATAGGATGCAAATCTTGCTTTTCGCGCCTCTTTCACGCGCACTTTGGCGTCGAGCGCCATGCGCCGAAGCGGATCAAGCAAGAGTTCATAGGCCTGATTAAGCTCATGGAATTTGCGTGCTGAGAGGAAGATACGTTATCATGAGGCCTGAGCAGAACATTCCAAATGGGATGAACGAAAAAAAGGTGGTATTGACATACCTGCATCAGGATTGCCGCGATTCTTACGGGGAAGACTTGAGTCAGAGAATGGTGTTCAAAAGAGTCGGCACACAGTAGTTGGTAAGAGATACATACTCTATCAGGGTGAACTTTCAATGAACGTTGACGATAGGCGGTCCGAATTTCAGCCTCCGTTGACTCGAGAGTGACACCGAGCAACTCGTAGGGATTGACATCTTCTTCTTCGGGCATCGAAAACTAGACTTTCTGCCTTCCGGTTTGTGTAAAATAGACACTAGCTCTAGTACAAAAGTCGTGTGAGAGAACAGTGATAAGTGGAAGCGGATAGCGAGAGCCGAACAGCAGGATGGTCTGAGCGGCTACGTACAATTTTTCCAATTTGATTGGCTGTGATCCGGATGGTACTGTGTGACAGTCACGCTGTTGACGCGCCGCGTTAGCGTGACATTTTACAACCAACACTGGCTTTCTCCTGCCGCATGCTGGGCAACGATGCCCATATTCTCGGATGGCGACGACAGCGTCGACGCTCCCACGCTGCTCTACTCTACTGACGACATGCGTACCCACCTCCAGGGTCTGCTGGATGGCAAGGAGAAGCAGCTTCAGCAAGCGGGCACGCTCGGGCAGCAGTTGCTTGCGCAGCGCATGGAGCTTGAAGAGCGAATCAGGCAGCTACAGGAAGTCGAGCTTGATGGGGACAGTGATGATGAAAATGCGGATACAAGCGTGCGAGAGAAGTACCGAGAGCTGGGCGACATCATCAAGACCTGGGATGAAGAGAACGAGCAGCTCACAACCGCATTTGGCTCCAAGGTGAATGATACCCGCGTTCAAGTGAATTCACTCGATGACTGTCTTCGCCGAAAACAGCAGCTGGCCCATTCAGCGGACCTCTCTCGCGAACTTGACCGTCCTGATCGCTCAGCAGATAGGTCAAAGGCAGCCGCCGCAGGACCTTCTGCGGCTCAGTCTTCACGTCGCGCAAAAAATGCGGCACATCGTGCTGATGACGTAGGTAGGTATCGCGCATGTTCGGATGTTGTGCACATCTAACTCTGCCACAGAGTTCGCCTTTGAGATAGGTAGTGGTTTGCTGACTGAAGTACGACGTCTGCAGAGTCTGCTTGGAGAACGGGATAAAGCGATTCAGGATATGAAAGAGGAAAAGGATGACCTGGACAAGACCGTGGAGAGTCTGAGGACTGCGTTAAGGCAGCAAGAGCAGTCTGCTGACAAGTTCAAAGAGGAAAACTGGAACTTGGAAGTGACTCTGCAAGAGCTGCGCGCACAGTTCACTGATTCACAAGCATCGGTACAAAGACTCGAGGGCGAGCAGAAGCGTGTAACGAAAATGCTTGCAGCCGCGCGGGAAGCGGTAGATCAGCATAAGAACGAGGCCGAACGCCACCACAACTCATTCCAGGAGCTGAAAGCCAAGCATGAGACCGACATTGCACAAGCTCGCAAGCATGCCGCTAGCTTACAGCGAGATAAGTCTGATCTGCAGCAGTCGCTTGATTCTATGAAAGCGGAGATGTCTAAGGCCAACAAGCGATTCCCGCGTTTCGGCTCTCCATTGACTCCAAACGGCGCCGCTAGCTCCGATGCACTTACTCCCGGGAATCAGGACGAGGAGGACGTCTTTGGGACAACTGGCCGTCCGTCCACGAACAACAGGAAGAACATTGATAATACGGCGTTCTTTTCCGTTGAAGCCTTTGACGAGTTCGCCGATTCTTCACCAGACCCGTCTCCGTCCAGGCCATTCCTTGCTCCGAATCATCCTAGCAACGAAATCGAGGCACTGCAACAACGTTTGGCTCATGCGCAACGGCAGATCAACACTCTTAAGGGGACGTTGCAGCGGGAGAAAGAGCTTCGTATGGAGTACAGGCGGAAACTTGATTCGTCACCTGGTTATGCTATCGAAGAGGAGGCAGATGAATTTGTGGATGAGGATGCTGAAGAGCCCAAGTCGAAGCCACATCTGACTCCTTACCGCGTCGGCAGAGGCCGCGGTCGGGGTAGAAGCAGAGGCGGATTGACGCTAACGCAGCGACTGGGAATGGCTGCGTACAGTCCCTCGTCTGAATACAACGACGATGACCCTCATGAAACTTCACCGCCTCCACCAGTTCCATCGCTCCCTGCTGCATTCAAGGTAGACGGACATGTTGCCGATGAAGAAATACAGGAGGATGAATTGGATGTTCAAGCATCGCCGTCTCCTCAAGGACTTTCCAATCGTACGAGTGTGGATGGTATGGATCCCGCATTTGCCAATATTCTTCGTCGGTCTTCTTCTGCAAGTTCATTTCAGTATAACGGAAGTCCCTTGCGACAATCGGCTATTGCCAGAGCATCTCGCGGTGGTACATTCCCGCGACGATCTAGGGGGGGTGCAGCATATCAAGAAGCTCGTCCTCCATCGCTGGTCGGGCAGCCAGAGGCTTTGGCTGCGGAGCTTGGTCTAGGTTTCGGTATTGCTTCCACGGACAATTCCATCGCTCACGAATTTACCGAGGAAACCGTACGGCCTATCGAGACCGCTGAATTTGCTTGCCAGACCGAATTCGAGGAAGTCCAATATCCACTGCCAATTCATGTCATCCCGGATACATCAGAGATGGGTATCCAAGTCGAGCCCAGCCCTGTCCCGCTTGTGACCAAGTTGGACATCCAAGTACAGACGGAAGTTGAACCACTACCATCTAGGCTGGACACTGCGGTCCAACATGAGGACATGACGCCTGTCAAGATATTAGTATCGAGCTCGGTGAACACGGAACTCATTCCTGAGCCTGTCTTGCCTTCCAAACCTGTCCTGGTACAAGCAGAGGTTCAAACTGCGGGCGTTCATTCAGTCGAGATTGACGTGCAGACAATTCCTGAACCCGAACCTGAGCCTGTGGCCAAGACCGACGTGATAATTCAAACCTTACCGCCTGTAACAGTCGAAATGGAAACGCAAACATCCGAGGTTACAGTAAACGATATGGCCATTCAAGCTAGCCAAGTTGAGATTCCTCATTTCATGGGTCCTGTTGACATGTCTGTCAGAGAGTCGTCTTTCGGAGATTCTAGCGGTGACATAACCATTCACGCAAATCATGCGCGCCCTGCATCTCTTAACCTGTCGGAAGCGGAAACAGAGGATGAGTTCGACATGGAGACTGAGACGGGTTCGATGATGGAGACGGATACCGACGATTACCAGGATGCGCGGCAGAGTATTACCATGCCGACTCCTACTGACTCGATAAATGACTTCCACTCCATCATGACTGTTACTGACAACGATTTCTCAGAAAGTGAAGACGATAATGAAAGTATTGTCGCCTCCCGTCTGCCCAGTCGCCAAGGCTTACCTACCATGTCCGCGGTTTCTCTTGACCTACCATCGCCTTCTGTCTCCATCCCAGCTCTGCCAGGTCCTACATATGAGGACGTGGGGACCCTCACAGACTTCATTGAGGAATCTGAATCTCACGGCATTGTAGCTGACATTCCCATCATTGAGCCTGAATCTGCTCCTGAGCCTAAACCCGAGCTAAAGGAGATCTCGATCCAGACAGATGAATGGGTCCCTCCTCCTGCCTTCGCCCCCGTTACTGCGCCTCCTACGCCTGCGCCTGGTCCCGTACCCAATTTGTACCGTGTGGGGGTCAATTCACAGCAATTCCAATTCATTTCGCCGCCATCGTCAGCTGGCCCAACGACCACATCTATGCCCATCGTTGCCGCTCCTTCACCCATAGCTATCATCAGAGACTCGAATGCAACGTTTACTGCTCGTCCCCGCACTTCTCATTCAGACCGACGTCAATCCATTGAATCCACTCTTTCGTCTGGTCTTGACGACTTCGCCACTCGCTCTCGAACGCCTTCGACTGTACCTGGCGTCGTCGATAAGTCTCGTCCACCAAATATGGCACTTCCGCCACCACCAAGGGCACCTCCACCACCTAACAGCATGCTACCACCTCCGTTTATACCAGAGAAGAGGCTTTCCCACGATATACCCCCACCGCGTCCGTCCTCTCCCCCTCCTCCAGAACTTATTCAACGGGCGACTACTCCTACCTTTGGAAGCGCCCTTTCAGTTCCAGGGGGGAGAAACTTCGGATTGCGCCAACATGGGTCCAGTATGCCCCCATCTCAGCAAGGATTGCGTGAACTACCCTCTACAAGCAGTTTCCGATCCGCCGCGAACGCTGCCGCACGGGCACCGCTGTCAAGCCCGACTCCTTCGTCTATGTCATTCGGTATTAAAGAAAGGGAGCGACGGGAACTTTCTACCACGTCTCTCAACTCTGGTGGTCGCAGTTTAGGTTCCCAGCGGTCGTCCATCTCTTCCGATCATCATGGTTTCCAGCCCCAAAGGCTAGCAGATGCGGTAAATATTACAGACCGCTCGGCTGACGTCTCATCTCGGAGTGTTGGTTCGACGGACCCGACAATTATTCATGCCATTACCCAGACCATGATCGGCGAATTTTTATTCAAGTACACTCGTCGGACTATTGGAAAGGGTCATGGATCCACGAGACACAAACGGTTCGTCTGGATTCATCCGTATACTCGGACCCTGTACTGGAGTTCAGCCGATCCGGGGTCGTCGAACGTGATTGAGTCGAGTGCCAAGAGCGGTGAGTCTGGGTGCTGTTGAGAGTATAACACGAGCTCATTCGATGTCTAGCGTACGTTGAGGGAGTGCGCTCAGTACTTGATCCCAATCCCATGCCGCCCGGTATCTATCAATACAGCGTTGTCGTGTCCACCCCACAGCGAGAGATGAAATTCACCGCGCCCACAAAGGAGAGGCACGATATCTGGATCAATGTATGTGCTCCATTTCCTAGTAATTTTCTTCCCATTTGTCTGATTCAAATTTTCGCGCACAGGCTTTGAAATATCTGCTGACGCGTCCAGGTGCTGTGCCGACAACTTCCCCGGGCGGACCGCCGGTTGCTCCCCTGAGCCCGATGTCTATCAACAGAGACCTCCCAGATGAAGAGAATAATGGCCAACATCTCATCGCGAGTCCCCAGAGTCAGCGTAGTGCTAGGACCACGAGAACTGCCCTCAGCGTGGAGTCTTGGAATGTCACTCCTCGCGGCCAAAGAAGTCACTCGCAGATCTCTCTCGGAGGCTCTGTTGGAAAACGTTCGGGTACACCTGCAGCCGAATACCTTCGGTGGATGGAACATGATAATCTACACAGTCCCACAAAGGAGTATGAGCATATTCCGGCACATGATGAGGGGGATCTCGATTTCGAACTGCATGATGATACCATGTCGGATGGAGGTTTCGAGGGACTAGAGAATGTACGCGCTTGTTGCGATGGACGGCACACCGTCGGGCGGTCTGGCAAACATCACCATCATCACCACGAGCATCACCACGAGCATGTTCAGAAGGAGCCGCCGCGTATACGAGATCAACACTTGCAGGCGGCGGTTCCGGAAGTTGCTCGACCTGCGTCTCCCGCATGGTCGTTCCGATCGCGTGCGGGCAGTGCGACATCGCACGAGGGTGCTGGATTTTTTTCTCGATTTGGTACGCGGCGGTCGACGAAAACTGTACCAGGTATATCCGCTGGAGGTCATGATCAATCATAGGGTCTAATAATCTGCATCATATTCGCATAATATTTTGGAAATTGTTGCTTGCTTTCCTGGTCTCAACTCCTACTACACTCGTTTAGTGCCGCATTTTGTTCATTACGTCCTTTACAGCTCATTTCATCTCAGATTATACCTAGATTGCATGTATCCCGTTATTTTTTGTGCAACTATCAGAACCCAGAGCCACTCCTTTGCAATAATTGAAACTCGAATATTTGGATCTCTTGATTTTGAACGGGGTATGCTAGGGTTGATCGAGTCGTGCGGCACGTACCCAATCGATCGTAAAGATTGAGTTTAGCCAGAGTCTATCTCCACGTGATGCAATTTATCTCCTTGTACGTGCAATCATCTTCAGACGGGATACCTTCGAGACTTTGTCGACTGCTGCACTATCGACCGGCTCATCGCTCTCACATACCACGTTACTGGTGTCTGTCTCGTCCGCTCAGGCTCTCTTGTGACTCCGATCACGGACGCACCACGGGACGCCTCTTCCGGAGACACGAAAAAGCTTTCGCGCGCGCTCTCTCGCCATACGGCCTGCCCACTGCCACAATCCGGGAGCCATGTCCATGGACGAGATCATCAGCAATTTATGGATTGGGGACCTGCCGAGCGCCCTCGACGCAGAGACACTGAGGGCTCACAACATCCGCAGCGTCCTGACGGCCATGCGCGGTCGGGTGTCCATTCACGAGGTGCGTCCTTCTTCTCCCCACCTTCGAGGGCACGCGCGGACGGTGCGCACCAGACGTTTATCCGCTTCCAAATCAACCTCGACGACACAGAAGACGCCGACGTCTTGGGGCACCTCGTCTCTGCGATCGCCTTCATCCAGGCCGAGCTGGACAAGGGGAGGGGGGTGTTGGTGCACTGCCAAGCGGGCCTCAGTGAGTGTGCCCGTGCTCTCCGGTCTGGCGGCGCTGACTGGGACAGGCCGGAGCACCACCATAGTGGCGGCGGATCTC